CGCAGCCACAACCGGAGCCCCATCACGGCAGCCACTCAGACGTCCTCCCCGCTTTATCACCGCGCCCGCGCGCGCCCGCGTCGTCGCCCAGTGCAATCTCGCAACCAATTTTCCACCGCCGCAGCAGCATCCATCCATGGCCGCCGCCATCGTGGCCGCGCGGGCGCCTCCGGGCGGCGGCGGCGCCGCAGCCGTCATCGCGTACCACCACTGCGCGTCCCCCTCGCGGGCGCTCCCGCTGGCGGCCGGCCCGTCCGCGGGAGGAGGGGTGGTGGTGGGGAGGAGATACCACCACCACGGCGGCGCGTGCTGCTTCGCCGCAAAGCCCACGCAGGTGGCCGCCGAGGTGGATCAGGGAGGGGCGGCCGAGCCGGGTGTCGCTTCCGCCAATGCTGCGGTGGAGGCGAAGCCGCGTAAGAAGGCGCGATCCCGGCGAGGAAGGAAGGGGAAAAGGTCGTCGTCGTCGGAGACCAGGACGACGGCGGTGCTCGAGGAGGAGGAGGAGGTGGAGGTGAAGGAGAAGAAGACGGAGGAGGATGGAGAGGAGGGGAAGAGGAAGGAGAAGGCGGCGGGGCTTGACCTGGACGAGGTGATGGCGGTGAGCCCCGTGGGGCTAGGGCGGCGGTCGCGGCAGATATTCGACGAGGTGTGGCGCAAGTTCTCGCGGCTGGGGCAGATGTCGAGCGCGTCGTCGACGGCGCTGGCGGAGGAGGAGCAGGCCGTGCTCATCCGCGGCGGACCCATGTGCGAGTTCACCGTCCCCGGCGCGCAGGACACCACCGTCCTCGTCGTCGGCGCCACCAGCCGCATCGGCCGCATCGTCGTCCGCAAGCTCATGCTCCGCGGGTACAATGTCAAGGTCAGCTATATCTAATCTATACTCCCCTGCTAATTATACTAGTTCCAGTTCAAATAATATATCTGAACTGATCTGATCTTACTGACAAATGAACATTCCAAGGGACTGGTTGAGAGTGTGATTTAAGAATTTAACATGATCTGTGATGTTTCATATCATCAATGTCTCTGTCTAGAATCCAGATTGTTTCCTTCCATGTATGCAACTTCAAAACTGTTGCTATACTGAAAAGTGATAATTGATGGCTTTGAACTATAGTTCCTGATATCTTCATCTAGTTGGTTCTAGATATGTGTGTGCATTTAGTTGTCTGCTTCATCCCCATTTGCTGAATTCTCCAGGATTTAAGGTCTGTGTTGAATATGACAAAGTATGCAACGTGTAATATGCATACGTACTCGGTACTCCCTAACAATGAACATGGAGAAACAAAGAGTGATCAATAGCAAAATTGGAAAACATTTCGATGTTGGAAATGGACAGTGAACAGTAATGTTTCTGAAAATTTGCAAATTATTTACAGATGGTGGTTATCTGATCTGTTCGTACCATGGTTTTAACATTATAACAGGCTTTAGTTAGAAGGAATGATGCTGAAGTGATAGATATGCTCCCAAGGTCGGTGGATATTGTTGTCGGTGATGTTGGTGATCCTTCAACTGTCAAATCGGCTGTATCAGGTTGCAGCAAGATAATCTATTGCGCAACTGCACGCTCAACTATTACTGGAGACCTAAATAGGGTTGATAATCAAGGAGTAAGGAATGTTAGTAAGGCTTTCCAGGTATTCCTTATGACCTCAATTTATCATCTTACCGGTAGTAATGTTATTGATTTTGAGAGTATTCTTGCCTCATTGAAAATTTCTTTAACTCAGCTCTGCATTACGCTGCAGGATTACTACAATGAATTGGCTCAGCTTAGGGCTGGTAAAAGCAGCAAGAGCAAACTCCTGATAGCAAAATTTAAATCTCCCAAGTCTCTGAATGGTTGGGAGGTGGACCAGGGATCTTATTTTCCAAACACATTTGCTTCTAGGTTTGATGAAGGTATCGATGCATCATTTGACTTTTCAGAGGCTGGTCAAGCTGTTTTCTCAGGTATCACCTTCTGCTATGTAGATTTAGGACTTTCTTCTCTGCAAATGCACTAAGTTTGAGTTGCCTACACGTGCTGATTTCATTTCCATGTCAATTCTTACGAAACAACCTTTAATCAGGATTTGTTTTCACAAGAGGTGGATATGTTGAGATATCAAAAAGGCTATCTCTTCCTTTGGGATCTACTCTAGACAGGTATGATAAGATTTGTATATTTTACTAAGAAGATTCTTTGATTTTATTTTCGTATATTATACATCAGACTGAAAACTTTGGCATGTTATTCTTTCACTGTATACAAAGGTATGATGGCTTACTTTTTTCGGTGGGAGGAAATGGAAGATCATATGTTGTTATTCTTGAGACTGGTCCGCTGGCTGACACCTCCCAGAGCAAGAAGTACTTTGCTCGGATGACTACAAAAGTAGGATTTTGTAGGGTAAGTTGTGTTCAATAACCAAGCTGTATGATCAGATGCTTGTGCTTCCATCTAAGAAATCAAAGAATTCAGGAATTGACCATTTCTTTTGCCTTCTCTGTTTTTCTGCAGGTGAGGGTACCATTTTCAGCTTTTCGGCCAGTAAACCCTCAAGATCCTCCCCTAGACCCTTTTCTTGTGCATACACTAACAATTAGGTTTGAACCCAAAAGACAGGTTAGTACAATACAATGAATTTATTTGAAATGTTACCTTAAGGTAATAAATGTAGAGATGATTAAACATGAAATTGGTGGCTCAGCTTTTAATGTATTCTGCAGAGACCTGGTGATGGATCTCAAAGTGCTACTGACCCCAGAAATTTTGAGCTTATATTGGAATACATCAAAGCTTTGCCTGTAAGTTGTTCCTAGTTTGATTGTCTGTGGCATGCTTCGCTACTTTCATTTCCTTCCCTGTTTAATTCTTGTTGTGTCCAACTCTTCTTTTAATTTAAATACCTTCAACATTCCCACTGATTATTTTGGTAGGAAACATGACCTCTTTTTTTTTGTCAGAATTGAAAAGGCAATTCAATTAGGTTATAAAAGCATCTCTTTATTTCTTTTGCAGACTGGTCAAGAATTTTTGTCAGAATTGAGAAGGCAATTCAATTAGGTTATGTTTAAAAAGCATCTCTTTATTTCTTTTGCAGACTGGTCAAGAAACAGACTTCATTCTGGTCTCATGCTCAGGTTCTGGGATTGAACCTAACAGAAGAGAACAAGTCCTCAAAGCAAAAAAGGTTTTAATTTTAATAACCATTTAAAATGCTTACACTTCTCTAATTCAAATGTTCATCAAATTATTAAGGACCTTTGAACATTTCTAGGCTGGAGAGGATGCATTGAGAAGGTCAGGCCTTGGATACACAATAGTACGCCCTGGTCCACTGCAGGTATGGTGTATTGATAGACCTCCTGACAGAAATGCTTCACTTTGAGCTCATAAGTTTACATTCTGCTTTCAGATTATTTATTAAGCTAATAGCACTCCACTTCCATTCTATGTTCAATAATCATTAGAACATAATGTGTTAGTAGAAGATATTAATTAGAGATCAGTATTTGCAGACTGCTGTATACATATCATTAAAACCAGTTGCATCATGATCACTCAACCTTTTTTTTCCAGGAAGAACCTGGTGGTCAGCGTGCATTGATCTTTGATCAAGGGAACAGAATCTCGCAGGTGAACCTTCATAAACTATAGGAGTCTGCTTTTCCCATAATATGTTGATAGCATCATACATAAATAACTGATCTTTCTTGTAATATAGGGTATCAGTTGCGCCGATGTAGCAGATATTTGTGTCAAAGCATTGCATGATTCCACTGCTAGGAACAAAAGTTTTGATGTAAGCAACTTTCTTCCACTTTCTTCTGTATAGGATGATCAGTGTTGCAATACTAACTTGTTATTCCCTACTCACTTAGGTATGCTACGAGTATGTAGCTAAGCAAGGGAATGAGCTATATGAACTTGTGAGTATTTCTGAATCCACAACTGATGGAACTCTTAAATCTTAATCTCCTTTCTCCAATTGAGAGTTGCACCCCCAATTCTAATTTATTTTGTACTGAATGTTTCTGCAGGTGGCCCATTTACCAGATAAAGCTAACAACTATCTTACACCGGCATTATCTGTTCTAGAGAAGAACACCTGACTGATATGTCTCTGAGACTCAGATATTTGCCAAAATCAAAATGTGTATACTTTTCAACTTGTAAAGCATATGTTTTTTTCCCCATAGAAGCCGTGTGGAGTTCACATGATATGCCACTTTGGCCCTTTTTGTAAAGATGATCAACAGATTGACTTCAGGAAACAATTTCGATGGCTGTAATGATATATTCTTCCGTTCCTACTTCTTTTCCTTTGAGAGGGTAAACTTGCACATATTTTAACCAATAAAATGGGACCAAGTAGGTGGAGGAAAAAAGAAAGGACAAAATTTGAAGCAAAGAAAACAGCTGTTTCTAGAAGCAGTGTTTCTTTACATATAATCTGTTTACAGGTCACCTTGATTCCTTGGAAGATCCAAATTAACCACAGTAAGTTCAGCAATCAAACCTGACCCACTCCTACTGTAAGCTAAAAAAATATTTAACCAATTCCATAATCTCATCACTCCTGCAACTGCCAGATCCTACCAACCCAACCACACACTGATTTTCTTCTCCTCATCTGTTCAGTTTCTGTTTCAGTTTGTCTGTTGTTCACTGCTTAAATGCTCTGAGTTTTCATGGGTAATGGGTAAGAAAAGAGTAGTACTAGTTGATACTGGATTTACTGGTCAGCTGTTCCATTCTTTCCCATCAGCTTATAAGCCGCTCCCAAATTTTAAATTTTAATTTTAGAGTTGATTTTGGAGTTTTTCATTATATTTTATTTTCAGCATTGGGCCTATAAATTTCTAAGATATGTACATAAAAATTTTACATATAAAATATTTTTGGATTGCTAATAACTGTTTATCTGCTGTAAAAATTGGTTATGTAGCAGGTGGAGTATGAATCTGTGACTCTGAACTGAAGAGGGGTATACAAAGACAAGAGAAGAGGGGGGGAAGATGGAGACAGAGAAACGCAAGCCTCTAGTCTGCTAAGGTGGGCGTCGCCATCGGGAGAACTCAGGCCACAAGAATTCCTCCTCTCCGAAAACTCTCCCCTCTCTCTGCTGCTGTGGCCGCATCATCTCCTCCTCATCTTCTTCTCCACAGCCTCCAGGTACGTGTGCCACGGTCGCCACCTCATCTCATCTTCTTCTTCTTCTTCTCCAAGATTTGCAAGAAAAGAACCCGTCAAGCTCAATTCAATCTCTAGTCAATCCCGAATTGGCGAACTTCAAAATTTCAAAGCCGAACTCAATCCAATCTTCCCCTTGTGCTCTTTCCAAGATCAATTTTTGCTCCAATTGTAGAGTGGAAATTGACCATGTCTGCGGAATCCGTTTTGGTTGGTGTGGACGTTGCAGCTAGGCCATGGCGTCCACCGTCTCCTTCTCCCCGGCCAACGTGCAGATGCTCCAGGGCAGGAGCTGCCACGGCCACGCGGCGTTCGGGGGCTGCTCCGCCGTGCCAAGAACCGGGCCAAGGATGCGTTCCGTGGCCGTGAGGGTCAGCAGCGAGCAGGAGGCGGCGCCGGCGGTCAGGGCGCCGTCGGGGAGGACCATCGAGGAGTGCGAGGCCGACGCCGTGGCCGGGAGATTCCCGGCTCCCCCGCCGTTGGTCAGACCCAAGGCTCCCGAAGGAACACCTCAGATCAGGCCTCTTGTAAGCCCCCCAATGGATGGATTTGCAATGTCGTTTGTGGTTTGTGGTATGATTTCAGAGGACTGAATTTTGGACCTGTTTGATGTGTGTTCAGGACTTGACAAAGCGCCCTCGTCGCAACCGCAGGTCGCCTGCTCTTAGGGCCGCATTCCAGGAGACCACCATCTCACCTGCCAATTTGGTGCTCCCGCTGTTCATCCATGAAGGTGTGTGATTAAATCCACTGACATGAATGGTGAACACACACAATTAGATTTTGATAGATTGAGCTCGTTTTGTGATGATCTGCAGGGGAAGATGATGCTCCTATTGGAGCTATGCCTGGGTGCTATAGGCTTGGTTGGAGGCATGGGCTTCTTGATGAGGTATTCAGAGTGCTGGGAATTATCTAAAAAAAAAATGTTTATCACTTGTCATGCATTTAGATTTTTAGTGATTCTGTTGAAGATAATCCATGTGCATTTTCATATTGCTTGGATCAATAGTGTTAAGCTCTTAAGTAGCTACCAGTCTTCAGGCTTGATGTAATGTGTTCCATATGATAACTTGCAGGTCTACAAGTCTCGTGATGTTGGTGTTAACAGTTTTGTGCTGTTTCCAAAAGTTCCTGATGCATTGAAGGTATTTCAACGAATATAATTCATTTTCTGTTTCATGTGTATTAATATCTTGAGTTGACTTAATACTCTTTGTTCCTTCAGTCTCAATCTGGAGATGAGGCATACAATGATAATGGTTTGGTTCCACGGACTATTCGCCTGCTCAAGGATAAATTCCCTGACATTGTAAGTAACATGTCCCTCATTGAATTTGAATGTATAAGTCTATATTGTGGCCTTTACTTTAATTGCTATCATCTTTGCTGCTAATAATATGTCTGATTTAGGTTGTCTACACGGATGTTGCTCTGGACCCTTATTCATCTGATGGTCATGATGGCATTGTCAGGGAAGATGGTAAGGAAAATGGTCACCTTTTGACCTTGCACTGCTTTTAGAGCGAGAAACATATGGCATGTTTTTATCCACTGCTTGTGTTTTGATGATAGCATGGGGAATATGTTGGTTACTCTGAAAAACGCTGATATTCAAGAATAATCAAGATATCTCCATGCATATAAATATATAATAATGACGGTTTCTACAACTGGTATTAAACTGGATATAACCAGCTAGTCTAGGTTTTGTGTAATAAACTGGTCGGTTTTGGCCACTCCACAATGAAACTAGGTGTCCCTCCTTTTTTCTACAAAATGTTGCAAACGATGCATCTCCATACCCAGTTACCCACACTAACCTTTTCTTTCAAGGCCCTATATACCTGAAGATCAGTTGCCAGCTGTAATTGGCTAGTTGATTCACAATTTCTCCTCTTCAGTAATCACTGTCATAATTATAATTTCTGAGAAGTGAGAACTACCACTGATGGCGTCAATGTGGTTTTCGGATTATGTTGGGTGGTGATGCTAGAGTCTATAATTTTATTTTTTATAATGTATTATAGCTCAAATTAGCAATTTTCATTTCTATTTTCTGATCCAAGTACTTAGCTGAGTCGTATGATTTACCATACATTTTTTTGTGGTCCCACCCTGATTGTCAATTTGTTTGCATCTCGTACCAGGAGTAATTATGAATGATGAAACAGTTTATCAACTGTGCAAGCAGGCTGTTTCACAGGTCTGTCTCTTCTCTAGTTCTCTTTATATTCTGTTTTTTATCTTGATCAAGTACCTTCACAAGTGCAATAGTTGAGTAACATAGAAACTGTCTGTCTCAATAGGCACGTGCTGGTGCTGATGTAGTTAGCCCTAGTGACATGATGGATGGCCGTGTTGGAGCAATACGTGCTGCTTTGGATGCTGAGGGTTTCCATGATGTCTCCATTATGTCCTATACTGCAAAGTACATACCTATGTCACTGATTCCATCATATTATTTCTAGTATCCCATAGCACTGAACCTTCTTGTAAGTTAAATAATGCATATGTCAACTATGCTTATGCAGGTACGCCAGTTCGTTTTATGGCCCATTCCGAGAAGCTTTGGATTCAAATCCAAGATTTGGGGACAAGAAGACGTATGGAACTTGCACTGAATCTACTATTTCCATCTAGCATACTGTTTAGTTGCTTAATATCTAAATTCATCATTTTCATTTCATTCTGAAGTTACCAGATGAACCCAGCTAACTACAGAGAAGCGCTTCTAGAAACTGCTGCAGATGAGGCAGAAGGAGCTGATATTCTTCTGGTAATTGTCTCGATTTGCATAACAGTGCCGTATTACCAAGATAGCTTATTTACATGTTGGTTCTAAAAGTACGATCCCCGTTTGACAGGTAAAACCTGGATTGCCATACTTGGATGTCATCCGTCTTCTTAGGGACAATTCAGCATTGCCAATCGCTGCATATCAGGTTCGTTTATCGGGCTAATCAGTTCTGCCTTTTCAGCCCCTTTTTCTTTATTGTTTCCAATCCCTGCCCTTTTCTTAACTGTTTCCAACTTCCCTGAAAAAAATTAGGTAGTCCTTGTCTACTGTCTAGATCCATTACCATTGATGAACTCATGTTAGCATTCGCACTAGCATGCCATAATTCAGTTCCAGACTTCCAGTTGCTCCACGCCTCACTAGTTCATCAGATAGTTCATGCGCCCACAAGAATCTTTCCTCTTATTCATATCAGAGTCCTTCATGTTTACTTTTTCTTCAGTTTGAGCCACTTCCAACTCCTGGTTCATGCATTGCTATGGTACCTCTTACAAATAAAATACTTGCATATCAATATTACAGGAGAAAGTTGAACCTTGATCTTTCATCCATCCTGTGCATTATGTGATGTCCATACTTGCATCTTATAGAGACCACCAAAACCTGCTCTAGATAGCATCATCGTTCCTTGGTTCTTAACAAGCTGACCAGATATCAACTGTTTGTATACTCAAAACACCAAATTGATTATATCTTTTTTTAAAAAAAATGATTTGTTGTTATCTTAAGAAAAGATTCTTGGTCATCAACGCCCTGTACAGTTTGATCTTTGATCTGAAATGTCATATAGGTCACACATATACCTCTGCTTGTTTTCTAATTAATCTCAAGAGTGTTGGGCTTTGATATGGGCCTCTCACAATCTCGGGCTTTGTTAAAATTAATCATCCAGGTCTCTGGAGAGTACTCCATGATCAAAGCTGGAGGAGCACTGAACATGATCGACGAAGAGAAGGTGATGATGGAGTCGCTCATGTGCCTGAGGCGAGCCGGCGCTGACATCATCCTGACGTATTTCGCGCGTCAGGCCGCCAACGTGCTGTGCGGCATGCGATCCAACTAGCAGGTCAACTCTGAATCTGAAAAAAGCTGAGCAGCTAAAACCCAGCCATCTCTGAAACTTTTGCATGTCCCCAGGTCATCATCATGTGAGGCTCGTTTTGCACTCTATAGAGAGCATTTGTGTAGTCAGTAATTAGTGCTAGCTTTGCAAATATCATTCTGGAATAATGTTTTTTGTATGACAGTGCCTCTAATTGGTGTGTAATTTGCGGTGAGGAAATAATATAATCTGCAATTCTGTGCATCTCATTCTCTATCTGGATTCTGAAACAAAGTAATCAAGCACAGGCAGGTTGTGGAACTACGGTACAACCGGAAGAATCTCAAACTGCCCACCTGAGCAATTTTGTACTACTAATGAGTGTAAGCTACTGGTATTAAGTAATCTTAGGGGCTAGTGAACAGATGATGATGATGATGATGCAAGTGCAAGAAACACAGGCACAAGCCCCAACAGTAGATCACAATGATACATGAGCAGAAAAAACGCCATTGATTCAGATCTCAAGCCACACACACACAGAGGTAAACCAAGCTCTCTGACCTCTCAAACAATCAACCCTCTAATTAATCAGCAGCGACCAGCGCGGCTCTGCGTCAGCTGTCGCGCTGGTTTGGCGAAATGGTAATGGCCGGCAGCCTGAGCAATGAGAAATATCAAAGATCAATGGCATTGCACTTTGCAGCGAACATGGAAGAGCAGAGCAGACAAACGCGAGACGCAGTTTTTACTGGACCCCCTCCTGTCACGTGAACCGTACACGGGGCCCGATAGGTAAATTAAAAACGGTAACACACCACTGCGATCTCTGGTACTCCTAGCAGTAGTAGTGGTGGTAAGAGCAAGTTTGTTTAATAGTATAAATAACTATAGGCTCCAAGTTTGTTTAATAGTATAAATATCTGTAGCTAATTTAATATGCTATTCATACCATAATTAACTATAAAAATATACTACACTATTAATACCTGATCATGCCTGTTATATACAAATAACGTTTTTAGAATTCGTGTTGCTACAAATCTATAGCCTAATTTCTTTAATTCGTGTTGCTACAAATCTATAGCCCTATTTCTTCTTTCTCTTCTCTATTTCTATATTGTACCTGCTCTAAAGATTCACTGCATTGTACCTGCTCTAAAGATTCACTGCATCGAGTAGTAAATGGTCACTGCTGCTTACGGCCACTGCAACAGCGCGAACCGAACGGAAATGCCTCATCAACGCCTTGCATTGCATTGCAGCAGCTGCTGCTTCCGCTGCAGCATGTGACCGTGTCGGTTTTGACCGCTCCATCGCCGCGTCCAAAAGCTAATCCCCATCTTTATTACCAAGTGATGTGATCGATCGAGTCGAGTTGGGAAAAAAAAAAGATGGTTAAAAAGCGAGTAAAAGGAGACGAAGAAAGAAAGAATCCACAGAGCCTTTGAATTCAATCTGACCAAACAACCTCAAAAAAAAGAGAAAAATGGAAGCTAATCAACCCCAACCAACGACTACAGTGAAAGATGTACTCATGATGATGAACAACGACGAGGAGTCCGTACGACGGCGGCGACCGGCCGAGGAGGCGGCGACCGATCCCATATCCACCGTCAGATCAGCAGCAGACAGTGACACTACCTAGTTGTACGGCTTCGATGGCGGCGGCGGCGATGAGTACGCCACCCCGTACACCGGCGGGAACGGCAGCTTGTCTCCCGATGGCGGCGGCGGCGGCGACGAGTACGCCACCCCGTGCACCGGCGGGAACGGCAGCTTCCCTCCGCCTCCTTGAGGTGGCGACCAAGAAGAGCTTGGCGGCGAGGATGGTGTTCCCGGGACCGGAGCGTGGTGTCCTGGTGGCGTCGTCGTCGGCGGCGGCGGCGTGAGCGGCGGCAACACGTATCCCGGGTGCTCTGTGGGCGGCGACGAGGATGAGGATGGCGGCGAGGCGCCGTGAGAGGATGGTGGTGAGGTTGATGGCGGCATTGAGGATTTGGGGCTCTCGCTGTAGGTTGGCGGCGGCGGCGGCAGGTGAGATGGGGTGGGCGAGCTCGGCGGCGGCGGCGTCGGCGGCGTCCGTCTCGGAGGCATGTGGTGTGGCAAAGGCGATCTATGAGGAGCCAGCGGCGTGCGGCCACCTGGGCGGCGAGTCGTCGGCGGCGTCGCCTGGCATTGCGCCTTGCTGCAGTCGAACGGGTGGGCGGCCGCGGCGGCGCACTGCGCCGGCGGCCGCTGAGCCGGAGCTCCAGGGATGCAGTTCCACCGCCCGTCGGCCGTCGCCGCCGGGCAACCCGGCCGCGAGGAGAAGAAGTTGTCCTCGTAGGTGAAGTTCTTGAGGCTCTGCAGCGAGCAGATGGTCGCCGGCACCGGGCCTTCGAAGAGGTTCCCGGCGACGTCGAGCTGCTCGACGGCGGCCAAGCCGGCGACGCTCCCGGGAAGCGGGCCCTGGAGGTGGTTGCCGCTGACGTCGAACACCGTCACCTTCCTGAGCAGCCCGACCTGCGGCGGGATGCATCCGGTGAGCTCGTCGTCGATGAGCACGATTTCGTTGAGCGTCTCGGCCATCCTCCCGATGGACGGCGGGATGCAACCCCCGAGGCGGTTGTGCGCGAGCACGACGACGGACGCCGGCGAGCTCCCGAGGTTGGGCGGGATGGGGCGCGTGAGGCGGTTGGAGTTGAGGAAGATGGCGTCGAGCGGGCGGTCGAACAGCTTGGGCGGGATGGCGCCCTCGAAGTCGTTGAACCTGAGGTCGAGGTACCTGAGCGACGGCAGCGAGAGCACCACCTCCGGGAAGCCGCCGACGAAGCGGTTGTTGCTGATGTCGAGCTCGTGGAGGAGCCTGAGGTGGGAGAAGGTGTCGGGGAGCACGCCGCAGAAGCGGTTGGAGTTGAGGTGGAGCAGCGCGAGGTCGGGGAGGCCCTCGGGGAGCGACGCCGGGATATACCCGGCGATGTCGGCGTGGTTGAGGTCGAGCCCGGCGACGACGCGGACGCGGCCGTCGGTGGGGTGCGCCGCGCAGAACACGCCGTTGTAGCCGCACACGTCGGGGCCGGACCAGTTGGCGGTGAAGTTCGCCGGGTCGGAGAAGATGGCCGTGCGCCTCCACGCCTGGAGCGCGACGTACGCCGCGCGGAGGCGGGCGTTCGGGAACGCCCACGACGGCGGCGGGTCCACGGCGGCGGGCTGCGACGCGGCCGGCGCCGGCGCCGCGAGCGCCAGGAGCAGCGCGAGGAGCGCCGCGCGCCCGGCCATTGCCTCGCGCGTGCGCGGCGGCGGGCGGCGGCGGAGGAGGAGGAGGAGAGGTTTAGGTGGGAGTGGGGGAGTGAGTGAGTGATGTGGTGGCAGTGGCAGTGTGGGGGGGTCACATGGTGGCGAGGGTTAACGCGGGGGGAGGGGGCCGGGAGGCTCGAGAGGGGCTAGCGGGCTGAGACGGGTCGGGCCGGGCTGGGCTGGGCCGGGCGGCGCAGTGGTGGGTCGCGTGGGCTGCAGGTGTAGAGATGAGAGGGAGGCAGAGGCACGGCACCGCGTGGCACGGCAATTGATGGCCATTTTTGTGTGCGTGTGTGGGGTGGTTTCGTGCTGCGGGCTCTATCGTTGGGCGTATTAGAGAGAAAAGCAAAACAGTATACTTGCAAATAAGAAAAAAAAATGCGAAATAGTAACTTAGCAAATGAAAATAATTTATAAATAAAACTATTATATACTTGTTCTTAATTATTTAAAAATAAAGGTTGCAAAATAAATTACGATGAAAACATCTTTAAATTATAAATTTAAGATTAAAAATTTAAATGATAAGCCTAAGCGAAATTGGAAAATGGAGGAGGTGACGCGATGCCACGGTCGTCTCGGCTCGGCGCCTGGAAGAAATCAGCAAGCTTTGGAAGAGCAGAGTCCCATGAGAGAGGCGGTGGCAATGCGTGTCGCGATGGCTCCCGCTTCCGCGGCGTGACATGAGGAGTTTTCTCATGTAATCGTCCAAACGTGTTGCTCGCAGCCGCAATATCTGCTCGTCAAAACCATGTGGTCGGGAAGACTTTTAAGGCTGACTACGTTTGTTCACTTTTCTAACTTATCTACTTATTATCTATTTTGTTTCTTACGTATATATTTTTCAACCTAACGGTGTGTATTTTAAAAAAATTTATATGATTGTTGCTTTAAAAATTTATATTAATATATTTTTTTAAAAAAATACTTAATTAGTCATCTGCTAATAAGTTAGTATTCTGTTTTGCATGTGTAAGATGTTAGTTTCTAATTAACCTTAACAAAGAAAACTTAGCCTAACACCTCTCGAGTGTATTAAGGGCTGTCTTTTTTTCTTTCTTTTAACGTGTACGTTTTCTGAACTATTAAAATTTTTTATATAAGTTGTTTTAAAAAATTATATACATTTATTTTTAGGGTTTTTAATAATATTTAATTTATCATACGTTAATTTTATGTCATGTTTTACGTGCAGAGGGATAGGTTTCATAACCCATAAAAAGAACACGCCGAGGGGAAGGCAAACCCATCAAAAAGAACACGGCATTACTTGTTGAATGAATAAACCTACCTGTGTTGCGTTGATGTATTATTTCGGTACTCCGCGAGACGAGAACACGTGCATTCCGTATCTGCAGAATTCGATCTCCAGTATTTACAGAATGGATCAGTCAGAGCTGGGCAACCAGAAATAATCCAACAAGGATCAATAGCAGCATTAAAGCTAATCACTACAATCCAATGCTGATTAAGAAAACTAGTACTCCGTAGTAGACTCTAGGGGGACCATCCAAACCGTTTCGAACTTACATCTGGTGCCTTTTCCTCCTCAATGCCCACACTATTACGAAAAGCCATTGCCTAAGTGTGATCAATGGATGTCATTAGGGCCAGATCCAACCTAACCTCTTCGATCAATGGACGCGTGACTATAATACTGTTTGAACTAATTAATGGGCTTTGTAGTATGAACATTGCTCGTGAATTTCAAGGCACAGCACACACCCACCTGGACCCCAAGCTAAGACTTCTTCAAATCAAACACTTGAACTGAAGCTTCCCTTGGTTAAAAATGAAAAATAAAAACCGGCGCAAGCAGTTCAAGAGCGCCAATGCATATGATGTCACTTGTAAATATCGAATGGCAGAAAAAAAAAAGTCAGAAGTATTTTTCGCATTCATTGATCCAATTCCATCATTAATTTTAACCTAGTAGTAGTAGTAGGATTAACTGTACAGAGGGACATGATGCATGATGTGTTGGAGCTTATCTTGTCATGCTGCATTTTCGGTCCATTTAATACATGAGACAGTATTACAGGTAGATCAATGGGCCAAGTTCTTTGCATGGATGTATCATTGGATATTTGGATCATGGCAATGGCAATGTGTTTTTGCATTTGAAGTAGCCAAGGGACCACGGAATGATCCGACCAGATCAGCACACAAATCCCAGACAGCATATATATATACTGCCCTACGTACGCTATTACGCTTGATCATTCAGGACAGGACAGGGCTTGGCCCATTTGCTAGTACGTCCCCTTTTTTCAACACCTTTTGGCCTTGATCATTTGCTATGTCACTGTCAGTCTAAACCCTAACCATGGCCTTGATGAGCTAAAACTAAAAAAGTGATTTTTGCATTCGTCGTCGTCAGCACAACATACTATTGGTCGGGATTGAGATCCAGTGCAGTTATTACTATCACTACAACTTTAGCAGTTGCAAGGTAGCTAATGGATCAAAAACCAGCGGCTCAGATTATCAGAAAATATTGTTCACGAATCACTGTAGCAATCTTCTACTGTAGCGATTACTGTAGCGTATACTGTGCAGGGGGTGGCAGAGCAAATCCAAGCTGTTGGCTGCATCGATCCAACGGTTATAGTATGTTATCACTACTAAAGTTGCAGTCGTTATTATAACTGCATTGGATCTCAATTCTATTGCTCGGCTGCTCGCTTGCTGGGTCACAGCTAAAATTTTAACTTTGAAACTTAATTTAAAATTAATTTTAAGGGTTTCTCAAATTTAAAATAACTAAAACTTAATTAATTATATGCTAATGATTTTCTCGTTTTACATGCCATACTTAATCTTCACTAGATTCAAACCGGCACTAATCAAATCTACATGAATGTTGGAGTTCGCGAGTTTTGCTTCCATCCCTTACGGTAGCCCAGTGATCTTTAGCCGCAGCATAGTTTGTTGGTTGCAGAAAAAACAAAGCAGCAGGAGGAGCAAAGCAAACAGAGCAAAACATAGGCGGCAAATAGCGAGAGATCCTCCAGAAACCGGAGAGCAAAAATGCTACTACGGCTGTGTTTAGATGTGTTTAGATGGTGGAAAAGTTAGAAAGTTAGAAGAAAATTAGTAGTTTGGAGAAAAAGTTATAGTTTATGTATGTAGAAAAGTTTTCGATATGGCATAAAATGATGTTAAGTTGAGAATTTGGGGTAACTAAACACGGCCTACAACACATTCCAACCTATTTAGCGCCCGGCCGATGATTAAATTCGCCGTACATAGACATAGTAATGTCGTCGTCGGCCGGCGTGTCGGTCTAACACTCCGACCATGCACGAGTGCTTCCCTTCACTTGGGTTTTCCTTTCCTTTCTCACCACAAAAAATTGCCGTCCTTGCATCGCAGCTGTAGTAGATGGGGGAGACACAGGGCCCGTGTGGTAGGTGACGAGAAATTAACGAGGTGTTTGGAATTGGACATCGTCACGTTGCGAATCTGCGTTGCTGTAGCCTGTAGCTAGCGTAATGGTGTTGGTTTTGTGAACCCATTTGGATGTACATGCCGAGTTTATCTTATTTTCTATTAAAAAAAAGGCTAGTGTACGTACCTGTACATGGTTTTTTTTTTAGAAGAAACCAATTTAATTTGCCTTTGATAAAGCATGAGAAAATAGAGCGTAAAAGAAAAGTTACTTACAGGAGGATTTGAGTCTCCTCACAGCAACAGCATCAGCAGTAGAGAATTGCTTCTTCTTTGATCTTTGATAGGATGGCAGTTGGGGGTATTTGCTAGGTGTTTGAATGAAGATCTTTCATTCCGTAGGGTTTTCTTTCGTAAACTCCACTTGAAGCGCGAGGTGCAGGGCACATCACGATCGTCCGACCTTAATCGGAGGCAGCCGATCACTTGCAAAGAAGACATGTTGAATCCAAAGAAAATATTGCCCATGATTCCGATATTGTAATAACTATTGTTTTCTTTCTTTTCAATATCTTCAAAAATGGAATTGCAATGAACAATTACAAATAAAAAAAAAGAAGAAACATACTAACACGGCAGGTGCTGACTGCTGTTAGCTGGTTGTTAGCTCTAGTTGCCCACATCAATGTTCCATGTCTCCCTTCACTCTTGTGTATTCTTCTTCTGTTTGTTGTAGAGTTCCTTTGTTGACCCTGGAGCTGCAACATAGCTTCCAGAATCAATGCCCTCTGATAAATGGCATACAAACTGAAGGAAAAAGACTGCAAAGTAAGCATATACACCTCGGGCAAGAAAAGTACGACATATGGTGGCAATCCCAACTATATTTAAGAGATCATATCTGAGTATATCATGCCCCAACAACACACAGAAAAGAAAGCCTTGAGTTCTTAAAATATATGGGTAACTTGCCGAATATAAAGAAAGCAGAATAAGCCAGTGCTTGTTCAAGCTCTAGATACATTTTTAAGAATTAGACATAATAAATGTATTGCTCTCAAAAAAGCAAGACATGAAGATGCACAGCAAGCAAACATATAGGATGTGTAGACATTTCTAAAAAGCATAATTTTGCAAATTCCATATAAATTCATAATTTAGAGATGACATACAAATTAGACCACGTACCACAGTCCGTGTATGATGTCAACTACTAGATGAATATGCATAAAACATTAGGGACGCACAGAAATAGTTACGAATTTGCCATACCAGGAATAAAAATTGTAAATGAGCAAACATTTTCAACAAACAAAACTACAGAAGTGCCCAAGAGGAAATCAGGAAAATATCACACCTCCCCAATTGCCCATTTTTCCTTCACCAGATTATTCATCTTCATTTTCATTTTTGTCGTTCCTGTCCAATATAAACAAAGAATATTAAACATGATGCAAAGCTAACTTAGCACAGGAAATGCATTCTTGTCAAGTATACGATTATAATTATTACAGAACTTACTCAGCAGATACCTCATCCATCACAATAGGAGCCATCATCCCATTAAGCAACTCGATGTCTCTGCGCTGGACAGAGGAAGCAAAAAACTGCTAATAACCTGCAGAGGACTTCAGAAAATTGTTGATGCTGGAACAGCTGGAGCCAAAACTCCCAGATGGTTTTCTTGACTGCATCAATATGCCATTAAGTCTGGCAACTACAATGACAGGCCATAAAGTCTTGCATTACATCACAGATAAGTCTAATAGATGGCCTAATTGTCTGGCGTTACATCACACACAAGTTTAATAACAGATAACTTGATCTAACATTACATCACAGTTTGTCAGATTCCCATGGAGGCATAAGCAGCAGTAGACCAGGTGTAAGCTTCTTTGGCTTGAACTTTGCTGATTCTTGAGTTGAAACATTGACAAAAGCTTGCCCAGAAGTGACCTTAATTGTTGCACTTGTAGAACCCTGAGAATGGGCATGCAATTCCACTAGTGCCTGCAAATCATAGAATTGTTAGCTCTGAGTGAAATCAAATATAAATTGAATTCAAATTGCACTAGATCTAGCTAACCTTTTGCTTTGAAGACACTGTTTTCCTTGACTGACTTGCAGAATTGGTGTTAGCAGCTGTACGTGACTTTCTTTTCCTGCTTTGTTTAGAGCTTTGTTGTGTGTTTGAGAGCATTAAATTATCAGCTGGATTTACAACTTGGAGAGAATCTGGTGTGCTAGAGCCTCCTCCATGATGCTTATTACAAGTGGATTTGTTGTGGCCAATTTGCTTGCACTTGCTGCATCTGATGATTGAGCCAATCCTTGACAGTTTGGTGGCTTTTAATGGTTCATTGGATTCTCTTCTGGTCTCTCCTGGCATCTTGATATACCCAGGAGCATTAAGTGGCTCTTTGTCATCTTCTGGCCAGCTGCTCATGCCCTCTACTGGTTCCAGGCATTGACTATAGATTTTCTTAAACTCTTTCACTGAATAACACTCAGCAATGTACTCATCCAGTGAATTAGTCTTAGTCTTGAAGAAAATGCATGATATTGCATGAGGGCATGGTAATCCTGACAGCTGCCAATATCTACAAGAACACTCCTTCTTGTCTAGGTGTACTGTGAACCTATTGTCATGGTGTTTTACTTCAAAGCTATCACCTCCATTACATGTTGCATGACAAAAAGCTGACTCGGTGATATATACATTCATTTTTTTCAGAATGTTTGGGCAAACTGATGTGGTCCATCTACCTGATATAGTTCTCTGATCATGGATCCTAACCATTACTTTCCTTCTAATTGTTTCAAGCATTGTTATTATTGGAAAGAACCTAGCCTCTAGAATCCATTTATTGAAGGACTCACACATACTGTTGTCAACTAAGTCACAGTTAGAGCCTGACCTGAACCACGCTCGGCTCCAATGCTGCGGATGGTTATTCAAGATGGTTTGTACTGCAGGAGTTGTAAGTTGTACCAGCTCTGCCATTGCCAAGTCGAACAACGTTATGCACGGAGCCTTGGCACACTTCCAAAACTTCTGGTGTTCATTGTCATAGAAGTGTCTCTTCAAGTTAGCATATATGTGCCTAGCACAGATCCTGTGTTCAGCTTGTGGAGCCCATTTATCCATAGCATTAATAATTTCCTACAGGAAAGCATACATGTTAGTAGGCACATTTGCATTTGTAATAATTCAATACTGGACAGAGTATAGATGGAATGATACCTTCTGTTGGTTTGATATGAACACCCAGCCAGATCCATCACCAACTTGCAAGTCACTGCACAACAATCCACAGAACCAGTGCCATTCTTCCTTGTTCGCCTTGTGCACCACTGCCCATGCAATTGGATACATCTGATTGTTGGCATCCTTTCCTATGGCACAAAGGAGCTCTCCATTTTTTGCTCCCTTGAAGAAGCAGCCATCAAGTCCTATCACTTTTCTGCACCCAGCTAGGAAGCCTTTCTTACATGCATCTAAGCATATGTAGATCCTTTTGAAAACAGGTGGATCCATATCTACCTCTCTATCCACCACAACAGTGCTTCCAGGGTTACTTCTAAGTAGCTCCAGCTGATAATTATACAACTTTTGATACTGCCACTTAGCTGCATTTATAGCTTTCTTCATCGTAATGGATTTGGCTCTCTTCAGCTTGGAGATGTTAACATCAGCAAACATCTCTTCTTGTACGGTTGCCTTCATGTGTGCTAATTTCCATGAGGGATTTGCAACTATAAACTTGCCATACTTCTCAGCAATCCTAGAAGAAGTCACCAGCTTGTTATCTCTTCTAGAGGGGCATAGATGAGAATTTTCTAGTGTTGCTATCTGCCAACCGTCAGTCCTTGAGTTTTTTGACAGTAGGCAAACCCAAGGGCAGCTAGGCCAGTCACATCTTGCCCTCACCCTCTTAGGATCATCTTTGACAAAGTTGATCGCCTTCCTCTCAGCTAAACCATATGCTGTAATAGCTTTCTTGAACTGCTTCTTGCAGCTAAACGTCATTCCTAATTCAAATGTTGGAACACCAGGCTTCTCCTTGAACCTTGGATACTTGATGAGTTTTCTAGCAGAAACCTCTTCATCGCTTGCAACCTCTTCTACCGACTCTTCATCATCGCTATCAAAAGATGGGGTGTCATTACCATCTTGTTCAGCACCAGCTTCAAAAACAACATCATCCAACTTATCTACTTTTCCTGTCTTTAACTTCTCCTTCAGTTCTTTAAAACGCTTGTGTATCTGTGCAGCCTCTTCATCATCATCTGATGGGCAATCATCTCCAAGAATGCAATCACTGTCACTGTCACTCCCTGAAGATACCTCACTAGCTGATTCATCGTCAGCTAATGTGGACTTGCATACCACTAATATATTGTCCATTATGTCCAATTGGATTTTGTCTTGCCACCTGTCTTGAATTTCCGTTATGAAGACGCTGCAAAAGAGATAGTAGAACAATAAATAATAAATAAACAAACACAAGAAGACAATCACTTTATCCCAGAACCACGTAACAGTGGATAGTAACGCATAGCTTTTTATTCTGAAATTAGATGGCAGGAGCTCTACCTATTCAATTGAGGACAGAAAAGTAAATTTGTTGAGACACAGCTGATGTATGTATGTCTTTGGATAAAAGATAAAAAGTATCAACTAGCCGGGACCATATAATGCTACTGATTTCCAACATGCAACAACTTTACTACTCCTAGAAATTTAATTTACCCATCCCTCATCCACAGGTTCCCATAGAAAGTGTGAACAATTGCAACTATAGACATAAATTTGCACCTGGTAAACAGTAAATACAATTGAAATCAAAATTTGAATTCTATACCAGGGCAAATATGAGAAAGTATATATAATCAATAGTAGTAGCTGGGATGGAACTACAAACCAAGGTTCTGAGTTGTGGAATTGCATTAGGGAAGAAATGTATATGAGGTTGATTGGTCCAAGTTAAGCAATTGATCATGCCAAGAGTTCTAAAAAGCCACCAGCCACTTATCCCAATTATTTCCGGAAATACATGCAATGTAGAAGGGTTCTCAACTAGTGCATTTCCAGTAACTCAAAATCACCTATGGTCCTAGTCCAACACCATGCAAATATATTCGTTGAATGAAAAATATTTGAATCTCAGAACCAGCTTGCAAAGAAAGTACTGAGACCCTGACCATTGCAACACTAAATTTATATTTGGATTCTTACCATCTGTCTATTTTGGAAAAAAGATATTCATGTTCACAGTTTGAAAATAAATTCATGGGACTCTTTATTGTCTTGCTTTGCACTTATCGTCAGCAGAGATAAAAATATGCAGCTTAGGAGAAGGCAAGAAGCAATGTTATCACCAGCAAAGATCAGCTGGGAATAATAGAAAGCTGCAACCTGGAGTTGCTCTCAGAGATAAAACATTAAGTTCATTGAGCACATGACATATTAAACAGAAGACCAGAACACTAGTACACTACTCTTTTGGAGTAGTACCTAATATATGTGTTCACGTTATTATGTCCACCTTATTTCCTTTCTTTAGTGCATATTGTTCCTAAACCTGTCAAAGATGCAACCGAACATGCCAAATCTTCTGTGTTGCGTCTATAATTATATACACAGTCTGTTACAAAGTTCTCCTTTACATTTTCACAAACTGCTTTTAAAATGTTATCTACCATTTCACAAAAAAACACAAGCGGTAGGGGTCAACTATAGAAATCATAAGCACCGTTTCAGAATTTCCACACGATCTTTTGCTATGTTCATATGGGAATTGTTGCTAATAAAGGTACAGTCAGGGTACAAAGAACTTATTTGTGTGGAAACAAGAGCACGGTTATCACTGAACTCACAAGCATGCACTGAGGCAGAGTATTATCTAGACATAAGGGTCCTGGCAGAAAATTCTGCTTAAGCAGGCCCCAAAAGAACATATCATGAACATTCGCTCACTTCACATGCTATCCAAATATTATCACAAGGCATAAAAAGCAGTAAATATGAGTGCATCGACTGCTAGGTTCATGAAATTGCATGCTTCCTTAGCTAACATCACCCAGAAAACCAACCGCAAAAGTCTAAATGTGTAGGACATGATCTGCAACACGATTTAGACCTCAACCACAAAGCCAGCTCTAACCCTCACGAAAACCTAATTTACGTGCTGTGTCGCATCAAATACACTAAAGCACTCAAGTTTAGACTACAAAAGACCCAATTCCAGTTCTCAATTGTTGTGAGTTTAGGCATTTCAATAGTAAAAGGCACGAGCATGCTACGCATTGGTGAAGAAAACATGGAACATTCTTGCACATGCCAATAACTCTTTTAAAAACGAGCGCATGACATATTAATCACTCGGAACAGTTGGGCATTGGCAGAAAATAAGATGCCATATTCAGTTGAATCTGCATTTTCTTATAGATTGGTTTTGCCTTATTTTGCGCACACCCTCTACGCACAGGGGCGGATCTAACATGGGACATGGGGGCGAACCCCCCAAACTTAACAAACAAACTGCTGTTAGTATTAAGATTACGGCAAATTTCTAGAACAGAAAGTTAGGGTTAACGAAAATTCGAGGGAAAAAAGTGTGCGGGTCGAGAGAGAGAGATGGGAAAGAGGATGCGGATGCGGTGGGTGCTCACCAGGATGCGGCGGAAGCAGCAGGACGAACGGCGGCGCCCCCCCTCCTCCGCTCCGCTCGCGGGATGGGTGGGGATCGGCGGCGTCGGCGGCGGCGAAGGCGAACGAACTCACGAGGAGTCGGAGTCGACGCCGCTCTCCTTAGCGGACGGGGAAATAACCTCGAGGCACAGGCACACACGGCGATTTGCTCTTTTTTTTTTCTTTGGCCCAATTAGGCAGGGATACGGCTGGCCCGAGGACACGCGCGAGTGCGGGCCCGATAGGCCCATTAGTGTGTACTATTTTTTTTTACTTTTCAGATTCAAGCAATTTTTTTAAATAAAAATGGCTCATTTTTTAAATTCTTTTGAAATTTGGCGCATTTTTAAAATTAAATTTCGTTAGGCACCTCACCTACCAATTTCTTCAGATGGACCGAAGTGGTAGGGCGAAGAAATTCGCATTTCGGTACAAATTTCAAAAGTCACATGAATTAAATGGTAAATTTCAAAAGCTTGCATATTCAGTGGCAAGTCGTGAAATTTCTCGAGGCCGGACCAATCTCCTGTCACCAACATCAGTACATCATCTAGAGCACCAGCCAACCAAATCCGATCAGGGCGAGCATCCATGTGCAATCCTAATTTAGCTAGGAAATGCCCCCTACCCTGTCTCAGGTTCTTGGACAATACTTATTAATTGAAGAGTAGAGTCCATCACCGGTCCCTAAACTTGTACTGTTGTGTCATCCTGGTCCCTAAACTCGCAAATCGACCGTTTAGATCCTCAAACTTGTTCGACTGTGTTATCCCGGTCTCTAAACTTGCATATCACTCGTTTAGTTCCTTCAACCTGTTCAGTTGTGTCACTCTGGTCTCTAAACTTGGATTTGAATATCATCTGGGTCAAAATGGATGGTCTAAAAACTTTATATTTAAAAATAAGTCATAACTTTTCCATGTGAACTCTAATGAAGATAAACTTTATATCAAACTTGTAGCCCTCGACGCTATCTACAACTTTGTAGTTGATTTTTTTTATTTTAAGTCATTTTTTGTCCCAAAATGTAATTTTAAAATTAAAATATCAAAATCTATAAACATGCAACAATATTTTGGGACCCTAAACAGTTTTAATTCAAAAACTTTTTAACTACAAAGTTTTAGGTCGCGTCGAGGGCTACAATTTTGATATAAAGTTTGTCTTCATTAGAATTCACATGAAAAAGTTATGAATTATTTTTAGATATAAAGTTTTTAGACCATCATGTTTAGAGACCGGGATGACACAACTGAACAAGTTAGAGAACCTAAACGAGTGATCTATAAGTTTAGGGACCGGGATGATACAGTCGAATAAGTTTGAGGACCTGAACGGTAAACGAGTGATCTATAAGTTTAGGGACTGGGATGATACAGACCTGAACGGTCAATTTGCGAGTTTAGAGACCAGGATAACACAGCAGTACAAGTTTAGAGACCGGTGATGGGCTTTACTCTTAATTGAAAATACGTCCTATGAGTTCTCAAAATAAAAAAAAAAAGTCCTATGCCCTACCATGTTGTACAGGTTCTTTGACATCACTCGATTGAGAATACGTCCATAGAAAAAGACAATACTCAATTGAAAATACGTCTAGAATTTAGGGGCCTAGACAGGATAGATCGTAGTCAACAGAGGTCAGTAATCGCTTCATAAGTCCACATTCAACTTTAAGAAATCAGTCTCCAGGATAATTTTGTTCGATCGGATGGCTCCGAGCCTCTGATGGTTTCCATGTCGGGGGAAGAGGGCGAATCGAAGGGCACATCAGGATCGTCCGATCTTAATCGGATGGGTAACAAGAGCGCGGACCTGCCACTGCTGATGCTGCAAACGAACTTGTTGTATCCCCAGGTCCTGCTGCTGCTAAGGAAGTTGGCTCACTAGAAAAAGAAAGAGGATATGTTGCACGAAAATAATCATTTGGACAAGACAATGTTACCCGGCCAATCACTCAATATTGCAATACTGTTTCTTATTCCAATAACTTCCTAACAAGTTTTGGAATAAACAATTACAGATTAAAAAAAAAGAAAAACATACTATTGGAATAAACAATTACAGATTAAAAAAAAGAGAGAAAAACATACTAACTCGACAGGCAAGACTGCAGTTAGCTGGTTGTTAGCTCTAGTTGCCCACATTCATGTTCCAGGAATAAATAAGTGGTACCAAACAATGCATTGGTTCATCAGCCTTCCTTCACTGTTCACTCTTGCAAATTCTCTTGTTTGTTGTATAATTCCTTTGTATCGTCATGAAGCTGCAACATAGCAGCCAGAATCAAGGCCCACTGATAAATGGCATACAAACTGAAGGGAAAAGGGTATAAGGTGAGCATATATACCTCGGGCAAGAAAAGTACGACATATGGTGGCAACCCAACTACAAGGAAGTCAGATCATAGCTGAGTAGTTCATGGTCTCATGCCTCAACAACACAAAAAAAAACACCTTTGAGTTCTTAAAACACATGGCTAACGTGCCTCTGAGGTGGTTCATCCAGCGGTATCTGAAAGGAAGTTTCGTATGAATTTAAATTGTAGAAACTTGCCAAATATAAAGAAAGCACAAGTTAGTAAAGCCAATGCTTGTTCAAACTCTTGATAATTTGCAAGACGGGAAGATGCACACTAAGCAAACATGTACGATATGTAGAGATCTTTCTAAGTATAATCTTGCGCATGCCACAAATTCATAATCTAGACCACAGTCTGTGCATGATGTCAACACTACTAAATGAACATGCGTACAATATTAAGGACTAAGGAGATAGAGAACTAACTACAAATGTACCATAGCAGGAACAAAAGTTGTAAATGAGCAAACATTTCTAGCAAACAGAACTTCGAAAATGACCAAGAGGAAAGTATCCCACACCTCCCCAATTGCCCATTTTTCCTTCAACCAGATGCTATCATCCTGATTTTCATTTTTGTTGTTCCTGTGGAATATAAACAAAGAAGATTAAACATGATGCGAAGCTAATTTAACACAGCAACATGTATTCCCATCAGCAGAAATACATTCTTATCAAGTATACAGTTATAATTATCACAGAACTTACCCAACAGATTCCTCAAACATCACACTAGGAGGAGTTACCATCCCATTAAGCAACTCTTGTGATTGCCTATCAATGTCTCTGTGCTGGACAGAGGAAGCAGGAGACTTCGAACTGGGAAAACGTGGGGCTTGAAAGCTCCCAAATGGTTGACCTGAACCCTGGTTTCCAAATACGCCTGCAAAATTCTAAAAGTTAAATAGCAACCCAACACAATAGTTATTAATTCCCAGAAGGGATGGAATCATGGAACAAAAGCCTGTGAACATAGATGAAAGAGAAAATAGTCAGATGTATTAGAATAGATATTTTGAAAATCTTAGTCCACAATACCTACTATCAAGCAGAACTTTTGAAAACTTCTTTTTTGAATTAGGCGCAAGCATATTCTTTCCAACTACCCCTCAATAGAATAATATTTATAATTTCACTAGGTGAAAGCTTATATGCCATCTTTCTTCCATGTAACAGTACAAATATCTAGTAAATGAAACTTTCAGCAACATACTCGAAACTCCAAACTTCATTTGAGAACTGCCAAAAGTAGGGGCAGCAAGTGGTGCAGAGCTTGGATGACCAAAAGGACTACTGGCTGGCATTCCTGGTGCGGTGGTTCTGCATGAGAGGCAGTCATTTAACACACATCAGAACCAAATGAACAGCATTAGAAAATTGATCAACTATATGTGAGCTTTGCAATTGTGTTTAAAGAACTTTTCTAAGCGCTGCTTTCTGATTAAATTGTCTTTCTTCAATACTTCCTCCGTTTCACAATGTAAGACTTTCTAGCATTGCCCACATTCATTTAAATGTTAATGAATCTAGACATATGCATGTGTTTAGATTCATTAACATCTATATGTATGTGGGCAATGCTAGACAGTCTTACATTGTGAAACGGAGGGAGTAGATTAGTAACACAATCACTGCATATTTTACAAAAGAACTAGTAGAGTAGTACCCTGGCCCAGGTCCAATATTAGTTGCTGCTCCAATTTGACTGAAACTACTGAACACAGGTGGTCCATTGGTTTGAGAAGCCCCGAATGATGAGTTGTTTTTCACTTCAGGGAAGGAACTCATAGTAGGAAAGCTTGGAGTTTGTGATGGACGTGCACTATTGAGCAGATTAGTAAACTCCATTAACTTTGCGTTTTGTAGATTTCTTTCTCCCTCAACCTGAAAGAGATCACATCAATTCAAATTTACATAGATCAGACCATGTAAGCAAAGCTAATGAAAGCAGGTATTACTTCTGCTAAAATCCACAGATAAAACTATCAATGAATTGGGAGTGCTGGAAAATGGAAAACTTACTATTGATTGCAGAGAATGCCCTTGCTTTCCTTCCTCATAGGCTTTAGCTCTTAGTTCCTCGAAGCTAATGTCTCCCTTAATATTGCAAGGGCCACTGATGCAAACAAAAGTGCATTATTAAGTGCACAAACATTTGGCATGGCCTAGAGCAACTTTTGAAGGCTTGAAGCATAGGACATGAATTATTTACTTTCTGAGATGAGCATAACAAGTAAGCTTCCAAATAGGAGCCTCGTTCTTAAAATCCTCAGAAATTTGTTGTCTGCATGACTGAGGGTCTTCACAGGAGCTGGAAAACAAACATGTCGGTGATTCGCCCATACCCAAGATTAATCAGGTGAGATCAAAAGCAAAACATATAGCATATGGACTCACGTGTGGGCAGCCTGCGCCTGCGGTGGCTGCACCGCCTCTGTTTGCTTCGTCGGGGCCGAGGGGTCCCTTACCCACTTATTTTGAAAAGGCTGATTCAACAATTTCTTTATTAGTCATACACAACACATTCCTATACATGGAAAAACACTGCAATTGAAGAATTTCCTTTGTTCTGATTAGCGCTGACAAACCTTCGCAGGACCAGGAGCATTACGTGACTGGGCATTGGCACCTTGTACCCCAAAACCAAAAGGATTGGGCTTCTGCTGCTGCTGTTGCTGCTGCTGGAACTGTGAGCCAAATGACGGCTGCTGCTGCTGCCTGCTTCCGGTGCCAAATCCAAACGGGTTGGGCTTCGCCTGCTGCTGCTGCTGTTGCTGGTGAGGGGAGGCATGCAAATACCTGCACTGCGCTCCGTACTTGCAACTGCACGCATCATTCAGAAACAAGCATTGCAAATCAAAAACTCGAATCAATGGCTGGGTAATCAATCGATGGCGTAGTTCTCACTGAGAGAGATGAGAGAGGGGGGGGATCCGGTACCTTCCGCGCTGGAAGTTGCGGCAAATCTCCTGCCGCCGACTCATCGCCGCAAAGCGGAAGGAAGGGGGGGGATTCGATTCTAGAGCTCCGCCTCTAGGGTTTAGCTCCTCCCAAGCGCTTGCTCCTCCTCCTTCCGCCGCCACGGGATTGGCGTGGGCACGCGACGCAGCAAGCGCGGCCGCACGACGTCGGTGGGTGGGTTGCCCTCGCCGGCTTGCCGCCTCCGCCGAGAACTCGAGACGCGGCCGCCGGCCGGAGTAGTCGTGCCTCCTCCCTTTTGAGAGGCGGTGACGACGGCGAGCAGCCAGTGGGCCAGGCGGGCCGCGGGTGATTCGGCCCACGAGAGGGCCCGGCCCAGATAGAACGGCCGTAGCGCGCTCCAACACCAACACCAATACATAGAGATTTTTTTATTCTTTGAACTTTTTAAATTTTTAATTTTAAAAACAAACATTTCAAAACTTATTTTTAAATCTGAACCTTTTTACTACGCCGACCGGACTAACGTGGCAACATTACACACCAATCTAACTAGCGTGACACCGTTATTTGGCCACGTCGTGTGGTAGCGTTATTTCACCACATATTCACACCATCTTAGCTGACGAGCATAATAAAACTGTCAGGTCTGCAGTATGGGACGTGTCAATATTGTTTTGCCATTCTAGGCGGGCTCATGTCATCAAAAGTTTATATTTTAAAAATAAGTTTTGAAAATGTTTATTTCTAAAATTAAAAATTAAAAAAGTTGAAAAAAAAATCCGCTACAGAGAGGCGCAGCGCCCGCCACACACGCGCCCGCGCGCGCAGATTGCGTCGTCGGAGACGGAGAGGATGAACGGCGGCGGCTTGGCCCGCGCGGCGGCGCCGGCGGTGGTGGCGCTGGCGCTGGCGGCGATCCTCTCGACGCCGCCGCCGCAGCCGGAGACCTTCTCCAACATCCCGCAGACGCTCTCCGGTAAGCGAGACCGATCTCTCGCGGTTTTTCTCACGCCTTTTGCTGGGGGATGGATCGATGACGACGACGAGGTGGGTGTGGGGATGATTTTGCAGGCGGCGACGGGAAGCAGCAGGTGAGGATAAAGCGGCCCAAGTCGGCGAAGGCGCTGCAGTGCACCTCCAAGTGCGTCGCCACCTGCATCCGCGGCGGCGAGGGCCCCCTCAACGTCAGAAAGTAGCAGTACCCTCTCTCAATCTCATGTAGCCTGATCAAATATGTTCACTGAATTCCTGCAGAAAATATGTTCATTCGCCAATAATTCGAGCTCAATTACTGTTAAACCTGCAGGCCTCTGGTAGTTTTCAAGGGACAATTCCGCAGCCGGCAGTACTGGTACCTGTTCTATCGCCATTGCACCTCTCAGAATAGCTCAATTCAATTGTGCAGTCCTAGTACTATGTGAGCTCCACTCTGATTATATATTTATGTGTTTCATATGCAATTAGCTTGGCAGAGTGCTCGGATGTCTGCAATCTCATCAAGGATGGAGAAGATGGGCAATGAGGAAAGCTTTGACAAGGAGAAGCAGCAGGTACAGTTGAAGATGGTATATCCAGGCAACAACTAAACATTGCTGCTGCTCTAACATTGTGATAGTCTGCTATTGCAGCAATTCAAACCAAGGCAAGGCATGGATTCAAGGATGGTTACTGACTGAATTTTACACAAGAAACTGAACAATCCGGTAAGATTGTTCCGTGAAGTTACAGTGAGAAGAATTAGTGCAAAAAATACGGCACCGAATCCTGTGAACTTAGTGCACAATAGGAAATAGATTGTTTTGTTAAATCATTCCACAGAGAAACACCATGGAATGAAGCATCATAATATGTTATGGATTTGTTCTTTTACTTTTACTTGATTATACATGGGACCAAATGCCATAGCAGGCAGATCCAACATATGCAATAGTCGAAGACCATGAGCAGTAGGCTGTACGCACACAACATCATCAGTGAATTCCTTTACTAACTTCATTGTTTATTTGCTACTACACATACAATGTACAACATGTTTTGCTGAGTTCGACAAGAAGTCGAGGCAAGGGAACCTATTAAGACATGCTGAAGATTTTTTTTACATCTGACATCCAAAGATGTCAATCTTAATCCAGTGCTTATACCGATTCAAAATTTTACCAAACCTGCATTTCCAAGATCACTGGATGTGCATTTGCTTGTTTAAGAAATACTGTAATCCAGATACTTGCTTGCTGCAAAAGCTTGTTTCAACTGTAACCAATAGGTTTGCTCAGGAGACTTGGTCACTGTGTTTCTCATGTTAGGCTGTTAGACACGCAAATATGTTAGTGCAGGACATGTAAAATTGTAATACATTTTATTACAATCAACCATTTAGAGTGAAAACTTAAAATAGGGTAACAATGTTGTACTTTACCTTCTATGTTATCTGGATGGGGAAACATGTCAGGGCAGTTAATTTGAAAATCCCATATCTGGCAAGAAGAGGTACCGAAATCTAGAATCAAACGGAATGATGCCAAATGTGCGGGTGCCCAGGAGACTTTGCCGCCTTTGAGACACACAGTGCTCAACAAAAGTAGCTTGCTGCTGAGGTAGAAAATGTGATATCCAGATAGGGAAGCTGTTGTCGTCAACAAAACCGCGGGCAAAACAGTGCAGCATTTTAGGGACCAGAAGTTTCCCCTTTCGACTGACTCCTACCGATGCTCTAATAAAATCACGTTGTGCATCTTGGAGTTCTTCCCTTACATTGCCTGCTGTATATATCTTCACCTGTAGTGATAATTCGTCCTTTGTTATCATTAAGCTCAGCAGAGGAAATAATCAGGATGCATGCTATACTGGTCAATGCCAATGAAGGAATCAACAAATGAGTGAGCTAGTTTACCGCAGGAGAAGAGTACAATCCACAGCTGAGAGCAAATGTCAAGAGTGGCTCAGGTGACCCAATGCAAAACTTTTTCTGCTCCTCAGGCACTTTTATCTTCTGAAGGGCAAGAAGCAGAGCCTTACTCAAAAAGAAAGAAGTAGCTGCCATCAGTTTACGTTGACAGGGCAAAATGTAAAAAAAAACAAGCAGCTTTGTCAGTTGGATGCCAGTTCACATACCATTTGTGGCCTATGATTTGGAGGTTTCATCTTCAGAATCACATACTCGATGAATGCAGCGCTGAATGAGTGACCTCCAATTGTATATGCGGCCTAAAATAAATCAAAGGCGATATTATTATTCAGACAGACGAGCAACATCATTCATCGAACAGATGTATCGATAAGTAAAATTAGTTGTGTGTTCATTACTTCAAACACCAAATGAGGGGAGAAACAACCAGTAAATAAGAATAAAGTTTTCCAAACAAACCTTTTGCATTAGGGAAAATAATTTTATGTCACTCCGTGGAACGCCATAAGCAAGATAAGCCTGTAAAAGAGATAAAGCAAGCATTATCACTCACTGTAACATAATGTTATATACAAGTGAAGTGAATTTGCAAAATACGCACATGCATCATCAGTGCATTGTATAAATTGATCCAAAATGCCAACTTTGCGTCATCACCGAGGTGAATTGGGTTTACTTCTGCCAATTGTTCAATCAGCAATCTGCGCTCAGATAAGTGCCAATAGTATGGATGAGTGGATCCAAATGTTAAGAAGGAAAAAGAAAATCAAGAAAACAAGAATGTTCCCATGTTGTAATACAAATGGAACAGAAATAAAAGTACAAAGGTGGTGTTTCCTTGAGCTAAAACAAGTGCATTGAATCATTTTTGGTACACAGATTGTCAGATATGTTACCTGAATTTCCTTAGTGATTCTGCAGCATACTCAAGTTGTTTCTTCCCAACTGACATCCACGAAACTTCAGCCGCTGCACCGTAGCTCCCAATGTCAGCCCAACTAAGCTTCTCGCGAGCTTTGTACGGATCAAAGACGGTCTCTGAAGCTAATAGATTATTGTTGTAGTTCAAATCGACCTGAGGACTCTGCACCCAGGAGGATATGGAAGTTGGTTCGGACAGCGACCAGAATGCAGAAATTGAATAGTTTCCGCTAGGAGATGGTCCAGACTGCTGCTTCTCCGTCGAGGGAGTCCTCGAGGACTCCCTGCAGGAATCTGACAAGGAAATGAAGATGTTCTTCATGCAGCGAACGATGTCCTCCGAAAGCTGATTAGGATTGCCAAAGCATTTGGATGAAAGCTGCCTCTGTAGTTTCATAGCTGAGTCGTGCAGGACAGCAAAAGGATAAACCTTGTCCACTCTACATGACTTCTCGTTTGCGGTGTCCTAGTAGCAACATGAATTCACAAAGTTAAGCATCAATAGCATATAGGTAGTGTACTCAACTCTTCATCTGAATTAGGTCCATATATGAATATGAAACCATAGGAGCCAATTCTTGGAAATTGGAGTTATGGACCATGTTGAAAGAGGATGGCTATGCTGAATTCAGTCATTGTTAATGATGATTCAGAGTCATTGTTATTCAGCAATGCATATACTGAAGAGGACAGATTATTCAGAAATTCAGTACCTATGCAAATACTATTCAGAAATACAGTACTGAAGAGGAAAGGAGAAGAGGGTCCATACATCTGATTCGGATTTGGTGGAGTGGCAGGAGCAGACGGAGCGTGGCTGCTGCAGCTGCAGCTGCGGTGGCGGCGGCGCCTGCTTGAGGCGGTACTCGACGAGCCTCCTCTCGTTCCGCTCCTGGATGAGCTGAAAATGCAGGGACACCATGTCGTCCTCCAGCTTGGAGATGGTGCCTTCCAGGATGGAGATGTTGGAGAGCAGCTCCTGTGCCTGCAAACTCATGGAGCTTCAGAAACCAAGAACACACCAATCCAATCAATCGAAATGCAGATCGACATGGGTGCGCGCGTCGTACGTTGGTGGGGAGGTAGGACATGTCGGCGAGAGTGAGCGCGGCGCGGTGGAGCGCGTTCTCGAGGATGGCGTGCAGCGTCGTCTCCTCCTGCAGCGCCTTCTGCAGCTTCTTCACCTGCAAACCATTGCTCTCTCCATCCTCTCAATCACAGTCACATCGCATCCGATTGAAAACGAGGGTAGGAAGGGAAGTGGATCACTCACGTCCTGCTCCAGCTGCGACCTGCAGGAGGACGCGGCGGCGGAGGCGGAGGACGACGACGAGGAGAAGCCCCTCCTCGCCTTGGCCGACAGCGACAGCGGCGGCATGGTGGCGCGCGAACCTGCACTCCCTGTCACCGTACTCGGAGAAGAGAAGAGAAGACGAAGCAGTGGAGGTGGAATGGAATGGAATGAAGTGCAAACACTGCGACAATGGCAGCGTGAGCAGTGTGGGTGGGAGTGGGAGCGAGGAGAGAGTAAAAACTTGCTGACCAGTACTTCAAAATTTGAAATGTACGAGTAGTGTAGTGTGGCGTGTCGGGGGAGGCGGACGCGGACGCGGAGTGGGTGGCCAAACCCAACCCGCAGCTCGAGAAAGGCGGGGGCAGACGAGCGAGCGCGACACCACGACCCACCTGGGAACACACGTAGTAGGACCTGTCTGGGAGCTTAATACCGTGAGAAACAATTGATAAAGTTGGTAGCCGGTTTTTAAGGATTTGAAAAAGCTGAGTTTTCAGCTCCTTATTTCTATTTCTAGTTTATTTTTTAAATTTTATGACCACACCTTCTCGTAATCTAAACTTAAAAAATTAGATTGTTTTGAAAAGTTTCTAATTTAGAAGCTCCCCAAAGAGGTTCAGAATCTCCCATGAAAAAACGAAGCAGATTAACGTATGATTAATTAAGTATTAATTAGAAAAACTTTTAAAACTAGATTAATATGATTTTCTAAAGCAAATTTTCTATAGAATATGTTTTTTTATAAAAGATGTAAATTTTAATAGTTTGGGAAGCACGCGCGTGAAAAACGATACAGACATACAGTGAAGGCTGGGAAGCACCACAAGCCAACTCAGCCTGTATATTATACTCCCTCTATTTCAAAATGTTTGACACCGTTGACTTTTTAGTACGTGTTTGATCATTCGTCTTATTCAAAAAATTTAAGTAATTATTTATTCTTTTCATATCATTTGATTCATTGTTAAATATACTTTCATGTATACATATAGTTTTACATATTTCACAATTTTTTTGGAATAAGACAAACGGTTAAACATATGCTAAAAAGTCAATGGTGTCATTTGAAACGGAGGGAGTAGTTGATAGTTCGTAGCGATACGTGACGAGAGGAAGGAAGAAGGGGACAGGTTGGGCGGGGGAGGCATGGCGCCGCGAACCGCGCGCCGATGCCCACGACCGCTTCGCCATCCAACCCCAAATACCCAACCCAAGAGAACGAGAGCTAAGCTAGCCGCTAGCTAAGCCAGGAGTCCGAGGCGAGTCCGTTGTCCGGCTCGCTCGTTGCGTTGCTAGAACGCTACGCTTTCCACTTTGTTTTGACGGTTTTGTTTACGGTTACCGTGGCAAAGTGGCAGCCAGCCAAAGCTTGGCCCTTCCTTCCAGCACGCGGCCCGGAGCCCAAGGATCGGATCAGAGGCAGCGACCACCCCACTGTCACGGATCCAGAACAAATTCCACCCATTTTAGCATGGTACATACTCTAGGATTAACCTGCTTTTAAACCTGAAAACCCCACAAACAACAACTAGTACTAGTAATTAAACACATCCTAAGATAACTTACTACAGTACAGGCTCTGACATATGTCGAGGGTCCAACCTCAACTACCATTCACTCCTGTGAATTCAATGGCAAGTTGGCAACACTGGGGCGGTGACCTCGCGACAGGGAGAGTGGAGAGTGGTGCCGGCAGAGCCGCACCGACCGAGAGGGGCAGCAGACACTGAGAAGAGTCAGATATGCAGTGAACAGTGAACACTCTTTCCTTCTTTCTGGTGGTCAATCGAAATGGAATGCAGATAAGCTCTACTACTGCCAAGTGCCGAAACTCGAACATGGAAATTACTGGAAAAAAGAAAAGAAAAAAAAAAAGCTCCTCCAGCTGAAACTCTGAAACATGCCAAAGCCTGTCGGCCCATTAAATATACTAATAATATCACTAACAGTTTTCGTAAGTATATAAGAAGCATATGATGAGAAAAGACAATAAAGATCATGCATACTCCCTATGTTAAAAGAAATTAATTTTGGGTTGGAATCTAGACATATGTACATATATTTGTATTAACAGAGAAAGCATGTATTAGATATAATGCCATATGTCGATATCATAAATGAGAGTAAACAAGGAGGGTAATTCAACACAGGTAATGCCACCAAAACACTATGTTCACCTGTCGTTTTCCATTTTGTAACATGGTTAAACTACAGAGGTGATTTGACTGAAACTAAACCAGGTAATCCAACAAAGAAACAGCATAGTACGAGCACTAAGAAATGCTTTGTCAGAGTCTGGAGGATAAGCATAATGCCAGAAAGACCCAAAAAAGAGCTGAAAGCACTGCTCCAGACCATAGCACTTTCTCACTTGTAATAGGAGGTGGTCTGCCCTGATGAGATCCAGTCACCCAGTTGACTAGTGAGCCTACTATGCTGTTGAGCCCCAGAAGCACCGCGTACGCATGGCTCACAATGGGCGAGGCGAAGATTGTAGTGTAGATACTCCATCGTTCTGAACCTCTCTTGCTCAGGATATGTCCTCTTCACAACATGCAGCTGCTCGGATATGCTCCGGTCAATGTTGTATATGGAAGCACCGAAGCATGTTTGGCTCAAGATCCTGATCGCAAACGTTTGCAGCTCAGGGGTGTCAGTCCCATGTGCCGACCACCAACGAACTGCAATTTAAAAGTAAGAGATGGTAAGGATGTGTTTCTTTAATATGAACAAAAGCAACAACTGCATTCGTTAGTTCCAGTTCTAAACATCGAAGAGAAGATTTTCTACTACTACAACTTAAGCAAGTCAAACAGTTCAGGCTGTGGCAGGTTGCCTATTACATGGGAAGTGTTTGCATCAGTGTAACACGGGAGGGAACCAGTTTTGGGGGGGGGGGGGGGGGTAGGAGTGAAGACAAACTAGAAAGATAACCTCACATTAATGCCCAAGTGAAATGAAAGATAAAACCACTTGTTCTAAAGGTAACCTTAGTGTCCTTACGTCAATTAGAAAAGGAGAGCCAGTATAAAAGGTGCAAAAGAGACCTCATATTTGCATCGAAGGGGATATCAAAGCACTTTGTTTAAATTCACTCTTATATATATGTTTTGTGTATCGTTCAGGCGGAGAACAGAACCTGATTTACCATGTTGACAAGTAGACTAACAGTCTAACTCTAATTGACTTAGTACAACATTCTGACTTTTTCTTAGAACTACAACAACATTCTGGCTTTAACAAAAAATATGATAATCTTTATGCCACTTTGCACATAACAAATATGCTTTTGTAGTGCATCTTAGTTAGTAATGCACATGCCAGATCCATGGAAAACCTTGTAACATTATTATATCTTGCTGTGTCTAAACACTGTACATGAGCTCGCAATAACATGTGATTGAGGGACATTTTACATGAGAATATGCTATACTTTACCTTGTGGTATTTCCATTGTTTGCTGAATTGCTGAGTCTGAATCAAAAGGAGCTGATTTGCGTCGATACCTATCCATTTGTATGGCCACTTTCTTAGGATCATAATGGTTTTTGGCCAGACGGGTTACACAGGCATTGGTCCCACTTTTGATTTCAGTATCATAACTGAATCTTTCTGTGTAAAAGATCCTTGGATTCAGAATATAACCGGCAGCATGGACTGGGGTATGCAAGTAATGATCCCATATCTCATCAACCATAGGCCAATAATCACCATGTTTGTCTCGAAGATTGCACTTTATGTCTTCTTTTGCGCAATCCATAGCATCATACAAGATACCTATTGGGCAATTATCAGCTTCCAGTTTGTACAACACAGTGATAAGTGGATCCGTAAGCTTCAAAATATCAGCAGCAGCACTCCAAAATGCATTATCAGTTTTTACTACTTCATAGACATGCCTGAATGAACTTCTAGAAGCCAAATCAGAGGAAGCCCATTCAGGCGAGCTAAACATCTCCACCAAATTTATTCTCTCAGATACTAACTTCCCTAATGTGATGAACATTGCCACAAATTTTAAATTAGAACTGCTCAGAATCTCGCCGCCCTGAATATACTTCCCTTTCAGTTCCATTGGCACTGCATGGCTATAAATGAACCTGGTAATTTCTCTTGCCTTGATTAGGACCTCATTGACATGATCAAGTGCTGCTATGTTCTCAAGCAGAAGGTTGATGCAATGGTCAGCACATAGTGTGAAGAAGAACGAGTAGCCATATCTCTTTAGCACGGCATGCTCTGCTGCTTGCATATAAGGTGACTCATCATTTGTGATAACCTGAACAATGTTGAGGACACCAACCTCTTCCACCACACGGAAAAGCATTACTGCTAGCTCATCCACGTCATCAATGATATCAGAGACATCCATTGATTTGATGAACAACATGCCTTTACTGCAATGCACCAAAACACTAATGAAGCTTTTACCACATCGACTCTCCCAGGTATCCAAAATTACACTGCAGCCATTCATTTCCCAGTGTTTCTTGAGATCCCTTGCATGGCATTGAATTTCTCTTAGTTGCTCCTCCATAATCGATTCATAAGTAGGGATTGCCACCTGGGCCCAGGCAAGCACATCAACCATGTCCTTGAAAGATGGCAAGTGGAGAATACCAGGCTCAAGTCCAGCTTCAAAGATGAGCTTGCCTATTGACTTTCTTGCCTGAGAATTCAAGTAATCATTAGTTGGCTCCTTTGAGGATTCCGAATCTTGCATCTGTGATGAAGAATTCTCCATAGAGAAACTCAATGGATCAATTCTCTGCCCTGAAGATATTTCCGGTGGCTTATTCATCATACACGGATTTTGATATGGAGGCCTAGTTACTTCTATAGTCTGGCCTCCCTTCTGAGATGAACTTGCATTGCAAGAAACATCATGGGCATTTACTTGTGTAGTTTCCCCGGGCTGCACCAAATTATTTGTGAAGTGAACAAAGCAGCGGTGCCAACTAACAGAGCCTTCTTGATCCGTACCGGATGTAATTGGCTGCAAAAGAGGTCGGCAGGCATGAGCAGATGTGAGGGATAGATTTCTTACTGGAGGAAGCTCAGAAGATTTATGTTTTCCTATTTTTCGGGCTATCCAATCTTTCTTGCGAGCCTCTAGTGAACTCTTTATGCTTTGCCTGACACTGTCAGGTACTAAGCTGCAAGGATAAACATTGCCCCTGATGCCCGCTAAGTGGTGCTCCAGACGGTTGTATGTCCTAACCACCTTCCCACAGTAATTACAGCTCACCTTCTGTGTTTCCTTATCGACAGTTTTGCCATGCTTTTCCTTTTCAAGCCTCCTTCTCTGAGTATCTTGGGTAGTGCAAACCTGAAGAATAGTTATAAAGGCATATTATGTAATGCAAAGTAACTAACATTGTCTTATTCCCAACATTATCCAGTGTGTAAAGTTTCATAAGTTATCAGATTTCATCTGCTTGCTCACCAATATGATGGTACATGATGACTACTAAGATCACAGAATGCACCATATAAAACACATGATAAACAACAGTTTTAAAGAATCCTAAGATCCAATCCACCCAAAAAATTTTAAGAAAAAATGAAAACAGAAATTGTTAGGCATCATACATTTGAAGTTCAAACATGGTATTATGTGGTGGTACAGAATGCTCATTTTTTTTATACAACTTGCCTCAAGAAAAACATAAAAAGATATGATCATATGATCTACATTCTGATGCATATTTACCAAAAGAAGAAGGGTACAACTCTGGTCACACAATGAGTTAACACTTTTTAACAGCAACCATGACAGGTCGGTTCAAGAATTTTCCACTTTCACCATACTTCCTTCTGTAAGCATGTAAATAGATCATTACATGGCCAATGTTCCTCTCTTAGTCTATACTCTACAGTAACGAAAGCTATCGGCAAACGTGGAAACCACCTTCAGCACAAAATTTATAAAATATATCTAACTCTATAGTGATAATACATCAGAGGCAACACATGGGCATGCCAAAATTACCTTATGCAGCGAAACAAGTTCGCTCGCAAAGCGTGTAAAAGATGTGCGACTGTGCGCTGATCCAAAGTTGTTAAGAACTATTATTATTTACCCCCTTCCTGGAAATCCTCGTTTGCTAAAATTCTCCATTCCGTTTCGCTCGCAAAGCGTGTAAAAGATGTGAGACTGTGCACTGATCCAAAGTTGTTAAGAACTATTATTATTTACCCCCTTCCTGGAAATCCTCGTTTGCTAAAATTCTCCATTTCGGATAACCTAGCCGTATGATCTCTCAATCTAATCGACTCAAAAGCCTACTGAAATCCAACATTATACAAACTAAGTAACTCTTAAACAATCAAAACCTAAAACCTAAAACGAGTAAAAAAAAAGGGGAGGAGGGGGGTACGGCTTCTACACGCTCCAACCCCGATTTCTCCCACAGCATAGATGGGCTCCTACTCCTACATACATCCCCGGATCACCACCAGAATCCACTCCAAAACCCCAACATCTACAAAAGAATTTTTACCATTGCCTCCTCTTCTCCCATGCGCGAACGAAGCAAAGGGGGGCGCGCAGCAGCAACCGGCAGCCCCGCCGCGCCTCCTCCCGCCGACGACGATCCCCGCGACCTCCCCCCCTCGCCGTACTCCCCCTCGTCGCCTCCTAGGGCTTGAGCAATTCGCTCTTCACGGGTGGAGATGAGAAGAGAAGCGATGAGGAGAAAGCCCGAAAGGGGTAAGCTTTGGAGCAAGATGATCGAAGCGGGTTTTTGGCATTTTGCCGTTTCAGGTGAGGTCGAGGGGCATTTTGGTAAAAACATGGAAAGAAAGGGGGCAGAAAGAAATTGACTCCCCATTGACCATGGCTTGACCAAGAAATCCCTAGCACGCGTTCACACTCAGTCTTAGCTTCAATTTATTACTTGCTGCAAAACAAATCCTATAAAATTTTGTAAGTCCATATTTTGATTTTTGATTATAATTTATCTGCTTCCAAATTCAGATTCTCATTCCCCAAAAGTCCAAATTTATATACAGTGGCTAAAATTCTCAAGAAGAGAGATGCATTTGCATGCAGCTGAGAAATCCTTGCCTTCTTCCTCTCTACACAAGCTATGAACACTGGTGCTCATCGCCGACATGAACCCTAGCTCTCTTGCTACCCACCGGCGGCGACGACTTGCATTCTGCGTCTGGTGATTTATCCTCGGATGATGGCTGAGCTGAAGTGGCGGCGCCTGCTTCGGATTCGGCCTCCTTCTTTTCTGATGTTGGTTTTGGCGATTCCGGTTGCGATTCGGCTGGGGGTTTCAGTGAGAGGGAGTTGCTGCTGATGCTGACCTTGTGCTGCTCTTCCAGTATTCTCTGCAGGTATCTTGCGTGTTCTTCGATTCGCAGCTGCAGTTGCCTTTGCACCTGGTGATTGAAAAAGGTATAAATTGTATGGATTGGGGATATCTAGTTCGGATTATTTGTGAGCCGCATGCTTTTCCTGAATATGTGTACTGATTTAACTGAAAATTTGGTCACTGAACACTTGCAGCATATTATTTGATTTTGACCAAATTCACTATAGTGATGGCAGATGAACAATGATCACAAGTGCAGATGAAGAATGATACTACAACATCAGACGGATTGCAAACCCTGCATTCTAGAGTTTCTGATACGCACCTCTAACTGTTCATGAAGCTGTTTCTGAACCTCCATTTGCATTCGTAGAGCTTCTGCCACTTGTAAGTTCCTAAGAAATGGGACAATGGAAATTTAGTAGTTGTAAGTTCTAAGATCACAGTGTTTATGTTTCTGAGTTCTGGTGTGAGCAATTAGAAGGCTTACTTCTTTTTGACTGAATCATTTCCACTGCTACCTGACTGAGATTTCTTATCCTCTGAGGATGCCTTCTTGTCTGCATATAGCATGCATCAGTAATTCAGTATTCAGAATGACAAAACAATCTAAAAAAGATATCAACTATTTTCTCAATTTACCTTCCTTAGTCTCTGGGAGATATTTTGCGAGGCGATACTTCTGCACAATAAGGACAGAGAAACTGTAAGCAAAATATGAAAACATAGAAGGGTGCTTGATTTTCCAGTAAAAATGGTAGTAAATGAATATAAAGTGATACACTGATACCTGCAAATGACTCTTTACATGGTAGATAGTCAGGCCTTCTACTTTCATAAGTTTCAGCACACCTTTAGGAGTTGCCTCTGTATGAGATAATGAAATAAACCATTTAGACAACTTCAAAATTATTCCTTTTAAGGTACTGAAAATTGCAAAGCATTTATGGCCACCCTACTTTCAGGTCCATCTAGCTTGTTCACAGCCTCTACAAAACGCTCATGGAGCTCCAGTGTCCACCTCAACCTCGCCTTGTTAGTTGTCGCGGATCCCGAAGATGACCGAGGCGAGCTAAGCTGAACTTTCACAGGAGATCCTGCTTTCTGTACACTCTGGTTGGAGCAAGATGATACTGGAAGTGATGAAAGTTGCGGCGGCGTGCCGTATATGTCCTGAAAATAAAAGAATTGTTGTGTAAGAAGATCAATGGACTACTCAATTTACAGTGAAGAAAATGTTTCAGTAAAGGCAATGAATAAACTCACATCTAACCGAGGGCTCTCCTCATTGTCAGTGATGGCAATCCCTAGCTGCTCAGACAAGAACTGGAACTCCATCTGCTCAGCAAAAGCCATGGCATTGTTTTCTCCATGGAAGCTGCCATCAGAAGCATCTCCTCCAGAGAGATTGAGGAAATCCTTCAGATCATCTGACTGTTCAGGTTCATCATGAGCATTGCCAATATCACCATCACCACCAGGTACTAGCAGGGAGGAGCTTGATGAGTGCCCTGCTGAAACCTGCTGCTCACACTTAGGAGGGTGAGGCAGGAATGGTAGAGTGCCCAATTGCCGGCACGGCTCCGTCTCCATCGACGACGACGAAAACAAACTTGTGCAGAAGGTTGAAGAATTTGAGTAAACTGGCTCTGAAACATTGGGATGTGAAACATGAGACAGTGGACTTTCAGGTTCAGGTTCAGAGCTTCTTTTCTGAAACGGCAGTATATTTGGCAAGCTTGATGATCTGATCAGCTCAATCTTGATGCTTGAGGACTGACTGGAGGATGACAAATTGTCATCTATCAACCCTTGAAAATCCGGTTTAACATCGAACAGCTTATGTGCAGAATGTTTTGTGGATGGACAGGTTTCCACTATTTTGTCCGGAGCAGTAATCTGCTTCACTGCAACAACACTCTGGGAGCTCATGCTGGTTCAGTTGATTGATGGCTTTATCATCCACTGGCCAGTGCATCACAATGGATGCTTGCTGCAAGAGTACAGTGAGATAAATTTTAATAGTCAGCGAAACATATTCGTAATCTAAATATTTCTCAGATATATGCGTTCATAAGAAGCTTGCTTATAATAAAAAAAATTGTGTAGATAACTAGCAATTTACACAAGAGGAGGTTCTAGTGTCTGAGACCCTGAGTATGTTATGTATTACGCCGAAATATTTAGATCTGAGTTATTAATCATTTCTATTAAGTTCTGGTAGTGCAGTAATTACATTAACATAAATACTCAGAAAAATCAGTTCCCTAGAAAAATCACGGATAAGATTCCACATATTTGCTCACTAGTAAAAGGAACACGAAAAATCACAAAAAAAAAAAGCTTTCCTCTCAAAAAAAAATGTAAAAGTTGCAGATAACATTACTTGTCTGTTGACTACAGTACAGTAATTTTCCAACTGTCTATCTGAGTTACAGAAATTTCTTTTCAATACATAAAAAATCACAAAGGAACGTTTTTGGAGTTTCGCAAAAAGCAAAAAAGAAAAGAAGAAAAAAAAAGGACACACGAGATTCTCACATTCGGCACTCTTTTTTGGAGAAATTTCCCGTGTACAGCTTGAGTATATGCCGTCCTGTCTGTCCGAGAGAAGCATGGACAGCATATACAAACTCTGAAGCCCAGATTCACAGCATCAGATATTCAGAGGCAGAAGAAAAAAAACAACTAAAAATCAGCATGAAATTCTTGGAACAGTTCAAGTGAATCACACATGGATATCTCTCATATCTAGTACAACAACCGAAGAAATTCCCATGAAAGCATATGAAATGAGATAGAGTGAACAGAATCAGAAATGGGAGAGGATTAAAGCAAGAAATGAGGTCTGAATCCCTGACAAATTAGTAAGACCAGCAGAAATTATGAATGAAAGCAGTTGAATCTCGCAAGAACGATGCCAAGAAATCCAAAGAACAGAGAGAACAGCAGCAGTGCAGATAAAAGGATGGATCTTTGAAATCTCAGCCTCACCTGAAAGCCCAAAGAAGATAACAGGAAGTAGGCTTGCAGGAGATTCAGAATCTGGATGCTTCCAATCCTCTCACCCCCACTGTCTCCACTCTCTTCTCCTATCCAACACCAAATCTCTCTCTCTCTCTCTCTCTCTCTCTCTCTCTCTCAGCCTCTCAGGGAGGCCTAAGACCTATATCTGTTACTACTGCAAATCATTGGTGGCCAGTGACTACTCCTTCCTTTGGTGTCATGGTGTGACTACTACTCAGAGGTTGGTTGGCTGGCTGTTTTGCTTTGGTCATTGGAGGAGTTAATATTGTCTACCCTTTCTTGAAGCATTTCTTTTTCATTTTCTGATTGTATCTTAATTTTGTCCATGTTTGCTCTCCCTGTCAGCACATTTTTTTTATTTAATTTAACCATGTTTGGGAAGCAAGGAGAGAGTTAAGGTCCCTCAAAAAAGCCCACCAAGCATTTCTGGTAATATTTTGGGGGCTCTAACCAGGCCATTTCTGGCTGTGGTTAGTGCTAGTGTGCATCAATGATTTGAATGCTACTATTATACCCTTTTTTTATATATAAAGCAAATTCACCCGGTTGCTGTCTAGGAAAGATGTTTGGCTACTTGTTAATATTAATATTGTTCTATTGCAAACCATGTACGAGAAAACAGGAGCGGTAGACACGAAGTTGTTTAGATTTGGCTTAGATCATGATGAGACGATTGGTACATGGAACTACTATGATTTCTTTGTTAATATTTCAAATACGTTTGCTTTGTTATATTTCAGAAAGAAACGTGCAGAAACCAATAAGCAGTAGAAAGTGATTTTTTTAATAAAGAAAACAGCTACTATGTAGTAGTGAAATACCTTGGTGAACATATTGAGAGGCAAACTTTTGGCCTTTGCTACAGGTACTTATCACCTGTCACTATAAAGACAAGGAAAGGATGGGAATTAATTTGCCTGATGCAACGCATGATTGTTAGAGTCTGATTATCAAGAGAAGGCTAAAAAGAGTCACTCTGTTAGCTTTGAGTGTCTAGAAATTGCCATATTGATAAAGAATAAAGTGGATATGGTCTAAATTGATCAATATGATTATATAAAAAAACACTGTGTCATTTTTAGGATTTAAACCGGCCACTGTGTCAAAGAGACAAAAAAAGGCAAAAATATTTATATTTATACAAACAGAGGCAAGAGTTATAATGAAATGCAATTCTACTTCAAATAGCTCCGTGAAAATTCACCGAAGAACATTTGTCTAGTTTGAACTGCATAAATTCAGCAAAAGATTCAAATGAAATAATATAGTAAAATATGAATGGAAACCGTTCGATCTGAGTAACCAGCATAGATCGATCGAAAGGAATTTTCTTATAGTGGTTGCATTTTTCAAGTGACCATTAGGGAACTAGTCCTTCAGTTAATTAATGTACCTTGACTCTTAACAAAAGCATGGTTAGCTAGCTGCAATAAGCTAATGAGAGATGGAATCCCAGCAACCTCTGATGTAATCGAGAGGCCGACAAGCTTGCAAAGACATGACCACTGAGGAATCGGGTTTTATTAATATATATGATCAATAATTACCTTGGAAGAATCACTCTTAGCTATACTAAAAGCTTATAGTGATAGATGCATCCACAAATTAGTGGTGGGGCTGGTCTGTCATGCAATTGATCATGAAAATTGTGACAAGGAGATGGTGGAGGTTCGTTTAGTTTAGATGATGTCAGCCAGAATTTTGGGTTCAATTAGTGTTAAGACAACCACTTGGAGAATAGCATTGGATAAGATGGGCCAATTGCTTCATGATCAATATTCAACACCACTAGCTGCTAGTTTGTGTAGGTCTAGGATGACCCCTATGTGAGGTGATTTCATAGCAAAAAAGAGTCATGGGACATCAAGTATTGCGTGTAAGAAAAAAGCTACTATATCTTAAAAAGGGAAACTCTAGCTACGAATTTAGAGATTAAATTTTTTTAGACAAAGGGGGTATTTTACAAATTGTGGCATGTGGCTATGTGAGACGGAGGTCTTCGTTAGTCTTATGCATCTATGTATTCATATTATACACTCGTACTCTCTTCATATCAAAATATAACTTCTGACTATATATGTGAACAAGTAAATAGCTACAGTATGTTTTAAAATGGAGGAAAAAGGCTAACATCAGGTAATTACATCCATAACCATGAAGAATAGGATTATAATACTATGTTATAGCTTAGATCTGGACATCTGGTCATAGGCTTATTACCATATATTTTATTAAGAACATAATTTTCTAATTAAACCATTAATTCCACCCTACCATATTATATTGCATTATTTGGGAAATTTTATAAGGTATGTAAACTATTCATATCTCAATTGTGCCCTGGCTCGTTAGCTAATTGTAGTTTTTTTGTCAAATGGATGTATACACAGCAATTTTCTCATTCAGTCAGGCAGATATCTTCCTTCATGCACTCCTAATTGATCCACCTTTGTTCCATTACTCCATTTTTATTGGATGTTGTCCCCACCATTAATCCACTTGCCTAGAGAAAAAAATGTGAAAGCTTTTGTACACTGTCTAATTGATCTGGTGGCAGGGCATCTTTCAACCTCGACCTAGGATTGGTCGATGCAGATCCAATAAAGGACAAGATTAGTTCAGCAGGCTACAAATTTACGTTACTGCCGTTCTATTCTCAATTATAGCAGTACTTCCTGTCCCATAAAAAAACCAATCTAGTATCGAATGTAACACATTCTAGTAGTACGAGTCTAGACATACATCTGCCCAGATTAATAGCACTAGAATATGTTACATCCTATTCTAGATTTGTTTTTTATTGGATGGAGGAAATACATTTTTATTTAAACAATGCGCTTTGATAGGGCTAGACTGACATCATATTTCTTCCCAATTCCAGGGCTACCAGAATATTGCTGAAAACTGAGGTCGGTACTTACATGTCAATGGTACTGCTCAACAAATGATTCTTTGATTCTCTTTAGCGATGAAAAAAAATAATTTTTAAGATAATGGAAGGTTTAAGGTGATACAATCATACTGAGAATACTCCCGAACTCTGATGCACACAACCAAAACACACACCATTACACTAGAAAAAGAAGATTTAAGGTCCACCAATTCATAGACTAGATTGCCAACTTAGCTAAATAGTTTTTATTTGTGTTGTCATGTAGAGAACATATATCGAACGGAATATTTATGCTCATTTGCACACGGAAATTCAAAACATGTACATATTAATATACCACGTGTATATGTATTGACACAACAATTTTATAGTACTCCATTCGATTTTTAATGTTTGACGCCGTTAACTTTGAGTTATACATTTGATCACTCAAATTATTAAAAAATTACAAATATAAAAAAATATAAGTAATGCTTGGAGTATTTATAAAACAAATCATGATAAGACAAATAATAATTATTTTTTAATAAGACAAATGCTCAAACTATATCAAAATCAACAGTGTTACATTGAAAACAACCTGAGAGAGTAAGGCCTTGTTTAGATCCCACTCTAAAATTTTTCACCCTGTCATATCGAAAGTTTGAACACATGCATGAAGTATTAAATATAGGCCAAAAAATAACTAATTGCACATATTGCGACTAATTTGCGAGACGAATCTTTTAAGCCTAATTGCTCCATGATTTGACAATGTGGTGCTACAGTAAACGTTTGCTAATGACGGATTAATTAGGCTTAATAAATTCATCTCACGGTTTACTGACAGATTCTGTAATTAGTTTTTTTTATTAGTGCCCGAACACCCTATGTAACACCCTATATAATATCTGATGTGACATGCCAAAACTTTATATCCTTACATCTATACACCCCCTTACTATTTTTCCTTATGCCTCTTTGAAACAAACAGGTACATGCCTTGATCAATCAGACCTTTTCCACTTGTGCAAAAATGACAATCATTGTATAGCTAGCCTAGATATATATGTGCCACATTTGGTGAGGTGAATGCATCCATATCTATCTATCTCAGCCGTCAATTTTCCCTAGCTCTAGCTCTCGACGTCATCTCTTTTCAGTGGCTGTTTCTACCTGCAGCTGCAATGCAATATATATGCAATGCATGTAGGCGGCGCCTGGGCAGGTGGTAGAAAAAACTGGAATATGCTGCGGCATATCGAGTTCGTCGTCAACCAAGTTGCAATGCTGGTGTAGCGATCGAAGAAAGAGATGTCACCATACCTCCTGTCTGTCTCATGTAGCTTAGCGAAAACAATCAAAGCTGAATTTTTGTTTCTTTTTCCCCTCCGCAGTTGCAATCGTTCCATGATCCATATAGACAAGCTTGCCTAGCTGCGAATGATCTAAACAAGGTTCATTTATAATGGAATTATTGAGTGCTCCCTCCGTCCTATAAAAAGTGAATGTAGAAACCGGATATGATACATCCGATACTAGATTATTTTTTTATGGGAAGGAGGGATTATATTTGTAAGTACAACAAAAGGAGTCATGTACTCCTAAGTACTTTTTATACGAGTTCTTAGTGGTGATTTTATTTTCTGTATGTTCTGCTGCTGACATGGTTATAAAAAAGGCGCTAGTTGTGATTCAGAACAAGATTGCATCAGGGTAAAGATCTGGAATTCAGGAAACCTGAGAGAGGGAGAGATCTGCTTGCTCCTTTTTTATATACAATAAATGTAAGGAAGTGAATTTTAAACTCTTAAAGGATATTCCCTCGTTAGTTACATAACATCTACATAGTTATAATTTTTCTTTAAGAAAAATGAGAAGATAGATTAGTATATGATATCCACTCTAAAATACAAGTTAAAAATTAACTTTTACAAATTACAACGAAAAAATTTAAACTATAGCTAATTAATGTATATTTACAGTTAAATTTGTTTTCTCTGCTGCAACTTATAAAAGTTAAAATTTAACATTTACATTTGAGTGATATGCAAATATATAACGAGTACATATACCCAAAGAGTTTAGAATAGTTTCTCACAAGCGTTAATAACGAGTCTCACGGAGAGGTGCATGATTATAACGAGTCTCACGCAGAGGTGCATGATTCATCCGAGAGATTTAGGTAGTACTAATGGATCGTAACGTTGATTCTTGACCGATGGAGTGGTACAAGAGGAGCATATCCTAGAGCATCTAATGAAGATGCATCAAGCCATGAAAGGCAGAGGGTGTGGCTAGCAGTGTAGCTGAAGCTATAGCCACCGTTTCATTTCAGCTGGGTCCGATCGATCTCCTCCCGGTAGAGTCCGAGGAGCAGAGCAGACAAGCGATCGAGCTCAGCTCACTCTCACACTCTCACTCGATCAGCACGCAGCTGGTCCCTCCCTGCTCTCGCTTTCTCCCAAAAGCTAGGCGCAGATCGACCCGCGACGCAACCGCAGCAGCAGCGAGCGCGGAAATGTCGTCAGAGGGGGAGGGGGGGGGGGGGGAAGGGGGGCTCTTGGGCCTCCTCAAGAGTTGCCCGCTCGCGCTACCGCGTCCGCTCTCGCTCTCACCTCAAAGCTGCTGTCTAAACCCAGCTCCATAACTCTAGTATATTTTGTGAGAGAGCTCCACCCAACTCCACTTCCAGTTTTGGTGAAGCTGAAACTGTTTGGCCGAGCTCCAGCTCCAGAAGGGGTGGAGCTGGAGCTGTGCCAAACAGGCCCGTAGGAGTACGGGAGGGTGCGTTCTTTCGAGGATTTTTACTCTGTTTACTTCGCGAAAAGAAATTTTTTTATGCCATATCGGGTGTTTGATCGGATGTCGAAAGGAATTTTCGGACACGAATGAAAAAACTAATTTCATAACTCGTCTGAAAACCGCGAGACGAACTTATTAAGCCTAATTAATCTGTCATTAGCACGCGTGGATTACTGTAGCACTTATAGCTAATCATGGACTAATTAGACTCAAAAGATTCGTCTCGCGATTTTCATGCAAACTGCACAATTAACTTTTTTAATCTATATTTAATGCTCAATGCATGTGTCCAAAGATTCGATGTGACTTTTTAGGTAAATTTTTTTTAACTAAACAAGGCCTTAGTTGTACGCAAAATGAGAAAACTCATCAGCATATAATTAATTAAGTAGTAATGATTATAAATTTAAAAAATAGATTTATTTTATTTTTTAAACAACTTTTATATAAAACTTTTTTTGAAAAAAAATACATCTCTTAACAGTTAAAAAAAACGTGCTAATAAAAAAGAGGAAGTTTAAATTCAGAGTTAAAGAAAAGAACGGGCCTAAATGTTAGAAGTACATCGGCAACGATTCAAAGTTTTACTGGAATGTTAGAAGTACATCGGCAGTGATTCAGTAAAACTACCTGGGTCCCTTCTCTTTTGGAGATGGGTCCTCCTTCACGTGCAAGTGGAGCTGCAGGACGTCATGGACAGAGCGCGACACAGTCGCACACAGTGCAACAGAATCAAATACTACCGCATTCAACTTGCATCTGCTTCAACCGAGAGGGAGAAAGCGACGAGTTGGCCACTCTGAGCCAACCATTTCTTCCTCTCGCCATTGCTGCTGAGCTCACCTCACTTCAGCTCATCTCTGTCTCTAAATTTGTAGTATACAAGTTGTAGTATAGATCTGGATTAGACCTTTATGCCTATACATAAATTTGTAGTATCAGATTGTTTCCAATCCGATACTACGTTGTTATACTTCTTTTTTTCATTGCTGTATTTGGACCTTTGCAACTCTCCTTCATATGGAAAACAAACTGTTCAGTTCTGAATTTCTGAGTTCTGATTGGTGAATTGCCACAGTGCTACTGAATCAGATATACAAGCCGATTGGGCCGAAACCTGTTTCGAGTTGTGGCCCATGGGCCTGGCTACCTGAATACAAACTACAGAACTGACAGGAATATAGCTTCAGAAAATTTCTGCTCAATTGGTCTTGTAAGTTCAACAGTGGCACAAGTATGAATGTATCGGCAATGAAACAAACACGGTGCATATTGCAGCAAGTATTGGAACAAACTTTTAGCAGTAAACGTCTGAAGCAGTCTTTTGATACGTGAAATGGCTATAGATTAAGCCATCATCTTTTGATACGTGATGCTTCCAACCAAGTTTGCAGCTTTGCTATCTATCCTTGAGCTCTTCTTCAAACTTGCGCAGTTTCTCCCGGATCGGTGCAAGAAACGACTTCAAATCCTTGCTGATTTGTGCCTTGTTGTCGGACGAGAGGTCCTTGATGTCGGTAAAACTTATTTGCACCTGAAAGGAATAAGCAAAAGGTACCATTTGAACTCTGACAGAACATAGGCAAAATGTTCATTTCCATAGATGATATCATCTTCAGATTCATCGTTTTAAAAGGGCACATTCGAAGTTGCTCAGGAAAAGAATACTACTAATATTATTATGGAAAGCAATAATGTACCTCTAAGTCTTCAAGTTCACCAAATGAAAATTCTGGAATGTCCAGATAGCCTTTCACCTTCTTGTTTTCTTCCTTAATTAACCATTCACCTGAAGAATACTCCCATGAGTGCCAATTTTCAGCAGGAGATAGCTCATGTGAAGATGTGAACTCCAGAACTAAAGGTTGTTTACCTTTAAATTTTAAGCCCAGCTCATAAGTATAGCCTACTCTCTTCTTATTACGGACAGTGACCAGAAATGCCTGCCAAAGTAACCAACACATTGATTTCAGACACAACATCGAACATGTGTTATACTGAAAACTAGAATATATAAAAAGTTCAAAACACAACATTCCACTGATAGTAGTATACAATGTTAAATCGTCATAAAAGTAAAGGCCTCATCTTTTCGCTTATGCTTATGCTTATCAGCAAAAATTTGAATTTTCGACCTTAAATTTGGAGTTGATTTTGGGGGTTTTTTCATCGAAGTTTATTTTTCAGCCTTTGCTTTTAGATCGCTAAGAACATGTATATAAAAGTTTTATTCATAATTATTTTTCGTTTGCAAATATGCCGTTTCGCTTATTCGGGGAATAAGCGAAACGAAGGGTCCGTAAAACAGTACGTTCATGAAAATAAATTCTACTACCAATGGATTTGGAACCACAAGGGGTGCATGAAAATGAAAGCACTGTTCCCTAGCTGGATTATCAGTGAGACATTCAAGAACATGGCACTCCATCAGCTATACATTTTTGTTCTCGAATATAGGAACAAGCATCACTACCAAATCGAGAAAACAAATCTGCTACATGTTACTGAATTCCCCAGTTGGATTGAGAAAGGCCCTAATCAATGTTTTACTGAACAGAGAGAAAAGCTTTGTAGATCTCCCCCAGGGATAACAAAGCTGAACTCATGCTGAATCCACATAGTATTATTACCAGCATTTTGCAGAGCTCCCACGGAGAGTTGCCACATTTTTGCTACTCATCAGTTCCTAGTTTAATGGGTTTGTCCACGCCATTTTTCAATGTTCAAACCAACAACTAACACAGCAAAAATATCAGGACCACAACTCATGCTTGCTGAGAAGTACACACTGAGGATGAATGCTGATAATATAAAATTCTTCTGTCTCTGTAAGATCAATATAGGATTATTAAATTTGATATTCCTGTCTTTCATATCCTTAAGGATTATTAACTTTGATATCTTTCAACAGTGTCCTTGTTATGTTCAAGGATGTCAAGGTATGCAAGAATTGCCCCAACAGCCATGAATAAAAAATTCCTCTTTATGTTAGCATTTGATAGTTTTGTAGGTTATCTTCAAGGATATCTAAAGATGTAAGAGTTCCCTAAAAGCCCAAAAAAGAATTACGGTATATGTTAACAACAGACGGTACTATCAGAAGTAATGGTTTTTTATTCATTAGAAGTAGTGTTTTCAGGTTCAGTACCACACGGCATTAGGTTGGTAAAACAATAAGAGCACTTTATTCCACGACAAAGCACTTGTGATGAAAACTATCAAATGGCTCTGTGAAATACACTACTCACATCGCCTGAACACTTGGATACTTCGTAAACAGATGCCTTCCCAGTAGAAAATTCCAAAGGGTCTAATGAGCCCAGCAAATCCTGTAGTTTAAAATTATCTAAGATCACTCAGATGAAATGTGTAACAATATAAGCATTACAGTTAGGACATTTGGATTTCAAGCATTTGATTGCTGAACTACAGCACCTTTATCCTACCGTTGGCCCATGAATTGAGGTTCTTTTCCTCCCAGGTTCCAGCCTACAAGAAGCACAGAAAACATGGGAAATTGGTTAGATATATAGTCACAGAGCTATTAGGTTTTATGAATTTTTTTTTTTAAAAAAAGCTAATCTCTATACTGTGCTCTCATTTTACCATTGTGAACTTATCTTGTTGATTGTTGCACAGTATGTATTAGTAGCATAGTCTAAACAAATGGTGATAATAAACATTCCATAGCAATACCAAAGAAAGAAATACTAGCTGATAATACACTACGCCCTGTTTGGTGTCAAACATCATTTAAGATACAGCCACAGGCATAAGAATTGGCTAGGAAAGATGGTGCCAACAGTCAAGAAACCGCTTCGTCGAAGCAATGTTGCATCAAAGGGCTAAAGGCAACATGACTCAAACATGTTTGTGAGGTGTTGTTGCATTTGAAGTTTGAACTATTCTGATGGCACGTTCTAGTGATTCAGCTTCTTGGCTGCTTTTGAGGTTTTGCCTATCAGGGATTACTGCATAGCAAGGCAAAGCATGCTTCCAGGTTGAAAATCCCTTAAGTTGCCCATGACATAGATAGCTCGATATGGGCATAGGAACTAGCTCCCCAGCATGAACGATGATATCACCCTCCTTGCAACTACAAGTTTCTTTTCAAATTTCAGATGCAAAACTACAACAAAACCGCAAGTACAACTTCCATTTCAGATTTCAGATGCAAAACTAACAACAAAACCGAACCATTCCACTTTCAGGGACACAGTAATCAATCAAATTCCAGATTCCCCGATACTACAGTAATCAATCAACCCAACGACTTCTTTTTCTCCCCCCTATTTCCAGGATGCAGTGCAAGAGCAAGACGAGGCGGGACCTTGTTCCAGACGGAGCCGAGGGTGGTGGGCGCGGGCTTGGCGGCGAGGTCGGCGGCGTCGATCTTGCGTGGCGCAGGAAGCGGCGCGGCGTCGCCCGTGGCCTCCCGCACCCAGTAACTGTACGACGTCGCCTTCTCCGCCGCCGCCGCCGCCGTCTCCTCCATCTCCGCCCCTCACCTGCTTGGTGGGCTGGACCGGGCTGCCTGCCTCCGATGGCGTCTTCGCGGCGAGACCCGGCAAAAATAATTAAAAAAAAAACCTCTTTTGACTCGTTCAATTCCTTTTCTTTTTTTGGCACTCGTCTCCAGACTCTTCGGGAAACTTCCCCCACGCACGTGCACATTAATCGAAGCTAACCACGTGGTGATTAGATAGTACTGTAGATTAGCATTAGGTTTCGTGTTAATTAACTAGTAACACCTTTTTGAGCAAGTTTAAATGTATAGCCCGCTACTATCTCCAATTCATCTATAATCAATCTAATAGCCAATTCATACAACAATTGCTTACTATACTATTAATATATGGTCCCACCTGTCATGCACACATTGCGTCTTGAAGTCTACGCTGCAGCTGGCTATAGATCTGTAGCCCGCTGCTCTTCTCTCTCATCTTTTATCTCATTAAAATATGTTTACAGCTAGCTAATAGCACTGCTATTGTATCTGCTCTTAGTATTCTCATTGGAATCATCTATACCTTTGTCAATAAAATTTGTTACTACAAAAATTTAACAGATATAGTTACAGTATAATCATGATGTAATTTTATTATAACTCTAAATACAATACAATATAATTTAACTTTCAAAAGTTTCTTCATGATATGTTTTTTTTTGAAGAAATGAAGGTCGTGAGAACGAATCCTCTCATACGTGCGTGTTGTGGCCTTTTTACTTTCTCACTTGTACAAATTTTAAAACAAATTTAACAGTTTAAAATTATGTGAAAGTTACATGCAAGTTATAGTATAATTATATTACAAATTTTTACTGTAATTACATCCGATAAATTTTGTCAAAAAAAATATATAACAAAACTGTTAACGAACACCTTTTGTGGATCGATCCGAACAACTCTGAACTCTGAAGTGAAATCCTTTTCGTTTTCGAATCGGACTCACACTAAATCTCCTCATCTTTTTATATCACGAGCTATCGTGCAATTTATCGTTGATCGATCGAATCGTGGTGAAGAAATCTGCAACGAAAACCGATGGACGCCAACATGCTGAGCGCGATGATGGCCGCCGTCGGCGGCGACAAGCCGCAGCCGGACACGTCGGAGCAGATCAACGTGTCCCCCCTCGCCCTCCTCAAGATGCTCAAGCACGGGCGAGCCGGCGTGCCGATGGAGGTGATGGGGCTGATGCTGGGCGAGTTCGTCGACGAGTACACGGTGACGGTCGCCGACGTGTTCGCCATGCCGCAGAGCGGCACCGGCGTGAGCGTGGAGGCGGTGGACCACGCGTTCCAGAGCGAGATGCTGGAGATGCTCCGGCAGACGGGGCGGCCGGAGATGGTGGTGGGGTGGTACCACTCCCACCCCGGCTTCGGCTGCTGGCTCTCCGGCACCGACATGGCCACGCAGCAGAGCTTCGAGCAGCTGCACCCGCGCGCCGTCGCCGTGGTGATCGACCCGGTGCAGAGCGTCAAGGGGAAGGTGGTCATGGACGCGTTCCGCCTCGTCGACCACATGGCGATGGTGCTCGGCGGCGCCGCGGGCGGCGAGGCGCGGCAGACCACGTCGAACGTCGGCGCCGTCGCGCGGCCGTCGGCGGTGGCGCTCGTCCACGGCCTCGGGCGGCACTACTACTCGCTCGCCATCAGCTACCGGATGAAGGAGGGGGAGGAGCGGATGCTGGCGTGCCTCAGCCGGAGCGGGTGGTCCGACGGTTTCGCGCTGCGGCGGTTCGGCGCGCACGACGCCGGCAACGAGGCGGCGGTGCGCGGGATGCGGGACCTCGCCGTGGGCTACGGGGCGCAGGTGAGGGAGGAGGACGAGACGCCGCCGGAGAGGCTCGCCGTGGTGAGGGCGGGCAAGGTGGACGCCAAGGGGAAGCTGGAGGAGAAGGCCATGGACGCCATGTCCGCCAACATCGTGCAGACGCTCGGCATGATGCTCGACACCGTCACCTTCTAGGATTACTAGTTTTATTTTTTCGTCTTTTTTTTTCAATTTTGACCGCTGGTAAATTTCTTTTCAATTTTGACCTTGCCCAATCGGCTCTTGAGCTTTAATCTCTTAAGCAAATATATATGTTCAAGGGATTTTTTTTTCGATAGATGAAATTATTTTTCTTGTGAAGTATAGTACAATATAAAAGCAGACGCTTATATACATATACCTCTCTATTTATATGAAGTTTAAAACTTAAACCTGACTATGAAATTATAGTTAGGTAGTAATATCAGAAATAACTTAATTTTGTTGAAATACTCACTTATGATGTTATACATCAGTAAATAAAATCGTAAAAATTAACACAAACAAATCAGTGTGTCAATTGGAATGAGATTGGGTTATTTTAGAACACATAAATTTTACATAAAACTAGTTCAGTTTTTGCGAAAATGCCCCAAATTGTTTTCAATCCAAGGTTAAAAAAAAGGCAATGGTGCAATGCTTCCGGCTGGCTGGCTTGACCAAACTTCATAATTGGAACAAAAGGCTACATTGGTATACTCCTTATTTTCCTTAATAATCTTAAAAGATATAAGAAATTGAAGAGAAATATAAACTACAACTTATCTTCTACTCAACTTTCTTAATTGTCATGGTGGCCTTGTTTGGCCCGAACAAAATCGCAGCCCATCCATATCTACGGGCCGAGATTGGAGCCTGCCTAGTGAAATTGTTGGTTAAAATTTAAAATCCTCTAAAAGCATTTATAAATGATATAAAATCGTTCACGCAATCCTGGAACAGAAAAATATGAAACCTGCAACAACCTAACCTGGTTTCTTGCAGCCCCATCGTTTCGCATACTGAAGAAAAAAGCGAACCGAATATTTACAAATGAAAAATAACCTGTGAATAAAACTTTTATATACATATTGCTAATGATATAAAAGTATAGGCTAAAAAATAAATTATAATTAAAAAACCACAAAATTAACTCTACATATAATTTTAAAAATTCAAATTTTATCGAATAAGCATAAGCAAAGACGAGTCTGATGGTCTCCCCGTTCCCCTTCCCCCCGGCGGATCGGCGGGAAGCGGAGGGGGCTTCACCTTCACGTGCTCGCTTACCATGGCGAATCCAACAAATCTCCCGCAATTTCCTCATCGAGTCATGGACTCATCGCGCCTCACGGCGACGATGCAATTTGCTCTGCTTCGCCACTGTATACATTTTGTACTACCTCGTGTCGTCGTCTCGTCTCGTCTTCTTCGTCTCGGATAGCGTATCGCCATGGCCAACCGCTGGCTGCTTGCGGGCAGATCTACTAGTAGTGATTGGCTTCGATCCAAGTAGGGTTCTTGCTGGACTCTAGTAGCTTGGGGGCAATCATGCTTCTGTTCTTGGTTGCGTTGATTGGCTTGTGGTCGGGAGACTTTTCATCAGATCTCGCGTCGTCCTGTTTTGTTTGGATTAGGTCGGGGTCCTATCCTCTCCTCGTTCCTCGTGCTCCTCCTCCTACCTCTCTCTCTCTCTCTGCTCTTGGCACAATCAGTCCTCTTCTTTTGTTGTGTTCTTGCTTGTCTTGGCCTACATTTTATACTCCCTAACCCTAAGCATGAACTGTCTCTTGATTAGTGGTAGTTTATCATCAGGACATGTTCTTTTCAGTTTTTGTCCAGATTTTTTCTCATGGGTTATTTGCTTCATGTTTTCTAAAACTACGATTTCTCAAAAAAAAAACTTCTACTATATCCATCCCATAATATAAGGATCAGATGAGATATTTCTTACCACTGTAAATCTGTACAGGATGCCGGTAAAGATTTGTAGTACTAGGAAATATCTCATCTAGTTCTAGATTATTATATTTTGGGACGAAGGGAATACTACATTATTTACACTAATTGTTGTAAGTTGTTTGTGCAGTTTATTCCTCAAAATATTAATTTATAAACAAACAATCCGCCTTAATAATCCGGACAAAAATCTGTTTCAGACAGGGCTGAAAGTATCCGGATTAGAGGCAATGAAAAGTAGTAGTGTTCTGTTCAATGAGGCCATCAACTGTTGGTTGGTCAGGACACCACAGATGGTGCCTCCTTGTCGTTGGATATAAAGACTCTTCTTTTTTTTCATTTTTTCAGATATAATTTGAAGAGATACCTTGAGCTATTAATGGTATTAGTACTGATAATTTATGATATCAGTACTGAGATAGAAATAGCTGGACAATGTAAAGAACTCATCTTTTTGATGAAGGTCCAAGTTCATGTTTATTCTGTAGCTGTGGTTTCAGAGGGGTTCAGAATAAGCAAAAGGCATCGGTACTTGGTTTGGTTTCTTTTTTCAATGTGCATCTAGGACAAACTTTGTCCTCAACTCCTAGTCATTGGTCCTCTCCCTCATCACAGGCTTGTTGTAGGAAATGGAAAGGCCAGAGATTTTTTTTGCAGGAAAAAAGTACAGCTAGTGCTAGTAGTAATACTGCCAACATGTAGTACTCGTTGCTAGAGATTTTTCTTTAAAGATACTCTCTTCCCCAGCATGCTAAACCATTCAACTGACAGTACAACTCACCGCCCCAATTTAATCTTTTGATTGCTCCATTTGGGGGTTTCAGAGGCGACATGCAACAGTGAAAACCCTGTAGAGGATCTGACCAGGGAAAAGAGTGTGCATTGCAATGCAAAGGCTGCAGCTGTTGTTGGATGGGGGCAAGAGATTAGATTGATTCATCTCAACCAGGCACATGATTCTACTGTTGAGCACACTGATGAAAAACTGTAGCTGCTTTTGTCCTCTCCCTACCCACACTTTCCAATCCAACCCTTATACAAACACAACCACACACACACCCCAATGGCACCAATGATCAAATCAAGCAAAGCACCACTGCTGCTGCAAAGAACACCAGATAGATCAAACTCTCTCTCTCTCTGGTGTTGCTGTTAGTTGGTAGTTTGGTACTACTTGGTACTCTGGGAAGAAGAAAGAGATTATTATAGCAGAAAAGCAGCACCATGGCATAGCTCCAGGCAGCAAAACCAGGTCTGAAATTATCCCTATCTTTTCTTTGCAAGAACCAGAATCTTTTTATGGCATGGCATTGTTTGTGGAGGAGTGATTCTCCACATCATTCAATCATCTTTAGGCAGGGGGTGAGGGGTGGGCTACAATGTGATTTCCACCACAAAAAGGAGTTGTTCTTCTTTCTTAGGGTTGCTGCTGCTGCTGCTTTTGAGGAGTGGAGTAGTTGAGGCCATAGTAGTAGTAGAAGTAGAAGTAAACTGGTATAGTCACTACTCACTACACTACCAGTTGGTGTTTGTTCTGAGCATTATTGGAGTGTCAGGGAAGGGCATGTGCTTTTGTTGGTTGCTGTAGGAGGAGGCAGCCATCCACTGGGCCTCACTCTCCTCTTGTTGCTGCCTCCTCCTCTTGTTACTGTTCAGTCTCAGGCTCTCAGGCTCACAGGTGGGGTTTTGGGAGATACTAGTTAGGAGGGAAAGGTTGCCATCTTGTGTGTGTTGGATCTTTGTGAGTCATGTCCTCTTTATCTTGGTGCTTTTGCTTTTTCTTGTGTTTTTTCTTTTCTTTCTCCTATCTTCTTTTGCCACAAAACTTATGGCTATTGTTTTCATCCAGGTAGAATACAACGGGGATAACGATTCTCTCTCAGCTAAAGGAGGTGAGATTCTTGGTTTCACATCAAGTATTATTGTTCTTTCTTTTACTTCCTTCAAAATAGTTTCTTTGCTTTTTATTTCATATATGGTTTGGTTTATTTATGCTCCCCAACAAGCAACTGGTTCATGTGCGGTAACAAGGAGCAAATAATGCAGCTCTGATTGACTTGGGGTAGTTGTTGTGGTGATAGATTGGAAAGGGTTTAAATAGCGGGTGGTTGTGGTGATGAATGGGGGCCAGCCTTGATGGGGTTGATGCTGTCGTCTTTTAGGTCGGGGAAACAAGTGGGATAGGATCTCTCTCAAGTCGAGGTGAGTGAGAACTCAGCCAAGAACAACAATGGAGTCTCTGTTGCTTTAGTTCTGCCAGCCAATTGGTTTCAACTTTCAACGCTGCTACTTGTTATTCATCACCTCCTCGGATCGGTTTGATTTATGCTCAAGGTTGTGCTATGCATGGTCATGCTGATTGAGGGCAAGATTTGCAGGGAGAGGAAGGATCCACTGTGTTTCTTTTCTGGGAGAAAGGAAAGTTGAGGTAATTGATCGTTTTCGCCTTTCTTCTCTTGCTATGATCCCCACAATAAAGCGCGTATAATTCATTTTGGATGGTATGTTGTACTTGTCTTTTTATCTGAAAGACAAAATGATTTTGGTACCCGAGATATGTTTATTGCCTTTCTCATCCAAGTTCTGCAATTTGTTGTGACGTGTGTTCTTTCTGTTCCTTCTTGTTTCTTGAAATCCTATCAGATTTGCAATATATACAAGTGTGAGCAGCAGCAGTTGAGATCCTTAATTCAGCCATGGCTTCTTTTGGGATGAACTGGAATCAGAAGAGCCCTGTGTTTTGGGACTGGGAAAATCCAGCGCCTTTCGGTCCGAATACAATGGAAAATCCCAAGAGCATACCTCACCCTGAACCAAGAGGTGTAGTTGTCGCGGCCGCAAATCATGGATCCACCAATTCATCCGGTGGCACGTTCACTTCTAGCTCGGAGCTAGCCAATGGTTCATCGAAGAGCTCCTTGTCAGCGTCGTTCGATTCCTCATCCAAGCTGGGGAACAGCTTAGAGTTCAGGTTTGCTTCTGTCAAAGGGCATGGCAAGAACATGTGCAAGGATGGCGAGGCCGGTAGAGTTGAAGACTCGGGCACTTCTCCAGCTGTGGCAGTTAGCCATGGTGAGCCGGTAATAGGACTCAAGTTAGGGAAGAGAACTTACTTTGAAAATGTTTGTGGAGGGCAGAATGTCAAGAGCTCCTCTGCAGCTTCAGGTGTGACTTGTCCATCTACTGTGGTCAAGAAGATGAAGGTGTCTCAGCAGAGCACACAAAGCTCATACTGCCAAGTTGAAGGCTGCAAAGTCGATCTGTCCTCCGCAAGAGAATACCATCGCAAGCACAAAGTTTGTGAAGCTCATTCTAAGGCACCAAAGGTTATTGTTTCTGGTCTGGAGCGCCGTTTTTGCCAACAGTGTAGTCGGTGAGAGCATAATCTTATTTCACTTTGCATGCTTTCAAGACTTCCTTTTTTATATGCACTACCCTCTTTAAATCAATAGACACAACAACAATGAAGAAAATTGTCTCTATCTGTATTGCATAAAGCATATACCAGTATAAATAAAGTCAAAGAAGTAGCACTAGTTTGCTTGGATTAAAGTACAACGCAAGGTTCGAGGTTATTGATCTTTACTAGTTTGCTGTCTTATGTACTCTATTGTTTTGTAGGTTTCATGGTTTAGCTGAATTTGACCAGAAAAAGAAAAGTTGCCGCAGGCGTCTATCTGATCATAATGCACGAAGAAGGAAACCGCAACAAGAGGCAATTTCATTTGGTTCATCAAGGCTCGCCACGATGTTTTACGGTAGTACTGACCCCTTAGATGCATCACAATGCTAGATGCCTTGTTCTGTTTTGATGACTGAAAGCTATTCCTTTAACCCAATCAATACTGCTGAAATAGTAGGATGATACCGTAAGCATTTTAACATGTAACATATCCAGTTTTCTGCATACGCACGACTGGTGGGTGTTACCTGGTGGCACACTTCTTTTTAGAAGGGAGCTTAACCCATCCTCTTGAGTCTTGACAGTTACTATTATATTGTTATATAATAATGCATAGTAATCATATATGGTAGCTTGTGTATTTTCATGATGTAGTTTTCCACTTGACGCGTTTTTACCAAGTCCTACACAAATCTTTCATGGTGACAGTGTTTGCGATTTTGCATTGCAGATGCAAGGCAGCAGACAGATATTTACTTTGGCCAATCTCCTTTTGGCCAAGTGAGAAGCAATGCAATTTCTTCATGTGACAACCTGGGAGGCTTCAAATTTACAGAAGCAAAACTCCCCTGGATGAAGCCAATGAAAACTATAGGCCTTGAGGATCTGAATTTCTCTACCCTGCAGATGCCAGGCAATGTTGTGTCGCATACGGTGCATCATCATGATTTTGATGGGCTCATACCATTCAAGGGAAACACCCCGAAGGTCCTCAACCAAGGTACATTAACATCTCTCAATTCATCACTGAACTTTAAAGAAAAGACATGCAGCTGTTGCAGCATCTTCAATTTTAAGTTTTTAACCATGTGTTTTTATTTAATGATCTAAATGGGACTACCTATTTTAGCAATTCAATTTCTTATCAGTAAATAGGTCCGACTGATTTGACCTTTTGTTTGATTGTTATCTGTACTGTTCACCTCTCTGCTATTCGACAACGCCGAGACAGCATTTTATTCTCCATAATTCCTTTTCATACGGCTACAATCTTCTGAAAAGTCTTTGTTGCTAAACAGTCAGCATTCCTGACTTGGAGTTTGGATTAAACAAGCTACTTAGTCATAAGAACACATCATTTTGCTCCCTTTTTTTCAGTAACTACTGATTACTCATTTTATCCATTTGCATCAGCTTGCTTTATGGACAAGCTAGAACCACAAATTGTTTCTCAAAAAAACAAAAACAAAAACAGAGAGGCTAGATCCACCAATTATCTGTTACAAGCTTTTTGGACTTCCTGCCTTGGTATGTTGATCTTTCAATCTGAACTGCTCCATTTTTTCTCTGGGTGGAGCCTGGGAGCCTTTCACCATCCCAAAAAGCAAGAAATGTGTTTCACGCGAGAGATCGACAAGAAACGACTAGGTCCCATTTACTAGGTTTATGGCCCCATCACTGCCCCTGATAATGACATTCACCAGAACTTTTAGCTGGTAGTCCAGTACCCACATCTGTGCCTGGTACTAACCTGGGACCAACAAATACTTATTGGATATGCCAGCTTAGTGTTGCAACTTGCAAGGAGTGTGAGTCATCTCAATAGATACAGGCCTTCAATTCAGACCCCCCAAAAAAGTATTCCTTTTCTTTCTGTTGAGCTGTCTAAATCATCTCCAGTTGCAGGATCATAGAATACACCAGGCACAAGCAACTAAAGATGATCTACGATTTTTAGACAATAGATCTTCATTGACCCGGCTTTTGCGAGAAAGACAGAAACAAACACGAGTACAGAGTTCAGAACAGAACTGAAGATGATAAATTCAGAGCCCCCCCAAAAAGTGTCCCTTTTAATCTGTTGGGCAGTCTAATTCTAAATTATTCTCTCCAAATTGCAGGATCATATATATGAATACCTGATATTCTGATGATGCATATGATTTGTGATGATTTTCAGGTGTGGATCCAGCCTGTGCCGTCGTGTCCTCCAACTCGAATGGAGCCCCGGATCTTCGGCGTGCTCTCTCTCTTCTGTCAAGCGATTCCTGGGGCCCGGCCGACGTTCAGGCCGGCTCCCAGGTGCATCCCGGTGGAGTGATGCCGCCCCTCGCCGTTGCCGCCGCCACCGTCACCGCCCCGACGAACCCTGTCAGTGTGATGCATGCTCTGCACCCGTCCACCGGAGGAGGAGGATTCTGGCAAGACGGCGACGACCCGCCTCCGCTCGATCATGCCTCGCAGGCTCAGGCGTTCATGCATCCTGGCAATGGCAGCAGCTCCGGCTATGGCCATCTGCACTGATTCTGCTGCATCTATTTGGAACGGGTTGATGACTGGTTACTCCGTTCATGATCTTACCCTGTCAGTGATGGACTCTGAATAATTTGGGGGCGAATTGTCCTGCAACCCCAGGATTTATTATTTCTATTTTTGAAACCAAACCACCAGGATATTTGCCATTGGATGAGAAGTGTTCATGATCATGAAATGATCTGTTTTGTTCCACAGAATCTGACATATCTACTACTCGTCTTGGGAATGAGCTGAGATCGATTCGTGTGTTGTTCATTCAGGAAACTATTCTAAATTCTTTTGGGGATAACTTGTTTGCATTGTCATCTAAATGATTATAAAAATACTAAAAAAATCAACAAGATAGATTAATATGTGATAAATCATTTCATAAACATGTAAGATTAAATTTAACTTCTACAAGTTAAAAAAAACCAAATTGGATTTATAATATACATTAACTAGCTATAGTTTAATTTGTCTTTTTTATTTGTAAAAATTGAATTTTAATTTGCATGTTTGTAGAGTGATCTATCACATATTAATATATGTAGTTGATTATTTTTTCAATTTCTTACATAACTACTAGGATAACATGCAGATGAGAATTTAGGATCCACTCCTGTTCATTTGCTCTGCCTACGACTATTCGTTATTTCTTTCTGAACGTTTTGTTCCTGAGCTAACAATCACATAGGCCATGTTTGGATAATGGGTTTGGAATATGATTTCTTACCCCTCAAAGGATAAGTTTCAATCATAGCCATCCATTCTTCTCACTCCATTTCATCTTATCCCTCCATCATTTCTATTTCCCAATCCCACCTCTCCTAACCCATTATCCAAACACACCCATATATTATCAAACTCTGTTCACCAATCGAGGTAGTACAAGCAACAGGTTAGCTGGAGTGTAGTACTAATACAGATGCGCTAGGCCGCGGCGCTGTAGGGCGAGAGGTGGGCGTAGGCATCCCCAACCTCGGTCCGGTAGTGCTTCCCCATGCCGAGGTGGGTCATGAGGAGGCAGACGAAGGTGATGAGCTCGCCGCCGTCCTTGAGCCGCTCCGCGTGCTGGTACCCTCCGCAGTGCACCGCCGCGTAGCCCAGCATCTCCACCCACACCTCGCACACCACCCTCCACCTCCTCCCCGGGTCGGCCATGCTCTGCCTCAGCTCCCTCGCCAGGAAGCACCCATCCCACAGCACCGACTTGCACTTGTCCCCCTTCACCACCGCCGCGTGCAGCGGCGTGTCCACGTCCAGGAGCACCCTGTGCGCGTTGTCCTCGCCCACCGCCCGCCGCCGGTCGCCCTTCCCTTTCCCCGCCGCCGCCATCACGTGGTCCTTGAGGAACAGCCTCCGCGCCTCCGCGCACGTGTCCCGGCACCTCTTGATCGCCATGGTCGTCGACGACGACAGCATCAGCGGGTGCACCACCTGTTAGAAGTATAGATATAACGGTTATAAATAATAGTCAAATACAAATTATAGATATAAGATATATTTTAAAGATAGAATCTTAAAAGATAAGATAAAGTTTTAGAGATAAATCTACTCTTATAGTCTCTATCTCCTGTATACGCTTATATATAGAGGATCGATCTAATAGATCGGAGAAAATAACATAATACAACAATTAGATTTTCTACACCACCATGATGTAGTAGAGGTAGTTGGACAGCTCCCGCGCGATCTCCATGTGCTTCCTGGTCTCTCGCTGATCGACGGTCGCCGCACTCGCCGCGGAGGCGGCGGCGCCGGCCGCCTGTGCCTCCTCGCGGAACCGCAGGTCCGTCGCGATGTGCCATATCAGTAGGCTCTCGTCGAACTCCTTCTTCTCCAGGCTCCAGCTCAGGTTGCTGATCCGCTCCTTTTTCATCACTTGGTCCCCCCTGCAATCCGTCAAAATGCTGTACATGCTACTCGTCGTCGTCGTCGTCGACGTTCCGGTTTGGGTTGGAGTCGTAGCAGATGCAGATGGAGATGGAGATGGAGATGGAGATGGAGATGGAGATGGAGCTCTCACTCGCTTCCGCTCACGCTCACGCTCCCTCTCCATCCTCTTGTCGTACTCGCTGAGACGGCGAACCTTCTCCTCTAGCTGGGCGTAGATGAAATCCTTGAGCTTCTCGCTCACCGGGACATACTTGGTATGCTTGTACTTGCTCCAGAAGCTTCCAGAACGGACCTGGTCGAGCAGGGAACGCCTCTCGAACAGCTTCTGGAATTCGTCCATGGACGCTAACGTGGTGGAAAGAGCAGGAGCAGGCGATGCGTCTTGTTGTTGCACTCCTCCTCCTCGGCCGCCGCCGAGGAGTAGCCGCCGGAGAAGAAACGACGACGAGAGCGGCGCCGGGTCGGAGTCGTTGTTGGAAGGCAGCTTCCGGAGGCAGAAGGTGACGAGGTTGGATTGCGCCATGCTCGCCGACCACCTCCTCCGCTTCACCAGCATGACGGAGCACCAGCTCAGCCAGTCGCCGTGCACCAGGGACCAGACGGAGAAGGCGTGGGCGGCGAGTATCGCGGCGTCGTTGAGCGCCGCTCCGGCGAGCAGCGCGTACGTCACGCACCGGTGCCGCTGCCGGTACTGGCTCGCCCGCAGGATCGCCAGCGCCGCCCAGAGGCCGGCGGCGAGCGTGAGCGACAGGCTGCACACACGCACCGCCAGCCTCGCCCCGCGGGACACCGAGGCCTTGGTGTAGAGCCGATCGTACGCGAAACCCAGCTCGATCTCCACGATCTTGAACGCCCACCTCGCGTCCTTGCGCAAGAACATGGCCTGGCTCTCCTGCCTGTCCTCGAAGCTGAAGATGCCGTCCGCGAACAGGACACTGAATCTCGAGAACAGAGAGTGTGCTGACCGGATGGTTTTGATGGCCACCTGCTCATCTTCGCTGTAATCTTTCACCTGCACGTTGGCCTCCGGATCTGCATATTGAGACAAATTTTAAGTAACTTGGTCTGTTCACTTTGATGCCAAAAAAAACCTTACCAAATTTTGATAAAATTTTATAGTCACCAAAATTTGGCAGCAAACTAAATATAGCCACTTTTTTGGTAACTTTACCAAAATTTGGTAATGTTGAAAATGACATCAAAGTGAACAGGCCCTAAGATATCAAGATATTACACTGATTTTTTCCTAAAAAAATACAGTACAATGTATGCGCTCACAATCAGCTCTATGAACGCATGCATATACACCGTACCTCTATAAACACATCAGATTTTAAACTAAAAAGTTCTTTCAGAGATGTCAAGATTTTACACTAGATTTTTTTTAGAAACACATTATAAACGCAGACACTCACAAACACACACTCAGCCCTATAAACGCAAACGTTACCCTATGAGCACCTTAGATTTTACACTAGAATCTTTTTTTATAAACACAGTTATGCTCTCACTTAACCCTATAAATGCACAAACGCACATCCTATATCTATAAGCTATAGTTAGCCATAAGGCCCGAGGCCCGGCCCAAGGCATGGCATGGCTCGATCGCTGTCGGGCCATGCCTGGGCCTATGCCTCGGCACGGTGGGCTGGCCCGGCAAGGAGCAACTTCCGGGAGGTGAAATAGACTTATTGTCAACCATATGTAAGACATGGCACAGAGAATAGGGAGGACAAATAGACGTATTATATGGCACGGCCCAAAGAGTAGGGATGTAAAATAGACTTATTTAGCTATATATATGTCACTACCCAAAGAGGAGAGACGGGAAATATACTTATTTCAAATAAAGCACGATGGGCTACCCGTGCCTTCGGGCTGTGTCTGGGCCACAAGTGGAGCACGTGGGCTGGCACGGCATGGTCCGGCGTGTAGGTCGGGCCGTGTCGGCTCGACAAATCTTGGCCCGAGCACGACCGGGCCTGGGCCGTGCCATGCCGTGCCGGGCGGTCCATATGGCCAACTATATTATAAGCACATCATATACACTAGGAATTTGTTTTAGAGATATCAAGATTTCAAATTAGAAATTTCTTTTCTTAAAAACACGCTCACAACATACACACATATGCATATACATGTATATATTAATGTTACTACTAGTAATGTTTACAGCAGTACATGTGCATGCTCCCTCGTAAAGAAAGTCGTTTAGGACAATATTTAAGTCAAACCTTGGGAATATAAATCATAAATAACTCTCAAGTTGTTGAGTTTGAAAATGTAAAAATTATACGAATAGATTTGTCTTGAAAGTTACTTTCAAAGTATACATATATCATTTTTTAATAAATATTTTTATAGAAATAAGAAGTTAAAGTTATGTTTTGTAGACCGTGTCGCTGTCCAAAACGACTTCCTTTTTTATGAGTATGAAGGGAGTATGCATGAATCACGAGGTAGAAGTATTTTATCCATGCAGAGTCCTAGTCCTAACTTAGAGTCCTTTTTTAGACGGAGATACTTACTGTACTAAAATAAAACAGGAGCAGTCATCAACTGCATCCTCTCGATCTATCACGTGGAACTATTCAAATTGGTCAACTCCTCTTCCTCCCGCACGTTTTCTTTAGCGAGAAGGTCTTGATGAGATCAGAGAAGCAACTCTCCCATCTATCTGTCCCGTAATTGTTTTTTCAAGGAATATATCCCTATTTTATTCAGCCAGAACCGGACAGTGCGTCAGTTACAATTCTTTAATCATCAACTTCAAATTTTGAAATTAAATTAATTAATTGATAAATTAAGAGACCAAGACGGGTGCAAATTCATTTTTTAAATTACAAATACCCCCAAAACTAAAATTAAACAAACTAAAAAATAATCATTGGTTATAATTTCTCATATACCATAAGATTTATAGCAATAAAATTATAACCATATGAAAGTAAATTCAAATATCAATCAAATAATATTATTTTTAGTAAATAAAATCTAATTCATATTATACTAATTGTTAGTGAAATAGTTTAGAAGTTGAATCTTAAAATGCATGTGGGCCTTATATTATACTCCGTTCGTCTCAAAATATAACAATTTTAGCCTTCAAATTTATCAAAAAATATAACTACTTCTTCACCAGCATTCTTTTTCCAACCAATCACAACCCGTCACTATTCAATTTCCCCACGTACCTCCCATTTTCATCTAATCATAACATTCTCCTATTTAAATCTACCTACTTTCTCAATACCTGTGTTCACCCCTGAAAATCATTATATTCTAGGATGGAGAGAGTATGCTTTATCTAATATGATCTCTATACAATCTACGCCTATGATGACATAATGCGCCTAATCAACAGCAAAATCTCTCTACTTAATGTGGGAGCTTTATCGAAGTACAATTAGTGTATAAGTATAGATATCAACTATATTATGCATATGGAAAAGTAGATCATGTATACAAGGTTATAACATGATGACATCGCCACTATATACATACCTTAGCAATTACCATACACATTTGGTTTGGGGTGGGATAGGTGGGGAGGGAGGTGTGTTAAGGAAATCACTACACATATGATTGGCGTGTACAATTTGCATCCGACCAGTACTTACCTACTCTTTGCTCTAGCCCAGATGGAGAGCAGTTGGCTCGTATGGAGTAAATTGATTGGTAGATACGGCAGGGTTGGACAGGGGTCGAACAATAGGGTTAGATGTATAGCAGTACTCGTATGTTAAATGGGATTGAAAGTTTGAAGAGACGATAAGGCTATTTACGGGTTTGTTTGTTTTGAGGACATGCGAGTTTTGGTGAGATGTGGATGAGAAATCGAGAGAGAAAATTAATGCTTTCTAGTACCTATGTAGGAGTAAGGGTTAGTTAGGAGGAAATTAATTCCCATTTCCATTTTATGCCGACAGGCTAGATCTCAACTTTTACTAAGGGATCAGTTTTGACTTACCTTCTCACTACCTATGTCCCGTAATAATTATATTTCTAGAATTTGAATTTGTCCCAACATACTTATCACAATAAAATACAAATGGTCCCATTAATCACTTCCCATTCAAGTTTTTTTCTATTTTACCCTACACTCTCACTCTTATCTATACACCATTTAATAAACGGTATTATAGTATTTCTCAAACCTTATATAATACATGTTAAACAATCAAGAATTACAATTATTTTGGGAGTAATAATTTTCCTCACATCTGACAAACAAGAGATAAAGAGTTAAAAAAATCAATTTTCCATGCTAATCTCGCTACCAATTTCGTTATAAACTCCCAATTCTAAGTTGCTAAACACGCAGTCGTACGTGAGAGTGATAATTACGTGGGTGCATATCGATTTACTTGAAGGCCGCAAACAAATTAATTAGGTTGATTAGTTACTACGTACTCACCAGAGTTTGGGCGGTCAACTCGTTCGTTCTTGATGTCGAGGGACGGCAATGCGCCGGATCTCATAATCCCGTCCAATCGGTTAATGGTGTCAGCGTAGTCCGGGCCAGCGTCGGGCTTTCCCAGGACGGACTTGATGAGCGCCTCCATCGTCGCGTGGTGCAGCGCGACGACCTGCTCCACGTACTTGACCACCCCGGCGGAGAAGATGAGGGCGAACGGCACGATGAAGCGGCGGAATCCGGGGTCGAGCACGTAGCGGGAGAAGACATAGAGTGTGGTCGAGACCTGCACTTAGGGATATAAAAACCCGCTTACTAGTTCATTTCCTATTTCCTACATGATAGTGTAAATTTTTTTAAAAAAATAAACTAGAAGTAAATAAGTGAGTCTAAAAAAAACCCCGCTTGCATCCCTACCTGGATGAAGAGCTCCAGGCAGCGGCGATCCCAGAGCTTGTTGTCCTCGAGGGACAGGGCGGTGAAGTCGTCGGGGCCTCCCAGGTGGAACAGGAGGAGGGACGCCCAGAACGCCTGGATGTCGGCGTTGGCGTCGCCCGTGGAGGCGCGGGAGAGGATGCCGAGGGAGTAGGTGGTGATGAACCTGGAGCCGATGTAGAGAGCCCAGAAGTAGGTTTTCTTCCCCCAGCTCGGCTGCGCCCGTCTCCGGGCGCCCGCCGTGCTCAGGAAGAGGAGTTGCAGGGTGAGGCTGAGCAGCACCAGCACGCTCACCTGCCAATCGTTCCATACCTGGATCAGCTTCTGCCTGTACCCACCTCCTCCTACCATATTGCTACGTACGTACTAGATCTCGATCAGCTCCTTCTCTCAGTCTCACACTGGCTGGCCGTGTGCCACCAACTGTTTACTGTTTGTAGCACACCACTCTCAGTGAAAGTCGACCATGGGCATGGAGAAGAAGCAGAGCAGCTACCGCGGATGCTCACGGGAAGCCAGGAAGGCATTTGGTTGAGGGCTTGAGGCCGTGTTTAGTTTCCCCCCTATTCTCAACTTTCCATCACATCATATCACATCAAAAACTTTCCTACACACATAAACTTTCAATTTTTTTTTCAAACTCCCAACTTTCTTCAAACTTTCAACTTTTTTCAGGAACTCAACACAGCCGGGAAAAACGAATGGGGCCGCTATTGTATACTCCATCCGTCCCTAATTATAATGGATTTTGGTTGAATGTGACATATCCTAGTACAAATAATCTAGATAGACTTCATGCCCACGATTCGTTGTACTAGAATACATCACATTCAACTAAAATCCCTTATATTTAGGGACATTTGATGCCGTTGATTTTTTTAAACATGTTTGACTGTTCGTTTTATTCAAAAAATTTAAGTAATTATTAATTCTTTTCCTACCATTTGATTCATGGTTAAATATACTACTACTACTCAAGTTTTTGAATAATATTCCCAAAATTTTTTAATTAAGACGAACGGTCAAACATGTTTAAAAAAGTCAACGGCGTCGAATATTCAAGGACGGTGGGAGTATCATCTAAGCTGGTATATCTTATATCATGCTACTACCTCCATCCTAAAATATAAGAATCTAAGATTAGATGAGATATTTTCTAGTACAATATATCTTGATAGGAAGTCTGTCTAGATACATTATACTAGTAAACGTCTCATCCAGTCCTAAGTTCTTATACTTCCTCCATTTCACAATGTAAGTCATTCTAACATTTCTCACATTCATTTGATGTTAATGAATTTATATAAATATATATATCTAGATTCATTAATATTAATATGAATATAGGATATGCTAGAATGACTTATATTGTGAAATGGAGGGAGTATTTTGGGACGAGAGGAAGTAGGTATTATAAATGGTATCTCGATATCAGGGGCGGAGCTACTATATATTTACCAGGTTCTAATGACGCCGATAAAAGTTTCTAACACCATGCTAATTACTGTTTATCACCCTTAAGCAGAGAAAAGTAATCCCATAGTGTAATGTGAGTCCGGTTTTGTTATATTTTTTTTCTGTTGAATGTGTAATATAGCAAAGGTTTTTTTGATGCATGATGTGGTTTTGGTGTTATCGATGGTGTTTGTTGAATAATTGAATCCTATCTTACTATAAAGTTATCCCCCACTAACTCCTTAAGCTTAACATGCAAAGATGCCACATCATCATCCACTAATTAACAAGATGCCACATCATTATCCACTAACAATCATCACATTTAAACATCATGCAAACATGATATATCTTTATAGTTTTTATAATTTAAGAGCTTTTCAAATACAAACATGTTAAATTATCATCCAACATAATTCACATAATATTTCAATGTATATCCTATTATGTTTTATGATATCCTATATACTTATATAGTTCATCCTCACTTAGTTAGTGCTTAAATGATTAATCTATGGTCCAAATTATCTTTCTCTTTTTTTCCTCTAATTAAGTCATATCACATCAATTGTTTTTAGCATTTAGATGATTAATCTACGGTCCAAACTATCTGCCTACTTTTCTTCTTCTATAAAGTCATACCACCTTACTTTTTACGTTTGAATCATCATTCTACATACTATTTAAATTTAAATTATCATAAACCACATTAATTTACTTAATCTGATATTATCTAGCTATCTTACACGTTATTTTTTATTGTTATTATACTAAATTCCAGCGGCAATGCGCGGGGTTTCACCTAGTGAATGTAAATAGTATGTTCTTATCTGTGATGTGGTTGTTCTTATCTTTGATTTGTGGATATGGAAATTATTGTGTTTTTATTCCCTGGTGTGTAAATGTGGGTGGGGATTCGGTGCCATGGATATAAATATTGAGGATAACTCAAAGCATCAGCTCGATGAACCTTGTCAATTTATCAACCCGTCCTTTTTCTCGGGGAGAACACATGTGTGTCGGTTGGGGAACCAACACTAATGGCTTGTTTTGTACTCCCTTCGTCCCGAAAAAAACGAATCTAGGATTAGATGTGACACGTTCTATACAATTAATCTGGATAGATATATGTCCAGATTCATAGTATTAGAATATGTCCCCTGTTTAATTTCACCTTCTCAGTGATCACCGTGAACAAATTCCAACTGGATGGAACACCCAGAATTGGTTGATGGGATGCAGAGAGGGACCAGGGCTTGCTGTGGAATGGGTGGATCAACGTGCCCATATGAATGAATTGGTTAAGAATCTAATTGTGCGGTGCTATCAATGCAATTAATTCATGTGACATACTCACTCCAACTAATTCATGTGATATACTCATTCTGTTGTACTAGTACTAGGCTGTGTTTTGATCTAAAGTTTGGATCCAAACTTCAGTCCTTTTCCATCACATCAATCTGTCATACACACATAATTTTTCAGTCACATCATCTCTAATCTCAACCAAAATACAAACTTTGGATCCAACTAAACACAGCCCTAGTAGTATTACTCTGTACTCCCTTCGTCCAAAAAAAACCCAATCCTAGGTTTGAATCTGGATATAATGTGTGTCCAGATTCAAACCGTGTTCAGATTTAAACCCAGGATTGTTTTTTTTTTTGGATGGAGGGAGTAGTAAATTAGATACCAGCTAGTACTAAGAATTTGAATGAGGACACGTTGCTAGTATATTTTGGTACGAAGGGAGTAGTATCAATTCACTTAATATGTTTGTGACCGGAGGTAAGACTATGTCAATTCAGCAGAGGATACAAATAAGGTGGCACATAAATTAGCACAATCAGATAGAAGAATGCACTCTGTGATGTGGTAAAGAACATAGCCGGCTCGTATTCATATCCTTGGAGTAGCAAGTTCGTTCTTCGCCGTATGGGTATGGGGTTTGTGCGTGCAGGGTGGTGTCGCCGTGCGTGATGGGCTCTCGCGTGTTAGTGGTGCACTTGCGCGCGATGTGTCTAAGGCGAGCGATTCTATCGTGTGGTTGCACGGCGTGAGGAGGGTGGCTGGGTGATGGGCCTATTTGTGCTGCAGTCCCAGTTGCATTGATGTGGGTTGATAGTTTATGCTGTGGTTAATATTTGGAGATTCAGAAGGGTACAAATTAGGGATCGTTGCTACTATCTCTATAAAAGGGTGCATCTGCGTTCTTACCCTGTTTTCAAACTCAATTATAATTTTCCCCTTAATTCTTTAACTGAAGCTTATAATTATTCTCATTTTTGTTAAGAGTACTCCCTCCGTTTCTAAATATTTGATGCCGTTGACTTTTTTAAATATGTTTGACGGTTCATCTTATTCAAAAAATTTAAGTAATTATTAATTTTTCTATTATTTGATTCATTGTTAAATATAATTATATGTATACATATAGTTTTATATATTTCACAAAAGTTTTTGAATAAGACGAACAATCAAATATATGGTAAAAAGTTAACGTTATCGAATATTTAGAAACGGAAGGAGTATTTATTAGTGTTAAAATTCATGTCAAGCTTATGCTTGTCCTTATTTACTAAATGGAATGAGTAAAATTGATGTTTTAACAGGGGCAAAATTCATGTCAAAACATATATAGGTAGAATCGAAAGCCTTAAAAAAGATTGAGGGTAAATATGTAACGACATATTTAAATTTTAACACCATTAACTACTCTTAACGAAATATGGTGATGCACATGCTTGAGGACATTAAAGAAAAGAAGCAATGCATTGTATACCGTGTGTCCGTGTGTCACATGCATATTGTCAGTTTGTCACACTTGTTTTATTGCTTGTCCCTTGTTTTGAGATGATTATTGGTGAGCTGTCACATGTCTCATGACTTCAACAAATACCCGAGTTTGGGTCTTTTTCTTTATCCAATGACAAGCTGTCCCTTGACTAAGAGCATGTACAGCTTACTCTAATCTTTATTATAATAAATATAATAGTTGTCTCCTCACATTTATTGCAGCACACATATCAATAATTATTTAATTACTTCTCTCTCACTCCTTCCCAGCTTTTCTCTTCCCTCCAAGCCAATCAGGGAAGATTATTCATGCTAATTTCTTGTTCCGTCGATGGTGCTGTCGATAGGAAGGCTCCAAGCCAGCGCTAGGTGCATTGGTGCCCGTGCATGATCGTCGACAGATTAATCGACGATGTTTTTCTCTCTTGGTACTCTCTCTCCGCCACATAGGTATAAAATCCAACGTAAGCTTACTATTAGCCGATAATTTCAAGTTATTGTACTTGCCCTTAGAGAGAAGTAAGGAAAGAGAAGCAAGCAGGCGATTGATCTATCGTCGGGCGGTAGCACGTCTTACGATGCATGCTGCCGTTGTTAGCAATTAAAAACACACTTTGTGGGTCCCATGAAAAGCCCGTTGGATCTTATGTTAGTTTGTGGTTTTCCTCTTCCGCTTTCTCATTCGACTGGTTCAAGTGGCCACAAGAATTGAGTTCAGTTTGGATCCGGTATATTGATACAAGTGTGTATAGAATTAATTATTTGATTAGTGATATGTGATCAACATAACAGCTAGTCTATTGTATAGGTTGGTTCCAGTGCTAGCTGCAAAGATAGATGGAGGCAGCCGACGGCCGACGACACTATTGAACTTTGAACCTGCTCTAATGGAGAGTAGTAGTACTTCACCCCACCAACATTTGTTTGGACGACCAACTATAGTTTGCAACTTCTTAAAAAGGAGCCAAATACATGAGTTAATTTTTTTTCAAGAGGCCGCTTTTTGAAAAAAAAATGTTTGCTTCTACTTGATTGAAACAAAAATTTTCCATCTTATAAAAAGAAAAGAAACACACTGAGGAAGTTAGAATTGTAGTTCCCAAAGTAAGACATTAACCCTTAATTCCTTAAATGCATTTTTCATGTGACCGTGAAATACTTTCTAACAATAAATTATGCAATATAACCAATTTAAAATCAAAAGTAAAACCAAAATGTTTCTGAGTTTTTCACTTTAATCAGGGTAAAAAAAAGTGGAGTCTTACACATATTACATATAGAGTAAGTAGGCCACTTATGTATGTCCGTACTGATGTAATGACCCCCCACATAACAGGGTGGTTGTGACAGAGACAGACTCACCATCGCCACTAGAACCGCCACTAGAGTCTTTTAGAAGAAGTATGTATGTCATATGATTTGTCTAAAATTAATGTGGTCTCTTCGTCCCAAAAATAAATGAGGTATATTTTATATTTTGAGATAAATTTTAAACACGCCGACAGTTCTTATATTTTGGGATACTAGAGTATATATGACTTTAAATAATTTGGGCTTATGTATGAAAAATAAATTAGAGCAAAAAACAACGTTGATGTTTCCTTTTAAATAAATGAGTGTTGAAAAAGGATGACTCATGTATTCGTGACAAGGGTTATCAATGCACTTTGACAAGAACATACATGAAAGAAAAGAGAGACAAGTGCCTGGAAGTTATAAAATAAATTGACATTTATTTAAGACTTGAGAATGCTAAAATGATTTGCGTTTGGTACCCAAGGAGCACACATAGCACCACTGTTCAATCTTTTGTTTTCGGCGTTTGTATTAGAGGGTGTAGATATAGTGAAATTTTGAACAAAAATTGATTATATCTGAGCAAAATTCACAACAAAATTTAAAATTTTGGTCAAAATAATATCATGCCCGGGGGAGGGGGGGGGGGTCTGATAGGACCGAAATCTTCCGGAAATTTCACTTATTATTATCCTCAGTATTACAGTACTTTCATCTCTCACATAATATATTGTTAATAACTAGTGGTGTTATGGCAAATAACTTACTAGACAACAATATAAGACAAGGGCTCGTGGGAGTGCCCAAGCATAGAGAGAGGATGCACTACTAGAAAAATATTTTTTTTTCCAAACACTGTCATTCTTTTTTTCAAGCGGGTAGGTCTCTTGGAGCTAAATGGCCGCCTGTGAAAATGACAACTGTGGGGTGAGATTGTTGGCAACGGCCTGCGAAAATTTATTTTTGCAAACGGACCTCTTAAGAGATTCAAGGTATCGTATAAAAAATTACAGATTTAACATCGGTTTTATCACAAAACTATAACTTTTGTAATCTTAATATGTTATGGATATAAACTCTAAAATATACGGTTCTTTGATATATTCATCACTAAATTTATAGTTTTGTGGTACGATACTTTAAATATGTAGTTGTATGATAAATTTGATACTAACCATGTAGTTTTGTGATATACATATTTAAATATGTGTGGTTTTGTAAAATTTACTCAATCATATAATTAATTAATTAATTATTTGAAATCAGATGTAGTAGTACAAACTATGGATCGGCAACATGCATGTGCCTACTCTTTATTCGAAGTCAACTGCCGTGGAGGGTGTGGGGAGACGTCCGTGTTAACTTTGATGCTACGTACAGAAGATACATAGCTCTATCTAATAAGGTAGGACTACTCCATTACGAAGGCTATGTACTCCAGTAGAAGCTAGGGAGAAACGCCATTCCTCCTTGGCTCGTGCCGGTTGATGCCTGCAACAGCGGCGAATAACAAGTAAGCAGGTGCGTTCCCGATGCTCAAACAACTGGTTGGTTAATTAGTTGCATTTTCTGTTCTTTTTGATCTTCGCATGCATGAAACGTCAATCGACAAATTGACACTCCAAGTCTGAAAGTTTGACCTCGGTTGGAGCTAAAAACAGAGCTAGCCATTTATCGACTAACGATCAGGTACGAGGCCAATCTTACTAATCGTTTCATATTTTCTTCCAAAAAAAACTAGTCGTTTCATATTACACATCTGGTTTGAAGAAATGATTGAGCTAGCTAGCTATTGATTTACTCTCGCTTAAGTAACATCCGCTGAAGTAAAATATGCAACGATTAGTAATACTCAACAGCTAGCTAGCTCAATCGTCTTCTCCAGACCAGATGTGCAATATGAAACGATTAGTTTTTTTTGAAAGAAAATATGAAACGATTAGTAATGACGAGCTAGCTAGCTTGCTCCATCTTTAATTTAGATGGGTGTGAGCTCCTAGCTTAGCTTGCAGTGCAGATCCGCGTTTGGCTTTCCTATGCAACCTGCAGTGATGCTGTGATGGCGAGCAGGGTCGAGGAGTAGAGGAGTGGCGTTAAGCAGATTAGGGCAGAACTGGAGCAGAGCCGAAGCTAGCAGATGCTGGCTGGCCAGTGGAGAAGGAGGAGATAATCAGTGAGGAGAGAATTCGGGTCGGGGGAAGAAGACGAGGGGGCATTTTTGACATTTGCTAGATTTGTCGGGGTTAAAATGAGTTCACCTAACAAGGGCAGAGACCGAAAATTTTATTCAGGCTGTGTTTAGATCTAATAGGTGAAAAGTTTTAACGTGTTAAATAAGTAAATCTGAAAAACAAGGTTAAATTGATAGTTGGACTTTAAAATAGGATAAATAAGCAATTGTCCCTAAATTTTAACACCATTAATTACTCTTAACGAAGTATGGTGAAACACATGCTTGATGACCACAATTGCTATAAAGAAAAGAAGCAATGCATTGTATACCGTGTGTCCGTGTGTCACATGTTGTCACACTTGTTTACTGCTTGTCCCTTGTTTTGAGATGATTATTGCTGACCTGTCACATGTCTGATGGTACAGTGTTTGTTGAAGTTGACGAGTTTGGGTCTTTTTCTTTATCCAGTGGCAAGCTGTTCCTCGACTAAGGTAGTGTTTGGATCCAGGGACTTAACTTTAGTCTCTGTGTTTAAACACTAATTTAGAGTATTAAATATAGACTACTTACAAAACTAATCTATTATATTATTAAAGGAATAGAAAAAAGGAGTCTCCACGTTCGCTCTCATGGCCTAGAAATTCTCACATTAATCGAAGAAAAAGAAAAAGCAGAGTCCATATAGAAATACAATTTAGAAATAGCTGAAATTCGGAATTAGAAAATAAGAAATATTAGAAGAGGAGACTAGAGTCCATATAGAAATACAATTTAGAAATAGTTGAAATTCGGAATTAAAAAATAAGGAATATTTGAAGAGGAGACTAGAGTCCATATAGAAATACAATTAAGAAATAACTGAAATTCGGAATTAAAAAATAAGAAATATTTGAAGAGGAGACTAGAGTCCATATAGAAATACAATTAGGAAATAACTGAAATTCGGAATTAAAAATAAGGAATATTAGAATTAGAGAATAGAGTCCACGTAGAAATACAATTAGGAAATAACTGAAATTCGAAATTAAAAATAAGGAATATTAGAAGTAGAGTATAGAGTCGTAGAAATACAATTATGAAATAACTTAAATTCGTAATTAAAAATAAGGAATATTAGAAGTAGAGGATAGAGTCTATATAGAAATACAATTAAGAAAATAAAATAGAAATTTGGAATTAAAAAATAAGGAATATTAGAAGTAGAGTATAGAGTCCATATAGGAATTTAAAACTAACTAAAATTTGGAATAAACATAATAAAATTAAAAGTAGAGTTTAGAGTCCGTATAAAAATACAATTTATAAATAAATAAAATTAGAAATTAAGAAAAACGTGGGAAGAAGAGTTTAAAGTCAATATAGGAATACAATTTAGAAGTAACTGAAATTCAAAATTTAAAATTAAAGAATATTGAAAGATGAGTTTAGAGTCCACATAGAAATACAATTAGAAATAATAAAAATTCAGAAATAAATATAAATAATATTGAAAGAAGAGCATAGAGTCTATATAAAAATACAATTTACAAAAAATTCGGAATTAAAAAATAGAAATATTAAAAGACGAGTCTAGAGTCCATATAGGAATATATATAATTTACAAATAACTAAAATTTGATATTAAAAATAATTAATAACTAACACGTATATAAAATACAATATAAATATTACACATTAGTAGTTTTGTAAAGTTATTGCAAAATTTAAAATTATATTGTCATTTTAATATATTTGAATAATATAATGAGAAAATATATATGCTATTATTTGAGAGAAAATATAATGATGCTAGCCGCGTAATCTGCGCGGGCCATCATGCTAGTTATATAAATGAAAGCTATTTTGCGAGACAAATTTGTTAAGCCTAATTAATATATAATTAGAGAATGTTTACTGTAGCATCACATAGGCTAATGCTCAGTTATTAATCGATGATTAGCCTATGTGATGCTACAGTAAACATTATCTAATTATAGACTAATTAGGCTTAACAAATTTGTCTCGTGAAATAGCTTTCATTTATATAATTAGTTTTGTAAGTAGTCTATATTTAATACTCTAAATTAGTGTCTAAATAATTAGTGTCTAAATAAAGAGACTAAAGTTAAGTCTCTGGATCCAAACACTACTTAATATAGGCCATGTTTAGTTGTTTGGCTAATTTTTTTTTATGTATACATACACATATTTAAAGTATTAAACGTAAACTAATAACAAAACAAATTATAGAATTCGTCTGTAAACTGCGAGACGAATTTATTAAGCCTTATTGATCCGTCATTAGCAAATATTTACTGTAACACCACATTGTCAAATCATGGAGCAATTAGGCTTAAGATTTGTCTTGCAATTTACACGCAATCTGTGTAATTAGGTATTTTTTTATTTATATTTAATAATCCATACATGTGTCCAAACATTCGATGTAATAGGGCGAAAATTTTAACCGGCATCTAAACAAGCCCTCAATGCCATACTCCCTCTGCCCCTATAAAACACGATCCCTAGATTCCCAATTCAAAATTAGTAATAAAAGTCAGAAATACCCTCATCAAGTACATCCCTTAATAAGGTTTACTAGTTGAAAGAGGAGAGAGATTAAGCATTTCTCGTGTGAACGGGAGCAGAGAGAGGCAGCAACATTCAATGTTTCTTGTTCTCTGCACAGAAATTGTTTTATACTAGGACAACTTATTCACTCTTGTTTTCTTTAAGGAACAGATAGTAGGAGTTTCTCATGCCGAAATTTATAGAAGAAAAGAATTGGCCCAGTTAATAAGGGAAATCGGGCCCAAAAACCGAACAAGCACGGTTAATTAAACGGGAAACCGGCAAAAACCTATATAGAAAAGGAAAAGAAAGCAACTATTGAGACCTCACAAAAGTCATCGTTGCCGAGCTCACCAAAGGCAAGCAGCTTTGACAAGAAGAGGCCTACTATAGTGTGTTGTGACTCGTGAATTAAACAATTTCAATATCCTTAGTGGAGCTATCGCTCCGCTCCTTAAAATTACGCTACGAGAGTCGCTCCATCCTCAAAGTAAATATTATAGCAAATAGTTTGTAAGTACTATTTTCTCGTTTTCACATAACTTTTTTTTTAAAGTTAAACTTATTTAAGTATAATCAAATTTATAAAAATAGTAGTAATATTTCTAATATAAAATTAGTATGATTGAATCCAACATTTGTTCTTTTGAAAATAATACTATGTTTACCTATAAAGTTACACAAACTTAAATAATTTGATTTTGAAAAAAAAGAAAGAAAGAAAAGTCAATACCTCGGTGAAGCGGAAGTAGTAGTAAGGTAGTTTTAGTTGCTGCAACAAGTAGGATGGAACTGAAACGTTTTAGGATTAGATCTCATCCATGCGTTTAGTTTGAGATGGGATCATGGGATGAAGTAGACTGCAATTAACGGAAATATGGGATTATCCTCCATGGAAATGCCTTTCTGTTCCCATGCCATTTAAGCTAACAGGGTTAACGTTTTTCTCATCCCCTCATAGAAGAATTCACGAGGATCACGTTCCGTTATATGGAGTAGCTTGTTCAATTAATCCAATCCACAAGAAAAAGGGATTGACGAGATTAATTCCACACTTCAATCGCTATACCGTATCCCATGCACCACAGCGTCGTAGTGATCCTAGATCGATCTTGCGATTCATTGCTTTGTCAGGATGTACTCCTCCAATCACTGTGGAGCTCAAGCTCCTCCTTGCCACCACCGCACGCAAAACCATCGAAGATGGAGGAGATGGTGGCATCGATGGTTAAGCAGTTGCCGAGTAGCTTACCTCCACGGCCACGAGCACATCCTCTCCAGCTTCTTATCCTCCGACACGATCATGCCGCCCAGTGTGCTTGGTGCCTACTCGATTTAAGGCAATTGAAGACGACATCGATCTTCTTCTTGTTGGTCGTCTCCATGCACGTTGACGCCCCTGGACGCCAGTGAGGTAGTGAGATTGAACTGTAATGGGGCGTGCACTGCACTGCACAATGATCACCTTAGCTTGCAAGCGATGGCTGCCGGCTTGAGTGTGCACTCGTCGGCCGCCCTCTAGATCTAGAGTCGTCGGTTGTCCGTCGAACTCCGCCCCGCCATATTGACGATAATGATGAAGCGCCCTAAGGGTGGCGATGAGGAAGGAGGAAGAGAAGAGGGAGAGAGGAAGGAGGGGAAAAAAGAAGATATTTTTTTTGATTTTTTTAAAAAAGGTATAATTGGAATTGCCACTGTACACTCCCCGTTCCCCAGACAGGGGCAAAACTGTCATTCGCTGAAGTAGCCTCCATCACGCCGGCATGCCCGCCGCCGCCGGCGAGCAATGGAGTCAAGTAAACCGCCGCCGTCCGCCTTCGTCGACAACCACATGGTACGCGCCCCCCAGCTTCTACCTTACCCCGACCTTCCAACTTTCTATCCCCCTGTGGATTTCGATTTTTCACTTGCATCACCATTGACTCCGAGTTCCCCAGATGACCAACCCGACCATCAAGCTCGGCGCCGACCTGCGACGGATTAAGCATTTCGTGGCGGCAAGTAGGATCTATGTGAGGATTTTAGGGGTTGGGGGGGGGGGGGTTCAATCAGAGGGTTTCATGGGTGCTCGTCAGAGCCTGTTGGATTTTGACGCCATCCAGGAGTCCTCATAGGCAACACTAGTTCACTCATAACTCGTTTATGCCAAGTTTTTCTGCTTGAGAGAGTTTGTCCGCTTCAGAGGAATGCAGGGATTTACGGATAGTGACTAATGAGAATGTGAATCGATCAAATACGCTCAGTGTGACTAATTCAGTGCATACGGCAAGCTGCTTTATGTTATGCCCCCCATTTAACTAATTTTCTTAGCTCGCATAGAAGGGTAGCTGTGTTCCTGTTTCGACTATATTTGCCATTTACACAGTATGCAAATCAGTCAGGTAGACGAAATATGCGTGTGGCCTGTCATCCTGAGTAAATTACTAGATTAGTGTCATGAATTCCTTCTCTGGAATGGGTTGCTTGCTATGCTTTTCCCCCTGTATATTTTCTCAACTGTAGAACGGGGGATTTCAGGTAGTTCTTTATTCACTCTCTTTGTATGGCCGTGCTTTAGCGCTAGCCTATGTGTGGTTTTTATTCTTATTTCTTTTGCGGTATATACCTTCTGTAGAAGATATATGGTGTGTTTATTTTTTATTTCGTGGACCTAATTCTGTTACATGCGTTGAAATGAACTTCCACTGTGGTGTCCTGCTTTTATTGGCTACCAGCTTTGAGACGAACATTTTTTCTAACTTTAGTTGGCTACTTGACTTATAGCATGGTTTTGTGGCAGTAGATAAGATTAAAACTGTCTTATTTGAATTGCTATGATCTTTGTTTCAGAAAATGATGGTGAACTCATTCTTTTCTTCTCTCACTGTAAGATCAGTATTTTGTGCCTAAGGTTTCGGCTATTTGTGTGGCCTTCCAATCATGATTTCAAGAGGCTTCACACTGTCGTAGACCATCAACAATTGCCTTCAATTCCCCCCAAAAAAAAAACAATTGCCTTCAATTTTCTCCAATCGGTATCCCCATTGAATGATTGAATCACACTTCAAAGAACCAGCGAAACTTAATTTGGAGAATATTGCAAACTTTTTTTCTATCCTTAATGCATAGAAGAGCTACTGTTTTCCTTTCAAAGAAAATGATTGAGTCACACTTTACTAATCACACTTGTTAGTGTTGATATCAGCTAACCAATCTCGCCAATGTCTGAAATTAGTAAATTAAACCGTAGCTAACTTGGTATTGATCTTTAAAAAAAAAGAAAAGGAGTTATTGGAGCTTTCCGTTGGATTGACTTTTCGCTTTTTGGGATTTATAATATATGATAGTTACTTTCAATGTCCTGTTGCAATGCAAGGGCATTCAGCTAGTAATTTATAAAGGATATATGCCACCAAATTTTAGTCTCTATGCATGGTGGGTCCAAGTTCACATGACACATGATCATCAGTGGCATACAAGAATTCAACTTCCAATGGCTTAATAGGAAATTCCTCTATATGCATTTATATAATTAAACAATCAATAAAGGGAATTACACTAGCTCTGCACAAATGCATCCCTAACCTGTGGACATAAATTCAGGTGCTTAGAAAAACAAAACTACTTTTCCATGTTGAACATATATGCCTACTTTGTGTCCCTTACTTTGTCTGTGTAAACAATGTAGGTGAGCTGTAGCGATACTTGACAGGTTTTATGCATATAAGAAAATCTGTTTAACAGAATTATGATCATTTCATAGTAATGTCACTAATAAAATTACAGCACACACATATGAAACTATGTGTCTAGGGTGCTTTTCAGGACTTATTTTCTGTATTTCCAGATTTGCTTATAGTCATTTTTTCCCCTTCAAGATAATTGTTTCATTACATGTGTGGTGACAACAAAAACGTGAAATATTTAGGAGCAACAAAAGAAAATGAATTATATTTCATGCTGGGAATTTAACTTTGCCTCTCTTTTTTTTTTCAATAGTCCAGGGAGTGGCATACATTCGTTTGGGCTCCATGGAGGCCGCATTGCTGCCGTCTTCTACCTTATTACCCAAACTCGTAGAACTGTCCTGGTACCTTTTGCTAAAGGAAGATATTAGGGTCATCAGATCAGGAGGAGGACACAAGATTACCTTGGCTAAACAAGATCTACAGGAACTACAGAATTGCATCAACAAGGCTTCATTTTTCTTGGCTGGAACTGGAAGGATCAATGCCCAGAGTTGGCAAACGTCGCGCTTGCACACCTGGATCAGTGATGCCCTGAAGGCCGCCTCTTGCTTGGAAGATCAGATCGCCATGTACGCAATGCGTGGTGTTTATGTGGGACATTTATATGCGATGAAGTCGGCTATTGGGATGTTGTCAACTGACAAACTTGTGAAAATCATCAGAGACCGAAAAAACGAGATGCCGACTGAGGTGCAAAATTATCATCAAGAAGTGATGGAGCGGCTTCCTGCAATCCTTCCTTTCACCCCACATTCTCATTGTGAAGAACAAGATACAGTACCAATTGGATTTATGGAAAAAATTGAAGAATTGAAGAATATATTGTTGCGAGATGCTGCTCCAGTGATCTTTGTCAGTGGAGAGCAGCTCTCAGGGAAGACTACTCTCATGAACCAGGTGTATAAAGACATCGATGTCAGGAATCATTTCAAAATACGTTCCAAGGTCGACATGTCAAAAACTAGATGTTTGAGTGACTTGCTGCGGGCTGTGCTGAAACACGAAGAGCGTGAGACAAACTCCATGTATCCCGATGCCATTGATGAATTGAAGATAATTGAAGAGATCCAGCGTACCTTTCGGACTGTGGGCAATCGCTACTTGATGGTGATGGATGATGTCGACGATACATCTTCGCTGCATGTTTTACGACATGTCCTAGGAGGATGGGAGGGGAAGATTGTGTGCCTGACCAGGAACACACGTATACAGTACGAAGAGTTGCATGCCAAGGTTGAGATTCGCCCTCTTGAACTGGCTTACCAACAGCAGCTACTGGTGCATGTAGCTTTTCGCAATGCTGATGACACCCCTGCTCCTGTGGCCGTCGATAGAAACAATGATGGGCAGCAAGGAGGAGGAGAATACGATCAACTGGAAAAGGCTCTCAAGGGGAAGACAGAGACAGATAACATCGATGGAGATGACTTGACGCCAATGGTGGAGACTCTGAAAGGCATCTTGAGGAAATGCAGAGGCAACCCGTGGAACATACGGGCCGTGGGAGCGTTGCTTGGTGCTAATCGCGTCGATAAATGGAAGGAAATCGAGGAAAACCAAGTTGATGATTTGGTAATAGGAGATAAGAAGCGTGATCCACTCATACCAGCAGAGTATGCCCAACTGCCCGCTGACATCCGGCTCGGCTTCTTGTACTGCCTGGCTTTTCCAGAGAGATCAGAAATCCCTGAGAATTCATTGATCCCTGCACGGAAGCTTGTGCGCCTCTGGACGGCAGAAGGCTTCCCACCGAACGACAGCCCACTTCAGAGCCAAGAGCAAGAGGCAGAGAACCTGCTACAAAGACTCATTGACTACAAACTGCTCGTGGTGAAGAAAACAGGCTTGGATGGCGAGGTGCTGAAATGCAAGGTCAACGAGCACATGCGATCCCTGGCTCTGGAAATGTGTGAGGCACAGAAAATCTGCAGATTTGCACGGGACCCCGCTCACCCGGCACCCCGAACCAGACCCAGCTCGAGCTTGTTCAGCAGAAAGACAGCACTGTTGCACCGCTACCGTGTACTCGCTGTGCATGGAGATGGAGACGGCAATGAAGCTGTCCAAGAAATGTCTAGTGCGATGAGTAAAGACATTCGGCTGCGCTCCCTGCTGTATTTCAGAACCGAGAGGAAGGAGCCTCCCAAGCTTGAGCTGTCATTTGGTCGGACGTACAAGCTTCTACGCACGTTGGATCTTCAGGGAACTCGGCTCACCCGCTTGCACTCCAGTATCACCTGCCTCGTTTGCCTGCGCTACCTAGGCCTGCGAGGAACACAGCTGGAATATCTCCCTGAAACTCTGCAGAGCCTCCGCCGCTTGATGTGCCTCGATATCAGGGACACTGGCATCACAGAGGTGAACGATGTGTCTGAATTTAAAGAGATGAGGCATCTCTATCTTGCAAACTCCTTCCGCGACCAGTCCGTGCTCATCAAGGAAGGCCTGCTGTCGCTGCTTCATCTGCAGACGCTGTCAGGTGCAACACACGAGGTGCCTTCTGAACGAAAAAAGGCAGGCATGGTACCTTTCGAGCAAGAACTGCTATACCTCAAGCTCCTTAGGAAGCTATCAGTTAAGAAGGCATCAATCTCATGCAGCAAAGGCATCTCTGATGCAATCAACAAGATGGACCTCCTACAATCGCTCACTATAACATGTGCTGCTGGTGAGAAGAGGGGGTTCAATTTGAGTTATCTAAATGTCAACAAGAATCTCCGTAAGCTGAAGCTTGGGGGTCGTATGCAGAAATTTGACCGTCTACAACCAAAGCTTCAATCCATAACATACCTCTACCTCTGGGACAGCAAACTGCCAGTAGAAGGTAAAGATCCACTACAGCTTCTGCAAGGCCTTCAGCAGCTTCTCCTCCTCTCGTTATACAACGTCTACGAAGGGGAGAAGTTGACTTGTACCAATGGCTACCACAAACTGAAGAAGCTGTCCATCATCGCGATGGGAAAGCTCAATGAGTGCACGTTTGGCACCAAGAACATGGCAAACCTCGAGGTGCTTGTTTTTGCTAAATGTGCAAGACTCAGCAGCCCGCCGCCGAAGCTTGATGAACTAAACTTCCTCCGGGAGGTGCATTTGGCTCAAATGCCTCAAGGATTCTATGACGGCATGAAGCCAGCAACCAAGAAGCTCGTGCATTTTCCAGAGTTCCAGCACCACTTCCACTCGTCAACCAGAGCTGTCGTGCAAGGGGGAAGCTAAGCCATAATCGCCGATCCGTTCGCTTCACTCACCACAGGCAGGTGCCACCTCTATCCTCCATTGCAAAATGTTTCAAGTATTCATCATCACCCTCAGCGTCACTAACCAAACTTTTTTACTTCTTGTGTGTACGCCATACCAGGCTTCTGTTTCAGTGCTGTAATTTCCGGCCAGCTTCTAGTCACAGCTTCATCAGTTCGGTGTGGCCGTCAGATATATTTGCTGTGCAAGTTCTGAATATTTACCGTTTCATAAATCAGAGTTGAGTGAACTACTTTCAAAATAAATTTAGTCATCAGTGAACTACGTCCATATATGGTGAGATCCCTGCCCGCCCTCGTTTACTGCTGTTTCAATAAGGCTGTATGTTTTCACAAACATGGTGTTAATGGTGAGTGTTTTTTCTTAAAAAAAAATTGGCAATGGTGACCAATTGGTAATCTACTACGGTTGCCCCAAGTTTTATATTCAAGTTTAAATCCTGGTTGATATATATGGTTTTTCAGAATGATGCTTGTTAGTTACTCCCCACAACTCAACGTTCACAAACTATTTTGGATATATAGCGATGAGCTTGGGATTGTAAATGATCCCCACAACTGGAAATACCTCCCTGAAACTTCTCTGGAATCTTGTTTACAATTGCAATCCCCTGAGGCCGTAAATGGCCCCCTGGACTGTAGATAGTGTCGTAATTGAGTTTCACTGCGAGGCTGCAACTATAAACCGATGGGGTCAACCCTGCACCATCGTAAACCTGAAAAATAACATGTGGTGAAGTCAAAGACTCGAGAATAACCTGAAAAATAAATTTCCCTGGCTGTCTTACCATTCAGAACTTGCCATTGTATCAGAACTTGACATTTTTTTTAGACAATGGATAGAAATCCGGCATCTATATCCATAATTGGATATACACAATCAAAATTATACGAGTGCATACACTCAACATCTCAAAACTAAGATGCAAAGAAAAACAAATAACCGAAATGAAAAAGACTATATGACTAGCTTCAAGTTTTTCCTAGTTGTTGCAAATTTTGGAGATGCGGAACTAATTCGCCCTTCCTCCTCCACGCCCTCTCGCTACCAATGCGAGCTCCTCAGTCCGCCATGAGCAAAAACAAGGTACGGAACTAGTACGTCCAACTGCCTTCGCTGCCCGGACATGTCAGCGGCGATTTTCTGGTGATATATGCTTCGGTGGCTCGGTGGAGTTGAGATTCTGCAGCAATGATGGTGGGGCAGCATGATGGTTTGTGTGCAATGTGATGACGGCGTAGCGTTGTAGACTTTTGGCGAGATAAGCTACGACAGCTCAACGGAGGTGGTATCCTACGACGATGACATGGCGGCAATGATTGCGTTGAAGACAGTAATCTAAAAGAAAAATCATTTTCAAGTTTGCTAAAAGGGTATTATGTACATGCAAATATCTCGTGTCATCTCTCCTTCATGCATACTGCTCAGTAAGGAAGCATATATAACATGTATATAAAGAGAGGATCTGACAAAAAGGCTGCATGCAGCAAAGTCATAGCAAGAGGTTCGATTTTTTTTCAAGAGATCGGACGACTGGATTGAAGCATTTTCTGCCTAGCTGTCTGTCTCTGCTTGCGATCGAACGGCCTGAAAAAACTGACGATGGCAAGTGTGGGTGGCTGCATGCATGCGCGCGCGCGGCTAGCAACGCGGGGCGAGGTGAGCCAACCACGCCAACTCCGACCATTCCTCCCGTCGCCTCCCTCTCTTGACACCATCTCAACCTCCATCCCCTCCATGACTTGTGTTTTGCCATCGCGCGCTTTTGCCCACCGCTTCTCTCCTCCTCCTCTCCCCCCTTCCCTTTCCCTCCCGGCGTGTGGTGGTCGGAGGTTGCCATTCATTGGCCGCCCCCACCACCGCACCCGCCGGTGAGGAGGGACACCGCCATCACATTCTTGCTATATCCAACGACCTCCATTGATTAACTACGTGCGTGTGAGAAACTAATCAACCGGCCGGCGTGCTGGCTTTCCTCATCTTCAAGATGCACCGGTGGTTCATTGCCAGCTGCGGAGACATACGTGCGGCGGCGGCGCGCTCATCCCGCCGCCGAGGAGGTACGCCACGCATGCATTCCGATGATCTGAATCGGTGGTTTGCGAAAATTCTTCAAATCGGACCGCATGCATCGGATGCCCGCGCTTCCGCGCCGTCCCCATCACACGTGCCGTTGCAACAAATCACCCATATATTACAGAAACGGTTTATTAAGGGGATCTGTTTCATTTTTTTTTCTACCAACAATGTTTCAGCAAGTATACTCATGTTGTTTCACTATGTATAGATCAAATGTTGCAGTGAATTGAAACATCATTTCACTATTTGCTGAAACATTGTTTTTATATATAGTGAAACAGCTTTAAAAACCGCTGTTTCATACGTTGTAGCAAAATGTCTCATGAGATGATTTGGTTATGTTTCAGCATTTTAAACGATCGAAACATTTCCGATCTACTTAATGAAACAATTTCGATCCGCTTAGTGAAACACCGTCCGTTTTTTTAAAAAAAGATCGAGCGCCCGATTTATAGGTGCCTCGGGTCGTTTGTTTGATTATTGCCATGTGTGTATGTGAATGCAGGCGATGCGATTGCGCCCAAGTCGGCGCCGCCGTCGCCGTCGCCGCCGCCGAGGCTGAGGAAGACGGTGTCGGAGACGGCGGCGGTGATGCTGGCCGTGCCCAAGGACGTGGAGGAGTTCCGGACCATGCCGGCGTACGGGACCAACCTCGAGCTGTTCACCTACGACCAGCTCAGGGCCGCCACCGCCGACTTCAGCCCCGAACAGATCGTCGGCGAGGGCGGCTTCGGCGTCGTCTACAAGGGCCTCATCCATGGCGCCGTCGTCGCCGTCAAGCAGCTCAACCCCTTAGGCCACCAGGGCGACAGGGAATGGCTGGTCAGTGTGCACACATCATCATCTCGCCATTCTTGTGCTCATGCAAGCTGCTAATCATTTATAGCTATTTTAATAGTCCATTCATGCAATAATTATAAATATACTACACCATTATTAATCGGTCATATCTCTCATACACATAAAATATAATGGAGTCTGTGTTGGAACTGGCTACAATCTGTAGCCCGTTTTCTTCCTTTTTTTCTTGATATGTGTTTATTGTACTTGCTATAATGTTGCACTAATTTAATCAAATAAAATTGAAATTAATCAAATGAAGACGGAAGTGAGCTACCTGGGGCAGTACAACCATCCGAATCTGGTGGAGCTCATCGGCTACTGCTGCGAGGACGATCACCGGCTGCTGGTCTACGAGTACATGGCCAATGGCAGCCTCGAGAACCACCTCTTCCGACGTGAGCTTAAATTAATTTCTCGCCATTAATTTATTTTGCTAAGGATGTTGCTAATGATCACTATGATCAAGAGCATATGCATGCAATGCAAAGGTTGAAACTGGTTAACGATCCCGGCCAGGTTCATGCAACCTCTCATGGACGACCCGGATGAAGATCGCCTTGGACGTGGCGAGGGGCCTCGCCTTCCTCCACGGCGGCGACCGGCCGATCATCTACCGCGACTTCAAGACCTCCAACATTTTGCTTGACACAGTTAGTAGTTATCTTACTCAAATACAAATTCATGAGGGTTACTACATAACGCTATACCATTGCAACAAAATATTTCATCCGTTTGAAATTATAAGTTATTTTGATTTTAGTTAAAGTCAAAGTACTTTAAGTTTGGCTAAATTTATAGACAAATTTAATAATATTTATAACACCAAATTAGTTTCATTAAATCTATAATTAAATATATTTTCATAATATATTTATTTTGGGTTGAAAATATTTTTTTTCTACAAACTTGATCAATTTAAAATAGTTTGAAAAGTCAAAATGATGTATAATCTGAAATGGATGGAATAGTTTTATGCATGCTGACATCAGTAGGGTATTGTAGTTTGTAGGTATAGGTATCTTCGTAAGTACCAGATTTGATATCGGTACCGTATATGAATACCTTATAGATATAGTTACTAGGTTGATGTCAACTATTCCGTTAAAACGGTAATACCTTTTTTTAGTATTTCTATAAATTGAGAGAACAATCTGAATTTTCAAATGTTAATTTAGCTTAATAATTTGGGGGTGTAATAGGATATGAAGGCGAAGCTGTCGGATTTCGGGCTGGCGAAGGAGGGGCCGCGGGGAGGGAAGACGCACGTGTCGACGAGGGTGATGGGGACGTACGGCTACGCGGCGCCGGAGTACGTCGCCACGGGCCACCTCACCGCGATGAGCGACGTCTACGGCTTCGGCGTCGTCCTGCTCGAGATGCTCGTCGGCCGCCGCGCGCTCGAGCCGCCGGCCGCCGGCTGCAGCAAGTGCAACCTCGTCGACTGGGCCCGCCCCATCCTCATCCGGCCCAAGAAGCTGGAGAGGATCGTCGACCGCCGGATGGCGCTGCCGGCGCCGGCGGCGGACTACGGCGGCGGCGTCGACGCCGCCGTCGAGCGGGTGGCGCGCCTCGCCTACGACTGCCTCAGCCAGAACCCCAAGGTCAGGCCCACCATGGGCAGGGTCGTGCACGTCCTCGAGGCCGTCCTCGCCGACCACCACCACCACGCCGGTGCTGCTGCCGCCGCTGCACGGCCGGCAGCCGCCGCCGCCGCCGCCACCGCCACCGCCGGCCGGTTATATGTATAGATGTACATGTTTGGGAATTAATTAATTTCATCATTGATTACGTAATATTATTATAGGGTCTTTATATATGATCTATCTATGCATGACGCACGGTTTAGGCATAGCAAAGAACGAATTTTAATGAGGCCACTGCGTCAACAAAATCATTCGAACTTTTTTTCCAAACACGCAAAAAAAATTGCACGTTAATATATTAGAAGAAAAGAGTCACAAACGCGAAAAAAATTGCACGTCAATATATTACCTAAAAGAAAAGAGTTTTTGTTACACAACGCAATCAGTCAGACCGGCTTATGCCAGGCGAAGAGAGAAAAAAAGACAAAAACCAAGGAAGAAGAAAGAAACTACTAGGATGGCTAAACACAAATCCGATCGGCGGGAGAGAGCAAAGCCACACTACACTCCCGAGGAATCCCCAAAAGTAGCAATGCCAGCTAACGATCACATATGACTCTCTAAGATGATGGACTTTAGAACCACTAAGACCGAAGAGAGCGCGGAGTCGTAAACCCTGCAGTTGCGTTTCTTCCACAGTTGCCAAGAGACCAAAGGACAAGTGAGTCGAAGCCCCTACAGTTGCGTTTCTTCCACAGTTGCCAAGAGACCAAAGGACAAGTGAGTCGAAGCCGGCATGAAGATGCTCAGGTAAGCAAGCCCTAGAAGATGGCCACCTTCTTTCATTAGCATTCTTTCAGCCATTCTTTCAATAGAAGCCAGCACGAAGATGCTCAAGTAAACTGTCACGGGGCAGCTCAACCAGGAGGCGATAGCATACAAAGCTAGATCTGTCAAGCGAACACGTAAAAATCATTCGATCGATATTTACCATAATCATGACTAATGACTGAAAACTTATTAGTGTGGCTGATGCCTGAAGAAAAAGATCAAGAAAGAATGCTAATGACTGAAAATAAATCAAGGATTTATTAGCGTGGTTAATGACAAATAGTTTATGAATCCAATCAAGGCAAAATATATTTTTCAAAAAGTTTATGAATCAAAGGGTGGCTAATGAATCAAATCAAGGCTTTATTAGTTGGCTAACGACTGAAAAAAAATTAAAAAGTGTTAATGATTGAATCCAATCAAGGCAAAATATATTTTTCAAAAAGTTTATGAATCAAAGGGTGGCTAATGAATCAAATCAAGGCTTTATTAGTTGGCTAATGACTGAAGAAAAAAATTAAAAAGTGTTAATGACTGAAAGGTAAAAATAAAAAATAAAAAGTGTTAAGAAAAAATTAAAAAAATAGTGTGGCTGCTGGGATTCGAGCCCAGGTCTCCACGGCCACAACGTGGAATTCTCACCACTAAACTACAGCCACTTCGTGTTACAAAATGTGTTACAAAATAGTATAATATTTAAAATATATCTGTTGGTTTACTACACCTATGTTAGGAAGGCAGTATAGTTTGTGGCTTGACACACTTCATATTATTACCATGGCAAATCATCCACCATATGCTCCAGGCTTACACATAAACATATCGCTTGCAGCCATGAATATGTCACTTATTGCAAACCGCTTCTCACTCTATAAATGCAAACAGAATCACTGAACAACAAGTTTGAACTGTTTTTGCTTGGTTTTTTAGTCCAAATTGAGCCCGTCAGCCTAACATCTAGGACAACATAGAAGAGGCCAAGAGGAGGTACCAGAAGTCATAAAAAAACATATATATTAGTCTCAATCTGGATCCTTACAAGGAAGTATTAAGCAGCTCTCTTACCATTGCCTTACATTTTCAATGGCACAAAATCAGGTATCACATTTGTCATACACTCATATCTCAAGTCTGATGTCGGCATAAATATGTAAAATAATTACACTACATCACCAGCTAGCACGCGGGGCTTGTGGCACCTGTTGAACAGCTGCGAGTGGATTTATCTGGGTGGAGAAGGCGAGTTGCAGGGCATCAAGGAAGCCCCGTCGCAGAGATGAAATTTGTTGGAATGCAGTCCTGCTCAAAGCACATTCACTCCCAATGAGTCTTTTGGGTCATAGAGGCACAAAAACATTACGATTGAAAATGTCGATTGCAAGTGTGAGACATCCATACCTCTTCAACGCAGCACCTTTCCTCCTAAGGATGTATAATGTCGAGAACAGCAGTGAAAATAGAAACATCACTTTACCACTTGGTAGAACCACATGCACCTTTCCAAATTTTATGCGAAATGAATGAAACCACCAGAACAATGGATCAAATTGATTTGTGACGCGTTGAAAAGAAGGTTGAATGGATTTCGGCAAAGCCTTTCTAAGTCCCTGTATATTCCCATTGTGCGTAGGTGCTGAGCTTTTAGTAGCATCCTCATGTGCTGGTGATATTGAGCCATTCTGAGAAGTGGAAAGGTTTCTTTCTGCTGATTCTGATAGTTTTGCACCCTGATTGGTGGACTTCTTATTAGCTGCAGATTGTAACGCATGAAGTTTTCTCAATAGGTCCTGTAGAGGAAAATATAATAAACAACTTAATAATGCAAAAGAATTGACAGTGCATCTCTACCTCAGGAGCAAAACTTAAGGGGCAGAGCAGCAATAGAAGTTCAGAAAAAAAACAATATAGAAATCTGAAACTCCTAAGTTGTATCTATTACTACAAGGCGCCAACAAAAACTTACCTGCCGATCTTGTTCAGTCAACTCAGCCTTTTCAGTCCATGAGATAGCAGTTGCAGTCTCATGGGAGACAACACTAAGGAATGTTACCGTGTACAACTCTGCCACCTCAAAATATTGTTCAGGTGACATAACCGATGTAACAACCAACCCATTTGAGGAGCTGTTCTTTCCTTCATCTAAAACATAAACTTGATCATCAGTATATCTCCATTTAGCAAGGTATTCATCGAAGATTGGTCTAAGATCAGATCCAGATCCTCCTGCCATGTGCATCGTAGCCCTACGAGAAGAAAAATACCAGTAATTGATACAAAGAAGGGGAAGCATGAAAACACTCCATGAAAAACCAACAACACATGGGGCCTCTGTGTAACTGTAACAAGTACCCTGTAATGAAAATTTTCAATGGTATTGATGCCACTGAACCGTAGATTGTCTTGAGCTGGATAAACATCTCAGATGTCCTGGAACAGTTAGCATAATGTGTTACACACACCAGAATATAAACCAGACTTCAGAAACTATGGAAACATTCTACACAGTGGATAAAGAAGATAATAACAACAAGTATTAAGGATTGTTTGCATGTTTAGTACAAAAACACATTTTTTCAATATCCATCCATATAAATCCAGAGCAAACCTGAACCAGACATTAGAAAGTATGGGATCATTCTTTTTGCATGTGTACATCTATTGTTTTTCAATTTTATCATTTCAAAGGCAAGCTAAGTTAGGTAAGGGTTTAAGGCACCTGGATGAATTACGTATTAATGGGACATCAGCTAACAATTAGTACGCAGTACATTTCATTTAACCTTTTATCAGGGTATTAAGGAAGTTTCACCAGGAAACAAGACAGATATTATGATTATATACAGTTACTCGTGAAGATATTTTTTCTTGGGCAAAATCAGAAGCCCATAAAAAATAACTTATACTTGTATTATCATAGAGAAGCAATGGAAAACTTAAATTTGCTTTACCAGGCAGCATTCTCTCTAATTACAGAATGTATAAGAACCTTAGATTTGGTCAGAGCATAAAAGCAATAAAATGAGGAAAGGTAATGGATTTACCTCTTAAGTTCTTTAAGCGCCTGAACAAGTACCATCCCAGCTAATTCAAGCATTTCCAGAAGCTCATCATGGTCGCATGAATTCTCCATGGCAGCCGAATGTACTTGACTGGATACAGATAAGGCAGTGGATACGGCCTGCTCGAACAATCCGCTGACCAGATAGCTGAGCCATCAGGATGTCAACTTAAGTAAACAAGTTTAAAACCTTTTATTCACCATTTGGAACTTTACATGCTTGCGTAAATTGTAAAGCACAATTATACAGTATATGGTTGACTGCTCCTAAAGTCATCCAGATTCCAGAATAAGAACAGTGTATTTTACATGGCATTCATCCTGGCAAGCATGTCTACAAATCCGGCTAAATTCCCTGCCCTTTTGCGCTACGCGAACTGAAAACCTAGCTCAATTCGCTACCGTCTTATACTACATAATTCAGCGAGGCAGTCGCGAACTCGCGATTCAATTACCTGACTAAACAAGCAACCAAGATGAACTACTTTAAGACCTAGGCTAATGCGACTACGAACCATGTGGGGGAGGATTTGATCTTACTGCTCGGCGTCGTCGATTTGCTTCCAGAGATTTGGCTCCTGCGCAGAGGTCCCCATGGTGGTGGTTCGGAGCTCACGCTCTGCCTCCGCCTCCGCCTCAAGCTCTCCCTTCCCCCACCGGCTCGACGGCGCCGCCGCAGGGGATCTCCTCCTTGCTGCGTCGGAGAGGAGGAGACGTGGTTGAGAAGAAGAGGAAATAATAATAATAAAAAAAAGCAACTGGAATTGTAATAAACGGAGTGGATAATAAACGCGCTGAGCCCTTGCTACTCACAGGAAAAAAAGAGGAGCCCGAAGCTTCCCAATAGGAGAGGAGGAATCCTTGATGAAGCCGGCGATCAGCGGCGGCGGCGCCCGGAGTGGAGTGAGCCGCACGGCCGATAAAGTCGGCGACTGGCGGCGCCGGCGCCGGCGGATCGGAATATCGGGTCGTCGCCTCCGCCGTTGGGTGGAGACGGAGTGGATGGGCGGGCCGCTTGATCGGATGGGCCTTATTAGTGCCCTCATGGGCCGTCCTGTTTGTTCCACGTTGTGCCTGGCCCATGTTTGGTGGGCCTTCTGGGCCATAAATAGCACCCTTTATGGGCTGTCCCGCATTGCTCAATTTGGGCCTGGCCCATGTTTGTTGGGTCTTCTCGGCCATGAATATATCCCTTTACGATTTTGCTATATCTCACTCGAAAGATTTTTTCTTATCTCTCACTCGATTTTCTCACTCAAATTTACAGTGCCTTTTCTTATAAGTTACAGTGTAATTTATGAAACTTACACTGTAACTTTTGTTAGTTACACTGTAATTTTTGAATCTTCGCATGTAAATTTTAAATTTTGTATTGGATTTGGTCTTTTTCTTGAGGATATGGTAATTTAGTATCCATTATGGTGTTTCTTAATTGCTTTTTGCCTTTTATTATATATATCGGATTTTAATCTAAAGATTAAAAATCTATGTGATACGATCATAAAAATCTTTCGAAAGATGTATAGGTACTCCCGGTTTATGGGCTGTCCGTTTTGCTCAAGTTGGGCATGGCCCATGTTTTCCAGCCCTCGAATATCTTTGGAATATCCTGGCCCATGTTCTGTTCGCAAGCAAATTAGCATTTAGGTCCTCGAAAAGAAGGCAAATTAGTTATCACTCGAATATAATAAGTTGATGCAGCAGAGTCAAGGCATGAGACTATCAGACTAACATGACATTTGACAAGGCAGCAAATTCATCTAGAATGTTACACTTTGTAAATACGTTTGAATTCCCCTTTTTGAATGTGTAGAGAGCCAAAGGCAAATTAAGCGCATCAACTTGACCGCAACATATGCTTGCGTTACATCTTTCAAGAATTCAAGTTTCAAGTCTTTGGTCAGGTCTAAACTGGAGACCCCACAGCAAAATTATATTTTACTTAATTCAATCGAACTTACTTAGTATACAATAATTGCAGTTAGTTGGTTGTAGTTATTTAGAAATAGAGGATTATTGTATTTCTTTTAATACATACTCCCTCCGTACTCGTAAAGGAAGTTGTTTTGGACAGCGACACAGTATTGAAAACACAACTTTAACTTCTTGTTTCTGTAAAAATATTTATTGAAAAGTGATATATGTATACTTTTATGAAAGTATTTTTCAAGACAAATATATTCATATAATTTTTACATTTTCAAACGCAACAACTTGAGAGTTATTCATGGTTTATATTCCCAAGGTTTGACTTAAATATTATCCTAAACGACTTTCTACGAGTACGGAGGGAGTACATGATAAAACAATAAAACAGAGTTCCAACCAAATTATGATCTAATAAAATGTTTTATCACATTATAGTCACATGTGACTACTGAAAAAAGAAGCCTGCACCCTCATCCTCCTTACGGCATGGGAAATTTGATAGGAAAGGAATCATAGGGTTTTTTACACAAAGAACTGTATGTCACATCTCTCGGAGGACAAATCAAGGAGGAGGCCAAAACTTGGCTTTAGTAGGAGCAAAACACTTCTACTTCCTTAGTGCTTTCCTTTCTCCTACATTTTTTTTCAATACCTTTTCTTCTGCTATATTCAATGAAATTGGTATATTAGTGTTGGTTTCTTTATTAAAAAAAAAGAGTAAATATGGGTCCTAAGATCTAAACTATAGTGTGAGGATCATGCATAGATATTTTGACCACCAAAGTAGAAGTAATAAAATGATGACCCACGCTTTTGCTGCCGAATACAAGGATAAATGTACTCTTAATATTATAGAAATGATGAATGGTATATGTTGAGATATCTTAGAAATGATAAGGGGTGATAATTTGATATGCTTGCATGTGGAGCTTTAATTTAATAAATTGTAGTAGATGATGTGGAATGTTTGCATGAGTATTAAGATGTAATAATTATTAGCGGATAGTGATATGGTTTGTTTGTACATTAAGATTTAGAATGTAATGGGTTGTAAATATGTAGTAGGTATAGAATTTTTTTTTAGTTTTTTTTATTGAAGCTTCAATTAAGATTAGTCAAGATTTCACATGAAGGATTATGTAACAATGTAGCTTAGAATTAGTAAGGGTCCATGGCCAAACTTCCAAATACCTTTCTATTGGAGGAATTTTCAATTGTTATTGGACATTAGAGCCTCATAGATTAATAGTGTTCAACTAACATGGGATCATACATACTGGTGATAAGTATGTCTCGATGAAAAAGCAGAGTATGGACACATATATTATCACTAGTTGTATTCCCTTGAGAACGACCTTATGCCTAGAATTATCAAGCAATGTCGCATGTCTGGATTTTTGTACTCTTAAAAAGTTCGATGTTTTTTTATAACGAAAATGGTTTGTATCCTAATCTCTGCCATACAATACACAATCAATACGGTACTAGTATAAAGGAGCGCATACACGGGTTTATGTCAGTAATATATTTGAGGGCTATTTGGTAAGGTTTCAACTTATAAATTTAACTTTAAGAATTAAGCCTGTAGTGAAGTTAACCCAGCTCTATCTCTGAAGTTCATTTTGTGATAACACTCCAATCAGTTCCACTCAATTGGTCTTGACGACCCAATTTATTTTTACGTATCTAGGTATTTGCTCAAGTTGTTCTTACCTTTAACCTCCCAACCCCTTCTCTCTCTCTTCGCACGCACGCTTTTTAAACTGCTAACCGGTACGTTTTTTTAAAAAAGTTTCTATACAAAAGTTGCTTAAAAAATCAAATTAATCCATTTTCGAAAAGAAATTAGCTAATACTTAATTAATCATTCAGTAATGCGTGCTCTGTTTTACGTGCCGGGGAGAAGAGATTCCCAACCGCTCCTCCCGAACGCAGCCTAAGGTCAACCGTAGTTATATATGCCTCGGGTCTATTTTTTTTCAAGAAAAAAAAAACGAATCAGATCATGTCCACACTGATCAGATCTTTGGAGAGGCAGAGACGGGAATCTCCACGGCGATCACGTCCACACCACACAGCACGAATCTTGACGTAGAGCCCAGCTTGTATATAATGGCACGCATTCCTCTGCACCTCTGCAGTCTGCACACACGCACAAGAATCGAGTGAGCCAGAGTTGAGAGTTCGTTCCATCTCCCTTCGCTCGCCACGTGGCAGCCGCTAGTCCTTATCGCCGCCGCCGCCCACCTCGCCATGGCGCCGCCACCCGCCGCCGCCGCCGCCGTGGACGGAGTCGGGGTCGGGGTCGGGGCGCACAGCGTGTTCGTGTACGGGAGCCTGATGCAGGACGAGGTGGTGCGCACCATCATCAAGCGCGTCCCGCCCTCCTCCCCGGCGCTCCTCCCCAACTAGTAAGCGCCGCCGTCTTCCTCCTCTTCCTCTCCTAGGGTTCTTGATTTCTTCTGCAGAGAGAGATTCCCCTTTTGCGGATTCGCTTTCGCCTCCCTCGCCGGGAATGGATTCCTCTCGCGCTAGCTAGTGCGCCCGGTGACGTCGTCGATCGTGACGCGTGATAGCGTCATTGAGATTGAGATTTTTTTCAAAAAAAAAATATTGATCTATGTGCTTATTCTGTTCTTCATTCATATTGATAATAAAGATGCAATAAGCTGAAAGTGTGAGATTGTCGCAGCCACAGGTTCAACATCAAGGGTAGGATTTATCCTGCAATCCTACCTGTTCAAAGCAAGAAAGTTGCTGGCAAGGTTTGCTACACTATTTCTCTTTCTTTTTTTTGGTCTTCCTCCAACATAAATTAAATTAATCTTTCCTAGAGAGTATATATATAAATAACTATTTTGAAGTTTGACCATAGTATAATGAACATCTGATTGTATTACTGAGTTTTAATATTCTCATGATATAATTAGGCTATTATGTTCACTGTTCGACAGTAACTGCGGTAGGCCGTTATGACAGCAAGCAATTCCTTAAATCTCATTGAAAAGAAGCTATGGTTTCAATATACTTACAAACGAAAAATAATTTATGAATAAATTTTTTATATACGTGTTCTAAAAAATAAACTTCGATGAATAAAAAAACCCCAAAATCAACTCTAAATTTAAGGTCAAAAATTTAAATTTTGGCTGATAAGTACAAACATAAGCGAAAAGATGAAGTTGTTAAGCTTTTAACCTCTCTCTCCTCTTACCTACGGTTACTATTTTTCTGCAGGTCATCACCGGTGTTACTGATGCAGAGCTCCAGATTCTGGATGAATTTGAAGATGTGGAGTACGTGAGGACAAGAGTTGAGATATCATTAACTGTGAGTTTTTCACTGACGTTGTCAACATAATCAATGCTGGCAGCAAGTATTATGCAGGAGACACAAAAATACATCTTAGGAAATTATTTGTTATTGCCATACAATAATGTTCTTCCTCTGTTCATCATGTACATTTTTTGCTGTTGATACGTCGTCAAAAAATCGATATGGTTTTGCTAAAAACAAAGGTGATTTGTCCTTGCAGGATACTTCAGAGACAATGCTTGCTGACACCTATGTATGGGCTGATGCAGAGGATCCAAATCTTTATGGTGAATGGGATTTTGAGGTGAGGGTATTTCCGTCTGTATTCATACCTGATGCCATTTTGTATATATACAAGATCTTAAGCCCATGTTATTTTGTTAGTTCTTCCATTCTCACACCTGTACTTAAACTGTCTTCATGCTTAACTGAATTGATAAAATTGACAGTGGTTATTACGATTGTGTGATATCCATTTTGAGCTCATTCATTTTTTTCCCCTGCAGGAATGGAAGAGGTTGCACATGAAAGATTTCCTTGCGATGACCCACGGGTTCATGGATGGCCTCGAACAGCCTGAATCCAAGTCCAGGGTTGAAACCTACCAATCATTCATGCAGGAAATCCAACAGCCTGGGACGACGACGACGACGACCCAGGTTGAGATTTGAAGGACTACATTGCAATATTCGCCAATAGCCGATATATATAGTGAAATGGCAGTTCGCTGTATTAGCATGTTAGTATGAAATAACCCATCTCCTCGAGAGTGTAATCTTTATACTTTATAGCATCATCCATTAATAATACATGTAAGAATAAAGTTTCTACTGTGATTTCTGTTGGTCCAATGTGTGCTGGTGAAGTGGTGATTCATGATCTTTAGCATAGGTTAGGGAAGGGCTTTGTGTTCTGTATTTTTTTGCAGTAGTAACTTTTATTTTTTTTTTTGTTAAAAATTAGCACTCATGTTGGCAAAAACCGTTTGTCCTATGGAAATTACGCAGTATTCCAATACCTGAAGAATAACCCGACATAACATTTGCAAAAAGCAAATGCATACGACTCAAAAAACACAGACCTGACATCTTCAACTTTTGATTTCATCATGGAGATCTTAAGAATGGCCTCTGAAGAAGAATCATTTTACTACAGAACTGCCTTTCCAACAGTACAATCATCTTTCGCCTAACCTTAAGAAACTCTAGGTAAGTTTCATTTACCATCCCTACTCCCTTTTGATGTGTGAGAAACTACACATATAGACAAAAAAAACACTACTGATCCGCCGAGCCATTTGCGCTCCCGGATGTAAGCTGATAACATCTACAACAACACTCCGGTGATTGTCTACTTACACCGGCGCAGCATGACAATATGGACTGGTGAATTTGGTCATTCGAATTGTTCATATGAACCATTGGAAGGGTTACCGGAGTTCTGATCGCAGCGAGCCCTCCATGCATTCCCTCCGTCTGAGCTGCTGCAGGCCTGATTCGGGGGAATGTTGTTCCCGAGATCACAACCCTCCAAGCTCATCTGCTGAACTTCTTGAGGTGAAAGGATCCTAATGCATTTCACGCAACCGACAAATTCCCTGTATGATCCACAGTAGCACTCATTAGGAATGCAAGAACATGAATGCCCGATACATAGGCGATGTTGATTGTGGGTGGAATGCGGCCATCTATCCATTCAGATTCTGGAAGCGAAACTTGAGAGTGTTTTATGCAAGCATGAGAAGAAAATGAGAGCTGAACTTACTCCCATGGGTCGTCGCCAAGAAGTAGGATGTCATCTTCATGATCCTTGTAAACGAGCTTCCAACCAATTCTCTGCCGTTCCTCAAGTTGCCCCTCTATACTGAACATCCGTGCCAGAGCATGCTTTAATTCATCATATCCAGAGAACTGACTCATGTCAATGGACCGGCCTACAGCTCCTCGCTTATATACCTACAGTACCATATAGGTTATGCAAAGATGCAACTGCAAATGCATCCATAAAATGCTATAATACAACAAAGAAACGGTGCTTCGTTTAACAGATTTATCCTGAAGTTACACTTAGAAAACTCTTATCTTAAAGAGTATAATTAATACAAACATGTGAGATTCGCACATAAAAGTTATGTTCGGCTAGAAACTCAACCATAAAACTTCTTAACATCTCCTAGGCAACCAAAAAAAAAAACTACTCATACTGTCCTCATCACATCACGGAACAGAATCTGACTCAGACTTATCATGCAATTCGGCTTATCCATATGCACATTTACTTCAATGTTTTGAAGGTTAATAAATGAGAACTTAGTTTCCAGTAGATGAAACTACCATCGCAAGTTTAAATTATTGTTACCATGGTAATGAAAAAGATAAAAAGCTTCATGTTTACTTATAATTAAAATTCACGCTGACCACAGAAGAAGCTGTTGGTTGGCTTCAGATAAAGAAACAGAAAGGTACTGACCTTGGTGAATGTCCTCATCCTCTTTAAGGGAGCGGCAGGAGGCCAAGAACTCCGGTTCAAAAAGCCACCATCGTTGATCGTGGAATCAATTGAATTAAATGCCATATCTGATGCACCAAATGACTGTGAAACCATTGAGGATGATATTTCTTGCTGGGCATCCTTCGGAATTCTGTAGCTATTATCAATTTCTGTTGAGATATGGTTCTCGTACTTGGCAGCATCAATTCCATTCGACAGGAAATCATCTGTTCCTAGTCCTATAGGGAAGCCCAGCGGACCATCACCATTGATTCCAAACAATGCATTGTTACTTGTATTAGCAGCATGAATTTCAGCATCAGGAGGAGCATCTTTGAACATCTGTGGCTGGTTGAAGTTGGACATAGGGAAATTTTGATGTAGAAGTCCATCATTCTGGGAAAGCCACACTGAAGTTGCGGAAGAAGCAGTTTCCAGATAGTCCGTTGGAGGTGGATTGTTCACATAATTTTGAGAACCAGTCCCAGCATTTGCTAATTTTGAAGCCACTACACTTTGTTTAACATTATGGTTCAACTTTGGTGAATCCTTCATCATTCTCGGGGTTGCTGTGACAGCTTCAAGGGAGCTTGGAACTGACATAGGAGCAGCAGACTGAGGAACCTTTTCTGTGTTGATCATGCTACAATGTTTGTTCCTACCAAGTATTGGTTGTAGAAGGTGATTGCCATTAGCTGTGGATGGTGATGTTGAACAAGAAGGGATTTCTTCTGTAAGTACAGAATGAGTAGCACCAGTTGTCATCAAAGGGCTTCCAGTTGTTGAAATGACATTGACTGATGTGGTCGGCGGAACGGCAGCTTCTGAAGTGTCTGCTAGCATCGCTTGCTTCTGTAGAAGCTTCTGTTGTGGCTCTTGTTGCACAGGCAGTGGCAATGGTGTGTTCTGTGATGGAACCTTGGTACTTTGTTGAGGCATCATTTGTTGTTGGGAAAGTGTTTGGGAGTTTGACAGCTGCTGTTGCATATCCAGAAGTAACTTCTGCTGTTCTTGGATCAGAGGTAATTGTGCAAGGGTGACTGCAGGTTGTGAAAGCAATGACTGCTGTTGTTGCTGTAGTTTTTGTAACAGTTGCAGCTGAAGCTGTTGATCAGTTAGCTGAAACTGCTGATTCGCCAGACTTGACAACTGTGCAGGCATCTTACTCAATTGCTGCTGTTGCTGGAGCAAAAGCTGTTGCTGCTGCTGTTGTAGCAATTTTTGTTGTTGTTGCTGTTGTTGTTGTTGTTGCTGCTGCTGCTGCTGCTGTTGCTGCTGCTGGGGCAGAAGCAAGGGCTGGCTGGTAGCTGGTTGTTGACCTTGAGTTGAAGATGCATGTTGCTGTTGCATTTGATTTTGGACAAGGACCTGAGCTTGGCCAAGATTGGTTTGAGCTTGGCTCAAAGGAAGCATATGGTTCATGGAAGGTTGTTGCCTCTGAAGGTTGCTAGCATCATGAATCTGTTCCTGAGGTTTGGTGCTCACACCAAGCTGATTCAACGGAATGCCTGCCTTTGCTAACTCATTGACTGGCTGCATTTGCTGAGAAAGTTTGGGAGTATTAAACTGTATATTGTTCTGTTGAAGAAGCTGGTTCTGCAGGCATAATTGCCTAGAGAGATCGGCGGCACCAAGATTTTGCATGTTGGGGTTGCTCAATGATCGAAGGTACTCAGACTGCATGGCTGTATTCGCAAATGAGGAGCTCTGTTGCATGTTCATGTTCATCCACTGAACCAAGCTCAGCCCAGGCATTATGGTGTTCTGAGTCTGAGGATCCTTTATGCATATTTCCTCACCAAGCCAAGGCATAGCCCTCTTTAAGAGATTCTCCATTTCCGAGGACTCGTCATCTGTAATTACATGGTAGGGATCAAAAGTTAAGCATACATACAAGCAGTTTAGTGAAACAATTCATCTATTTGAATTCACAACACCACTAGAATTCGATAATTAGCTCAAATCAGTTGGGTGCGTACAACTCAAAAGGTATGTTATCCAGATTGTCATCTCAAAGGTAAAGCTTGGTTGCAGGTATATTTTCCAAGCTAGTAGCTAGACATAACAAATGACTAAGGGGTATTCTCCTGGATCAATAACTGGATTCAAGAGCAGTTAAAGAATATAAAAGAAGTAATGGCAATGTAACATGAGAGCTCACCTAATTGCCTGGGCCGCTTCGCACCAAAAAATGGTGGAGGACATATGAAAAATGGAGCAGCGACCGGTTCAATCTCCCAGATAGAAACCCTATTTCGCCTTTCACCGGCTGCGGATTCATCCCAACCAACCTGTTCAAGAATGAAAAAACACAAAATATATTGTATCAGCAGCAGAAAATGGGCACAAGAAATACTAGGTTATAGTGCTGCCAAAATTAACCAGAGAACAAACCTGTAAGTTGCGCCACTGCGAGTTTTTCCATCTTACTGGATCTAGATCACTTATGCCAGTTATTGTTCCCATGTATCTGCAATAAGGGCAAGAAAACAACAACAAAAAATTTAAAAAGAAAATTAAGAATCATTCCCAGCTTTGTCATTGACATGTATAATCATATAATATGGCAATTCAGTCCACAATTATTTCCATTTATGGAAAAGTGAGAAAAAAGTACCTTCGTGTTCCTAATTCCTCAGTCTCAAACATCATGCGAAAGCGCATCCCTAAAGATATTTGATTACCATAGACTGCCTTCTGATACTTAGCAAATGGGATAACAAATTCAGTAGGACTGGCCCTGAAATACGGAATTTGCATACCATCATTTCAACAGCTCTCCAGTAGTTACTACTAGAGAATTATCAAAACATACTTTAGTACAGAACTGACCTAGGGTTATAAAAGATGGTAAATGGGCTATTGTTGGCAGCAGCATGGGCTGCAGCAGCAAGAATCCCTATGTGCATGCTGTCACTTGAAAGGACAGATGATGATATGTTAGTTGGCTGTCGGTTAGCACGCCTGATTCCTAATAGAAGTTGCTGCTTTTCATCCCTAAAAAATAAAAAGGAAAAAGAAAGAAGACCACCGTTAAATCGATGTGAATAACCACAAAAAACAAGAAAACATCATGCATCTCTTGTTCTCATCATTTAGTTCAAACTTTAAAGATATAGCATATAAGCTGTAGCATACCTGACAAAAATGACAGAATCTCCAGCAAATAACCTCTTGCCGCTTACAAATAGACTCCAGCCAGTGGTAAGCAGATGCCTTTTTGGCTGACCTGTTTATATCAAAACACATGGGCGATTAAATATTTTGTCTGGACAAAATACATATCGAGCCACATATATTACATAAAAACACAATAATTTGAAGTTTGAATACAGGAACTGCCATGCGTAAAGAACAAAACATGCATATGCACACAATTTCAGCCAATCATGCCAAATATTAAGTATCAACAACTATAAAGTAGGATGTCAACAGCAGAATTTTTCATTTGTTATACTATATATTTTCTTTATTTTTATCGTTGCTATTGTTTGCTTACCCCGATATATGTGACGGAATGTCCACACATTATCATGCAAATCCCTGGCCTGTAGTTCTTGTGCAGGTGGTTGCATTGAGAAGTCCTACAGCAAGCACCAGTGATTTAATAATAAAGATGCAGAAAATGAAGTAAACAATGGCATATGACTCTGATCTTTGCATACCAGTGGAGGAAATATCTTTTCTGCAGCTCGACGAGGCACAGAGAAGCCTCCATGAGTACTTGTATCACTTGCAGTCAGTGTCTTGCAAAAGAATTCTGTCTGTGGTCTCGCTTGTTTGAGTGCAAGCTCTGATAACTGCAGGGCCTCCTTCCCATACTTTTCAATACACAATCAATTGAAACACAAAAGGTGGGTTACAATCCATGAACAAAAGGGAAATCGATGAAAATTTGTTGGGGATCTGCAAGGGCATCAGATGCTTACTGAAGTAACTGGCTGAAGAGTCATTTGTGCATACACTTCATCTGTTTCTGGGTCCGCCTAAGAAATATAGATGGACCATACTTTCAGCATAGATGGTTAAAGGTAAAAAGAAACTATAATAACATCTCACGTCTGTAGATTACATGTAAAGTGACGTTATGCAGAAGGCAAATCAACTTTGAAGGCAGATTTGGGTAGCTTGGAACATGTGCATCAACATCCTTTTGCATAGAGGCTGCAACCTGCAATATGAAAGATACTTAAATCTGTGGCTCTAAGCAACAATTTTCACACTGGAATCAGAAGGATGCAGATATAAATCTGTTGATACTGGGACCTTATCAACAAAAAATCATCAGTCACAGGGAAACAAAGGCCAAAGGGTACTCGATCACGATGAAAATCACAGGAAAAAATGGCAACCGAATTTTTACAAATATTATTTTTATGTTGCTTAAGTTTTATTTTAAATTCTCTATGTAACTCTTCTCCCTTTTACAAAATGTTCCCTACTTCAACCACAGCAATTTCCCCACACAAAAAAGCATGACCAACATTAGGCTGAATTTAAGTTTAAAGCATAAATTCGTTTTATATTAATTAAGCCACAGCAAAACTTTCTCTTGCCTCACATCGGCATGTGCTATGAGGACATAGCCATCACACGGTTACTAAAAAAGTTCCCTTTTTCTCATCATCACAAAAGGGATAGGAAAAACCAATACAGAATTAGGCACCTTCCAGCACTAGCTTTTAGATAAAGAATCTTTTCCAAATCCAAACAGTTCATCACCCCATACTTCAAACTTGCTCAAAATAAGGTAGCCCCAACACCAAAGCCAAGAAAGTTGCAAAAGAAGCTACTGAATGTAATTACCATTAAATGCGAAAAAAAAATCGAAGCTGCTTGGCTGCTTCATCTACCAAACGACAGAGCAAGAGAATGGTGCCACACACCATAAACCCATAAAAGAAGGGGGTCCAGTATGCCCAATACTTCCAACCACTTTGGCCATAAGCTAAAAATTGGTAGCTAATGAAACAAAATAAAGTACAATGAACAAACAGACCAATCGAGATCTCCCACATCGTATAAAACATAGAAAATCAAATTACCAAATAGATCAATGATGGCTGTAATATCAAAGAACCAAAAAAAACAATTCATGAAAAGATAATACTACTACTTTTCGGCAACAGAAGATACATGAATTCAGAAAAGATTCCAGGAGACATATACTCCTAGGCGATAAGTGAAACATTCCCAGAAATAAAGATGTGAACAAAATATATCATTTTGGCCCTAGAAACACATCCCATTATTCCCATCATATAATTATAACTGCCACCACTACTGAACAAAATGGAACACCAAACAAAAAAAAAAGCATTCCACCTCTCAAGAACTCATAAAAGGACAGCAAGTTGTGAACTTATTCGTGCAAGAATCATCAACATTCAGAACGAGACGAATTAGAATTCTTATTTTTAAAAAAAGCAAACCAAAAAAAAACTAGAATCATAAGAACAAAAAGTCAATTAAAAAGGGTCTCAAAACGAGGCCATCCATGGCTATGAAAATGAAACAAAGAAGAAAAAAAAATCAATAGAACTTCGAAGTCACCTGCTCGCTGTGGCCCTGGGGGAAGTAGACGACGAGGCTGCCCGCCGGCGGCAGCGACACCAGCGGCCCCGCGCAGGCGTGCCACAGCTCCGAGTTGATCGCCGGCGCCTTCGTCTTCTCCCCTGCAAAACACCACGGCCAATCAGTAACCAAACAAAACAGTGAAAACTTTTTTCCCTAATAATCTCGCCGTAAGCTGGATGATCCAAATGACCAAATGCATTTTGCCCTACGCCGCCGGCGAGCTTGTGTGTAATTTGCAGTTCGCCCCCTAAACGACCAGGTTTTTACACAAACCAATTAATCTCTGCACATGGCTTAGCACTGCAGTAGCAGCTACTCGTACTCCTATGTTGCGATTACTCAAACTTTGAGGGGGCATAAATGTGGAACAGTAAATGCTGCGACGCTCGCCAGAAATCACAGGAACAAAAATGCAGAGAAAAAAAAATGCAGTAATCCAAAATCCAAGAAGAATAAGAAAGGATTTATTTGCCTAATTTTGTGGCGAAATAATAACGCGATAAAACAGGGACCAGATTGCAGAAACAAGAACACGGCAAGGCAACCACTGCTCCATCCCGAACCGCCATTGGAAGCAGCAAGCAAAGCAAGAACTCGTCCTACCTTCGCACCCGCTCCCCACCACCGCCGCCGCCGCAGCGGCTGCCATCGCGGTGGTCGTCGTCGCCGCAGAGCTCGCCGGTGGCGGCGGCGGCTGCTGCTGCGCCTGCTTCATCATGACCTCAGACCAGACAGGCAGACACCGACCGAGTCAATCACTCCACCCCTTTCGCCGGCAACAAAGACCTCAGCGGGCCCCGCGCATGTCCGGCGAGGTCACCGGCGCCGCCGCCGTCTTCGTCGGAGCAGGAATCAATCGATCGATCACCCGTACGTGCGCGCGGGTGAGGATGTCCGTCCGTCGCCCCGACACGAGAGGGACAGGGGAGCAGGGGCGAGCAAGAAGGGCGAGGCAGGCGGCGCCAAGACCGAGACCGAAGCAGCGCAACCCTAGCTAGAGAGAGAGAGTAGGGTGGTGGTGATGCTGCAGCCTGCCGTGCTCGCTCCTGTGATTCTTGTTTGCTTCGAGCTCTCTGCTCTCCTCGGGGAATTAAAAGTGGTTTGTTATTGTGCGTGTGCGAGAGGTGGAAGGAGGTCAGCTACAGCTACACCCATCCTCTTCTTCTTCTCTCACTTCTGCTCCCATTTTGTTCTCTCTGCCTTGTGTGGGTCCTACACCCTCTCCTGCTAGGCTCACACCAAATTAATTTACAGTGTTTTGAATTCAGGACAATGAATATCAGATTTTAAAAAACATTATTTAGTATTCCCTCTGTAAAAAAATGCAACCTAGACCCTCTGTCCAGATTCGTTATATTATGACACATCCTACTAGGTTGAATTTTTTTAAGGACAAAGGGAGTAAATTGTATTAATATACTCTCGTACTGAGAGTATTGTTTAAGTTTGGAGTAATTATTAAATAATCAATTAGTGTTAATGGCTTAACTCTCATATTGTTTCTTGTTACGGCTGAGTTCGGCGCTCCCTTTTCCCAACCCACCTTACTAATCGTTTTCACGCGTACGCTTTTCAAACTATTAAATGGTGCATTTTTTAAAAAAAATATATATACGAAAGTTGTTTTAAAAAATTATATTGATCTATTTTTTAAAAAAATTAACTAATATTAAAAGGCCGCTCTGTTTTGCGTGCAGAGGAGGGATTGGTTCTCCTCTCAAACACAAAACATTTGAGGGTAAAAGTACATGAATTAGGAGTAACTATTATTTTGAAGGTCAAAACTGAACTTAAAATAGTTCACTAAGAATTATTCTTTTTGAAATAATTGCATGTCTACAAGATCCGAAAGCGAATTCATCCATTCATCCCTAAGCAGGAAAGAACATGGTCTCTCCGCGTTGAAAATTTAGCTCTTTTCCTTGAGTACAAAATTTGGATTCCTTCTAAAGTTGTGGCACACTTTTAGAAATTTATCCTTGGTTAAACGTGCTCCCCGATAATTCGGAGATATAACAGTAATAGTCAATTGTTCTTTGACATATTATGCACTAAATATTAGAGTACTCAAATGGACGGTTATGGTTTGACTGTAGTTATTCTAGTACAGTGATTGATTTCTTTTAAACAAGAAGATATGGTTATACTGCAAAAGAACTTATGGTTACACAGTATGTTGTATTTTCGCATTGTGAGGTAGAATTGCAGGATGAAGTTCTACTACTAAAACAAAACGGTTGAACTATTGTGGAAAGAGTAGGAGAATCATTTTTGAGTTGAATTGGCCATGTGGCCTTTGCAATTCTTCAGACCATTCTATCTCTACTTCTGTTAACCATATATAATCATTACTAGTACAATACTATATACTGTATTATCATATTTAACCGTTCCATGATTTCATCTGAACAAACGAAACATTTGCAACTTTTAATAATCCTCTTCACCGCTGAAGTGAAGGGAGCTGAACTTTTCGTGGTTTTTTCTTTGAGCCCTTTGACTTGAGTATAGTTTGTGTGTTTATCTACCAACAAACAGTAATCTCACTGGCACGAGCATCATTAGCAGTATAAATCGTCGCCGCTAATTTTGACCTTGACGCAGCCTGAAGCTTTCACAGGTTACTTGAAGCTTGGGAATTGGGATTGTTTGGTGGATGGGACCGGGGGATTGATGGAATCAACATGAATAAAAATCAAACAGGAACTTGGAATCCCAAGGATCAAAGCAAAAGTTTGCTTCCTCCTTAAAAAATCTGAAATGCTCCCATAAAAATACTCCTCACTATGTGCACAGTAATAAGTTACTGCTACAAACATTTGTTGGAAGTAACCTCACCATAGAGTCAAATAAAAAATCAAATTGTCAAGTGTAATAGTACAAGAAAAATTCACATCCCTATCATACAAATAAGAAATGCCTTGGGACAGATTCCATGTTCTCCGAAGAAATGTTCCATTAGGTCACCTGAAAACATCTCCAATAAGCATTTTTATTTTTGCAAACACATACTAGTTGGTACTACTACTAGTACAATCTAAGATTAAACTAATCCGTTTTTGGATACTTTCACCAAACCTACTGCCCCTAATCCCCTGCTTTTAGACTTGGGTTTGATCGATGTAAGCACAAAGAGTGTGGCCCTTGATAATTGGAGAGAGCAAAGCCGGGAACACAGGTGTGCAAGCATGCATATGCACAGGCCAACTAATCTCCTGTGGCCTTCCTCACCAGCTCCATCATTGCCATGTGCACATCTTTAAACTAATCACCCCCACTTGTAATTAAACTAATTACATTGCTTAGCTTCATCTTTTGTTATGGGCATCTTGCTCAGGGGAATATTTAGGAGCATGATTGCCCCCTTGCCTAGCTGCCCATATCTGCTAGGGCAAAACAACATCACCAATAGTAGTCTCATCAATTCCTATAATAAAAACTACAACTACAGTTGTTGTTATTAAATTGTTGGGCTAAAAGGGATTGAGAACCTAAATGGTACAATAGTGGGAGATACTATAGTAATTTGTGTGCTAATAAAAGCAAAGCATTTCTTTACATTGTCCAGTCACAATTACCGGACTACTTTAATAGTTTCTATTTCTTTTGGGTTTCTATTACTTTAATAGTTTAATAGAGCTCCTTCCAAATGCAATAATTTCATCAAAATTTCAAAGTAATTAATTTATATTTTACAAGAATTAAGAGAATACTCATGTTTCAAATAAACACATAAAAGATCGCATATTGGTAGTGCTTCGCAAATATAAGCGTACAAGAAGATAACCTTGGCTTGGCATATATGGCAATCATTCAATCAAGAAGATAACAATTTGTTTTCTTAAAGAAAAAGAGAGAGAAAAAACCACATGTCTACGGTGACTATTACAGGGTGTGTTTAGTTTGCGAAAAGAAAATTTGTGGACGTCACATCGAACGTTTGACTGGACGTCGGAAGGGGTTTTCGGACACGAATAAAAAAACTAATTTCATAACTCGTCTGGAAACCGCGAGACGAATTTATTAAGCCTAATTAATCCATCATTAGCACATGTGGGTTACTGTAGCACTTTTATGGCTAATCATGGACTAATTTGGCTCAAAAGATTCGTCTCGCGATTTTCATACAAATTATGCAATTAGTCTTTTAATCTATATTTAATATTCCATGCATATGTCTAAAGATTCGATGTGACGTTTTTTAGCAAAATTTTTTAGGAACTAAACATGGCTATAGTATCCACATCAACAACGAATATAAACTTGGGCAAAAAAAACCCACAATACTCCTTTAAATTACATTTGATGGATGTGTTTGCCACTCACCGGCTATTAGAACCATCTAGGCGTGTTCAGGAGAAGGGGTCGGGAACCCCTCCTTCCTGACATGTAAAATGAAGCATGCATAACTGTATAATTAATTAAGTATTAGCTAACAAAAGTTAAAAACGTATGAATATTTTTTTAAAAAAAAACAAGTTCCTATAGATTTTTTTTAGAAAAACGATACTTAACAGTTTGAAAAACTTGCTTGCGGAAAACAAGATAAATGAAGTTGAAACATTGAGGCGTTGTTTAGCTTGCGAAAAGAAATTTTTTGGGTGTCACATCGGATGTTTGACCTGATGTCGGAAGGGGTTTTCGGACACGAATGAAAAAACTAATTTCATAACTCGCTTGAAAACGCGAGAAGAATTTATTAAGCCTAATTAATCCATCATTAGCACATGTTGTTTACTGTAGCACTATGGCTAATCATGGACTAATCAGGCTCAAAAGATCGTCTCGCGATTTTCATACAAATTGTGTAATTATTTTTTTTATCTATATTTAATGCTCCATGCATATGTCTAAAGATTCGATGTGATGTTTTTGGAAAAAAAATTGGGAACTAAACAAGGCCTGACTTAAGAATACAACCGGACCGAAGTACTCAAATGTAAGGCTATTCCCAACCCAAGACACTAGGCATAGTTTCCATAAACTCCACATCATCAAGAAACTAGTACTAGACACTATTCTTCCAATGCAAACACCACTATTCCATACTTGAATTTAATGCTACTTATCTCACATGATGTCTTGTATGTTGTGTAGAAATCATGTCTCATGTAAGACATGGTTTCCTTCTCTTTCCTCATTTATCCACTTGTCATATCATTTTTCATTATAGGTGACAGCTTATTTAATATTATGGACATCATCGTATTCATCGAGTTGGGAATGGTCTAATCCTCACGACGAAGTGAGGTAACATGAGATGAAACCGAGATAAAAGCACCAAATGACAATAGGATTCCCAATGTACTCCACTCCACTCTCCGTACGCATTTGAGCTCAACCGAAATAACGGTCGATGCATAAAACCCACGAGAGATCGATCGACAGGACGACACGCCGACATCATGGCCCCCACAAAAGGGATCCCTGGGCCCCTGGCCGGTGGGGCCATCGCCATCATGCCACGTGGCGAGATCCCCACGGCCGAATCGGGAAAGGCTGCCGCGTCATCCGATCGGGGCCCACCGTGTGAACGCCACCCACGGCGCGGCGCTGGTTGCCGTCGCGTGCACACTGCTCCTCATCGACGGCTCAGATCTTTTCGCGTGCCACGGCCTCGTAAACCGTGTCACGCAAAACTCGTTTTTTGGATTTGGGGGTTCACGCGCAAAACGCTGCCTTGCTTTTGTGTTTACGCCTTTTTTGGTTTGGTTTGGTTTGCTTTGCTTTTTTTCTCTTGTGTTGTGTGCGTCTCCAAAAGAGAGGGTGTGACACTGATCGAGTGTAACACTTTCTTGTTATGATATTTGCCCAAATTCCCCCATGTTTCTATCGTGATTGATTAGTGCTGACAGTGTCTACAAATTTAAATTTATAGTACTAGCTGAATGTAGTACATAAAAAGTTTACACAAAGATAAATTTACTTAGACCACGTTTGTTTTAGACTATTCAGCGAGTTATTGCTATGTGTTATGTACTACCTCCATCCCAAAATATAGTAATTTTTACCTATGAATCAGTATGTCTAGATTCATAACTAAAAATACCTACATTTTAGGATGGAGGGAGTACTTTATTATATATTATCTTCATCCCAAAATAAGTTCATTTCTCACCCATCCCACAAATACCAATATAAAGCCAAAAAGATT